GGCTGCGTTACAGAGCCCCTCCTCCAACACACACAAACGCGCACATGACCAATGAGGGCATGAGATAAGTTTGTGCACAGATGGAAGGCTGACAGGCAGGTAGGCCATCCAGTTATTTTAGCCGGGCCGGCTAAAATGATTGGTCGTGCTTTTTACAGTACTACGGCTTCCACAGATGACATTTCTTTATGGATTTTTTGTCAAAGCACTTAAGATATTCATTGCTATCGGGATGTTAAGAGCATTCCATGGAATATAACAAAAAGTGTATCTCGAGCCGGTTTCTCAAACTTACCTACCCCACCTTTAAACTAGCCAACAGTATAAAAAGCACTACAAAGTTTCGTCAATATTAACCATAAACATCTACATTAGTGAAATGACACATACACATTAATGCAGCTAATCAAAACACATACAGAGAACCTTTAAAAGCATAATGAGTACTTCAAATGTAAGTCCATTTTGCTCATAGTACTTACATACCTTTACTTAAGTGACTATAAAGGCAAGACTTTTACTTAAGTCAAGTATCTGAATACTTTGTCTGCTACTGGTAGTCCATGGATCCATTGCTCTTAATTTCCAGTTGTAAAGAGAACCAACCGTAATGTGTTCAAGTAGATGTCCTTTCCAAAGGAATCTGATGGTAACATTGGGTCAATATTAGCATTAAGGTGTTCCATCTGTTGATCACTCAGAGGACTCCGGGTGACAGGAACAACTATTCCTGAGTGTTCCTCACGCAGATGACCACTGGCCTCCCAGTCAATGTAGGGGATCTGTAATCTCTGTGTCACAAAAAACAAAACAGTTTTTAAAAAATATGTATACTTTTCTTCCGCTGTTATGTACCGTTATAATTGTATTGTATATTGTGAAGAATAAAGAAGTATCACTACATTCCTATGCATTTATTCCTCCATGCACATATCCCATACAAATTATGATGTTATTACCTCAACATCATCAGGATCATGAATGGGACTATGCAGTTCTCCCATTGCCCACATCTGATTTGGAGTCATGTTCTGCTCAGTCCTTAAAGGATGGTTGTCCCAGCCATCACGGAACACTTTCAGGCTGTGTTGAAGACGTGGCAGGAACACATAGTGGCAACAGAATAAATGGGTACTGTTGCTGGGATCCAAATGCCCTTCATCCTCCAGTGAGTGCAGGACAATGTAGAAGATGCTGGTGACTGCCATCCAGACATCTCTCCACAACCGTTCAATGCTAGTGTTATACAAAATTAAATAATGGGGTTTAGATTTCAACATTTTCAGCACAGCATGTGGAAAAAAATATAAAAATATTTCAATGTATACAAAAATCAAAAGACATGCCCTACCGTTGATTGTGCACACTTTTGCCTGAAATGAAGCTGCCACTGTTAGGCCCACGCACAGTCAACATGAGCTCCGCCACCCCACAATTCTCCACACCATGGTCTGCTCTCACTCTAAAGAAAAGTAATCTTCATGAAATGTACAAGTTATCATTTCATGTAAAAAGGATTCTAAAAAGCAGGTATTACAAAAACCACCCATTTGATTTTGTTAGAGGAAGGATAGATTAATATTGCTGACTAATCAAGATAACAGGTTAGGTGAATATATTCGACAATACGACATACAGTTCCCCATAACCTCAATCAGTAACCTGTTCTGTGTGATTACGGCATTTGGTTCACCATCTGTCACTTTAAATGTAGGGTTCTGCCACCAGGTGGTGCTACTGTTACCTCACCTCCACTTTAGACATATATTTGTACCTGAGTGGGTATCCAAACTGTTGGACAGACTCTCTGAAGAATGCCAGTGTAGTAGAAGAACAGTTGTCATTTGATGTTCCAAGGTACATGATCTATATCAGGGAGACACAATCAATTCATTTATTTATTTTTAAAGCTGAAAGGAATACTAATAGCGGTCAGATTATTGAAGTCGGAGAGGTTTGGTGTAGTACATAATGTGTGGATTTGCTGTTAACTGGATAAAAACATTAGCATTTCTCATATGTATATAAATGTGTGTGTGTGTGTGTGTGTGTGTGTGTGTGTGTGTGTGTGTATAGATTTTTAAGTATTGTAACACACCTTTCTGGAGAAGCCATCAATGCCTCCAAAAATGACAATGTTGTAACTGTAAAAAGAAAAAAACAATTGAAGCATATGTTTAAATAAATCCCAATATTACTTACAAAAACGTATCCTGACCATAGCAATGGCAAATAAACACAACATTGAATTTCTATAAATACTCACTTCGAACTTACCGGATAAGTTTATGGTTGGTATCTATGTGCACCAGATATTTGGGACACGGTACAGAATATGTGCGTCTTACCACACAACCCAAACGTGTTAGTCTTGACAAAACACCAAGAGTGTCTACACGGTGCATTGATGCCCTGACCCGGTCCCACTGTACTCTGTGTCCTTGTGTGAGAAGAGCCCCTTTCACCAAGCGGTATCCAGAATTAGGCATTGTTGTCTTGATGGTTGACACCATTTCGACAGACAGACAGATGGATATCATAGATGGATAGACAGATAGATGGACAGACAGACAGACAGACAGACAGACAGACAGACAGACAGACAGACAGATAGACAGACAGACAGACAGACAGACAGACAGACAGACAGACAGACAGATAAATAGACAGATATGATAGACAGATATGATAGACAGATATGATAGACAGATAGATACAGATAGACAGAAAGATAGATAGATAGATAGATAGATATCATAGATAGATACTTCATTCATCCCAAATTGTGAAATGTGTGGAAACAAGTATAAACATAATAACATGAAACACAAATGAAAGCAATAGACAGGAATATATGCATATACAGTAGAAAGGACACGATGAATATTATAACATTTAATGTAGCCTTACTATGAAGGCTGACCTAAATACGGTGCTTTTCTACAGATTACTTTATTACTGCACTGGTAAGGTAAAATTAGGCCGATTAATAAAATGTGAAGTGCTTTGTAACTTTGACTGAATACACAAAAAACAATGAAGAAAGAGTTTCCTCTGGGCTGCTTCGCTGCCAGCTGCTCCCCCGGGACCCGAAGTGGCGTAGCCTGTACTTCAACATCAATGCCTACGAAAGTGCTCGATATATGCTGTATTGAACCAATAAACTAACACAAACTAACTGTATCACCATAACATGATGATGATGATGGTGATAAAGAATGCATCTAACGTTTCGCTGTTCATTATAATAAAAAAAACAGAGCATTAAACAAGCCATCATGCTCTTACTTTGAAATCATGCGGAAATGTCGTCATCAGCAGGCCATCACGTGGTTTCCGAAAATAACCGAGTTACACGAGTAGATTTTAGCTGAGACCAGAGGAAAGTTTGTCTCAAAATTCCGTGTGTGTAAAAAGACGATCCACAAGCAGAAATGTGAGATCCACGAGCAGAGAGTTGAGATCCACAAGCGCATTTTTGGTCGACAAATACAAAATGGATTCACAAATGCCTGATCGAAAGTTGTAAATGTTAAAGAGATATTCACAGATCTTTTTTTTATTTGTGAACATATTTAGCGTATTTGCAGATCCGTTTTACATTTGCAAATTTATTTGTGAGTTTGCAAATCTTTTAAATGCATTTGTGGATTGTGTTTTACATTTCCAAATCACATATTTACACACAAATAATTTTTATGTTCACACAAATAATTATGAGACATATCTATGCCCATATATTATGCTTTATGAACGTGGACAACAGAGAAACATATTCTTCATGACCAACGTTGGAATTGAAATAAAAAAGGAAAGTGAAACTTATGCTCGTCACCCTCTCCCTCCGGTCCACATTAATACAAATGATCCCAATACGTATGATTGTATGAAAATATCTTAAAATCAATACAAATGTATTTATTATAAACGTTAGTCCTTAACATTTATCACTGTGTATATCACCATTCAAACATCTTTTAAAAGTTGAACAAACCCCACACAGCTCAGTAAAGACTGTGAAATGTTGACTTTATTTGATCATTTCAGTAAAAACTAACGTTCATATTTCTCTTTTTGATTATAAATTATAATATATGAACGTTCAAAACAAAGCACTTTGGCAACTTACCACATACATTTTAAAATGCTTAATAAGCACCGTAACTTTCATGCTATCATTTCTCGTTCATAATCGGTTGTTTCCGTGAACGGCCTTTCGGTTAGGGAGGTCCAGTGGTTCCTAAGCTAAAGGAGGTTATAAAGGAAGTTTGAAACCTCCTTTCCTTTCATTTAGAGAATTCGAACGGCACTTATCATGGCTGCCACTGAGAGACTTCCGGGTCATTTCACTCCGTTAGGAAGGTTCCTAAACTAAATGGACTATTCGACCGCAACCTAGGGGTACCAAGGGGAGTAACAAAACACAAAGATGACCAGGCATGAGAAAAAAGAGAGGCAACCGATCTCTGAAGTCACGAGCAGGTCTTTTAATGGACAAGAAAGGAACACAGGCTCACCATCCAACTTGCACAGTAAACTAATGTACCGATATCCAGGAGCACATCTCCTATCAATCGACAAAACACAGGTTGTACACATGCAGCCAGAGGAGGAAAAAGGGGAGTGACTGCAGCCTTCCTCAGGTCCTATATGGAGGCCCTGATTGGGGATTGGGAGCACCTGGGGAGAGGCTGCACCTGGGAACAATCAGAGGGATAAAGAGAAAGACACACGCACAAACACTACGGCACGTAACACTGTTGTTGTAAATGTCATTTTTTGTTTTGATTTCTCTTACATGACTATGCACTGCAACATTTGTTTTGTTTTGTAATTATTTATTTTACTGGTTCGAAATAAAATGTATCAATCAATCATGTGTATCCAGTAAAAAAAATGATGAAGGAGGGAGGGACATATAAAAAATGGGTGGACCAAACATGACTATCGTAGGAGTTCAACAAACAAGGAAATCAGTTCTTATCTGACCCAGATGCAAACAGAAGGGGAAAGACACAGATAAAGTGCAGTGAAGACAGAGGACTTGCCTGAGAAAAGAGGCAGAAGATAGGCTACAAACTGAGGAGGGAGCAGAGTCCAAAGTTTGACATCTAGATACAAGGTGTGTGTGGACAGGAGGTGAGGGGACGAGTGTGTTTGCAGAAAGAGATCGGGATGAAGCGACACCATGATAAGTTATCTATCTCTTTGATGATCACTCTCCTCTGTTTGGGGGGCCTGCTGACCACTGCCTTCTGGATCATTTCGGACAACAGGTAAGCCTGTCAGTACTTGTACAAAAATCTAGTATGATTCATCCCACAAAACTAAGGAGCAAAGATACTAGCAGGGAAATCTGTTGCATTTTGACAATGCTGGCAATCAGTTACATTTAAATTACATGTACGCCTGATTATAAGCTAAAGAAGCTGTAAAAATGCCGTTAAGACATAAACATTGATTATAGCTCATCACTGAATGAAAAATTATACTGTGGACCAACTTAAACATTTATTGCTAATTCGTTAGAGCTAATTGTTTTTAGTTCACCCCAAATCTTTTTTTATGATTTGGTGGAACTTTAAAATGAAAGGTACAGAAAGTAAAAAATATTGATTCTGTCGGACAGAAATGTACATTCACAAAAAGTAATACGATTATTCATTCTGAAAACAACACACCATGTGTTACTGTGTTATAACTTCATTTTTGCTTTTGGTCTAACCTCATTATTATTATTAGATCAAAGTAAGGTTTTTAATTTGAGTAAAGCATTAAAAGTAACAACATTTTATTTTTAATTATACATTAATATATTTTCTTTAGTTAAAAGCAAAAGCGTTTTATAATCTATATAATACCGTTTTTTTTTTTTTAACATAAACTAATTACATGTACTACTATATCAAAGAAGAATTTTGACTTTCAAACTTAAAACACTTCATTACACTCAGTTCACATACTATCATTAAAGACAGGAATATTCTCCTGAAAAGACCTTAACAAATTATTATTATTTAAACATTAACAAAACTTCGTAGGTGCTATATATCTTTTGAGAGTTTGGTAAATATGCATTTGTAAACATTGGCACATTTTGATATCTGATGCCCCTCTTAAACATAATTTAAAAAAGTCTTCCTAAAGATGTGTTCAAAGGCCCCTTAACCCAAGACAAAAGCAGCTGACATCTGCAGTTCAGTGAGGCAAGACTCCCAGTGGCATCTCTTAGATACATTGGCATCAAGCAAGGTAGTGCTCTTATTTTAGATATGTGATTATAATTTTAATGTGCTGTGCTATTTCTCTCTTGTTTGCTGCACAGCCATCTTGTACCAGGTAGACCACCTTCACCCAAGAAAATCCCCCCTTGGCCCTCTGACCTTTGCAAAGGATGCAGGTGAGAGCAAACACCTTCCATGCTTCTCCTTGAAGGGACCTTTCTGTTAATGCCTTCATCAGATCTAGTTATCACGAGGGGTCACACACCTGACTGTGTGTGTGTGTGTGTGTGTGTGTGTATGTGTGTGTGTGTGTGTGTGTGTGTGTGTGTGTGTGTGTGTGTGTGTGTGTGTGTGTGTGTGTGTGTGTGTGTGTGTGTGTGTGTGTGTGTGTGTGTGTGTGTGTGTGTGTGTGTGTGTGTGTGTGTGTGTGTGTGTGTGTGTGTGTGTGTGTGTGTGAGACAGGGCGCTCATTGAAAAGGTAAGAGAACGCTACTCAAAAACTTGGAAGAAGCAAGAAGATAATTACAGAAACCTCAGGTAATTGTATTTGATTACATTTTGTTTAAAAGGTTTTGGCCAGAATTGCATTAATAGTCCATGCAGGCAAAGATGTGCTGTTTCTCAGGGGAAGAGATACAGTCAGCCAACTTGTGGAACCACGCAAAGTTATGTGATGAGGCCCTCTGTTTCGAGAGCGCCGCCGACGGGCGGCCGGGGTGCTAGTGGAGCGCCGGCTAAACTGTGGCGCGCTTAATTGCGCCGGATTTGCGAATAAGATGAGGCCCCCTCCGCGAGGTGAGGCCCCCTCCGCGAGGTGAGGCCCCACGCAGTCTGCGTGATCTGCGTGTAGGGAAGGGCGGGCCTGCAGTCAGCAATTGTATAAACGCTAAACATTGTCACAGTTTGGGACTATTCAGTGAGTAGGTCTTAAAAGTAGGTAAAAGAAGCGATTTCATTCAACAATTTGCAACTGAATCCATTGGCTTTCTTATGTAATTGAAAAAGTGGCCAAAAATCGTAAGAAATGTAGCATGAGTTAGAGAGTTTGGTAAAACAGAGGGACTGGGATGATTATGGAATAAAAAGAAAGAAAATACGTTTTATATACTGTACAAACTGTGTTAGCTTTCTGTTCAACAAAACTCCTGACTTGGATGTTTTTAACAAAGTCCATGTGTTACCCCAGCTCTCAACTGAGAAGTCAGTGCCAGGGATTTGACAGGGCCATCATTACCCAGGCCAACACTCCAGTGGGATCAAATATTGTGTACGCTGCGGAAAAGAAGAAGAAGACCCTCAAGGTGACTCCAGAGATTTTCAGCACCTTCATAAAGGTATGTAGTTTTTCATTCATTGATAGTATCACAGCATCTTCTGCTTGTTGTCTTTATTGTTCCTTAAAGGGCTCAGAGATTATAAATGATGTGTTTAGTTACATGGTGACTGGTTGATACAAACGACCACCGATCGATGACCACCCTTTCAAAAACACACACACACACACATGCACGCACACACTCACGCACACACACATAATTATGATTTTCTATAAAAAAACAACTCCTGAACAACAACAAAAAGCCCGCATTTTATCCAGTTTGTAGTTTTTAATGTAGCATGTAACGACTGTAAAGTTGGTAGTAAAGTCGTCCCATTTCTTCCATTTCGTTTAGACGAAACCAAAACGAGTAGCGCTTCAACACAATCGGCCATTGTTGTTGTTGTCGGTGTGAGCTGTGAGGGGTTTTAGCCCGGTTTGGCTTTATGAAGCAGGCACGCAAACGGTTACGTCATGACGCAAATGATGACGCAATGACGCAGCACCAGTCGGACTCTGGACGGTGTGAAAAGAGCCGGAGCTAAACCGAAGAACCGGTTCTGAACCTGAAAAGCTCTAGCACGGAGCTTGAACCAGAGTTGCGTTGGTGTGAATGAGGTATAAGTTTCAGGTTTCAGGTTCCAGTATACAGCCCACTGCTCCTGATACTGGGATGGTTTCAATACAGAGGCTACATTTCCCTGTGTGAGATCAGCTGCGACGCCAAATCCGGCCAAGGGGCGTAAAGTTGGGGGCCCAATGGCCCCTTGCACACTTCCAACCCCCCTACTACCTGCGCCCTAGCTCAAACCGCAGCTTCAAACTCTCTGATTTTGATCTCAGATACACTATAGTCAGTCATTTTTGAGAATGGTGCGCTGTTTCAGTACGTTTAAAATCGTAAAAGAATGTAGGAATTCAATAACGCAACTCAAACACCTCAATTGTACATTAAATAAATACTCACACAACACATGTTGATACTGTTGTAGGGCTCTTGCTCATTCACAAACATGATATAATCATATGCATGTTATTGTTCTGTAATACATTTTTTCATTGGTTTTATTTCCAGGAGAATCCATTTCCAAAGAAAAAATGGGACACGTGTGCTGTTGTTGGGAACTCAGGGATTCTGACAAACAGCAGCTGTGGAGAGATGATCGATTCGGCTCAGTTTGTTATCAGGTGAGAAAGCTGTCAAGATCAGAGGACTGAAAGGCTGATTGCGACATAAATCCACAGAATAATTGTAAATAATCATTTCTGACTCGTCTGTTATGCCTAGATGCAACCTACCTTCTTTGGGAAAAGGCTATGAGAAACATGTGGGCACCAAGACTGACCTTGTGACAGCCAACCCAAGCATTATGCTGAAGGAGTGAGTAAATCAATGAGTCTCACTGCACCAATAGAGTGTTCCCTTGGTGTTGTTGCTTGACATCTTTTTATTTTCAGGTTTGGAGATCTAATGGGGCCACGCCGTCCATTTGTGGAGAGTCTACATAGCTACGGCAAATCCATGATGGTTCTTTCCCCGTTCACCTATGCACACACCACTCCGGTGTGCCTGAGGGCAGTATACAGCATTAGGGACTTTGAAAGTCCCATTCAGCCCATGTTCTTCAACCCTGATTACTTCCAGAGTCTGGCCCTCTTCTGGCGCTCCAGAGGCCTAACCAGAGGCCTACTCAGCACCGGCTTAGTGATGGTTAACATAGCGCTGGAACACTGTGCCAACGTGCATCTGTACGGTTTCTGGCCCTTCAGTAATCATCCATTTGAACTCAATGCCGTGAAAAACCACTATTACGATGATAAAAAAGGTAAATGGACTGTCCACTCCATGCCTGCTGAGTTTGACCTGTTGTTGCAGCTGCACAGTCAAGGTGTGCTCAGGCTTCACCTGGGGAACTGTCGACCGGGTAGAAATGAGTTCTCAGGTCCAGAGACAGATGAGACTGGGCATCTGAAGAATCGGGACATTTCCTGGAGGGCTATACCAGAAGGTGCATAGGATATATTGTCACTTACACCAATTAATACATTTGATAAATAATTAGGATCTCAACTTTGATAAATAGTCATTAGTATTGTCATTTTGGCCATAATAATAGTCATAATCATCTTTTACTTTTTCCAGCAAAATTGCAAGGAAATGGTTATTCAAAATATAACTTTCAGTCATGGAAAGGTTTCGATATTTGAAAAGATGTGTGTTTACTGACACATTGTGAGATGTAAAGGAATTTCAGTTAGATACAAATACATAAATATGTAATATTCACTCTGAAATGTTGTGATGGAATAGTATAAAGTTGCATGAAATGGAAATACTCAAGTTCATCAAAATTGTACTTAAAGGTGGGGTAGGTAATTCATTTCAGAAACACTTTTTGTTATATTCCATGGAATGCTCTTAACATCCCGATAGCAATGAATATATTAAATGCTTTGACAATAAATACATACAAAAATGTCATCTGTGGAAGCCGTGGCGCTGTAAAAAGCACGACCAATCATCTGAGCCGGCCCGGCTAAAATAACTGGATGGCCTACCTGCCTGTCAGCTTTCCATCTCGTGCACAAATTGATCTAAATCTTCAAAGTAACTAAAAAAGTGTAAAGAGGCGTGTTCACACCAAGTACTTTTCCCACAGTAGTTCATGAGAACTTTAGTTCATGAGAGCTCTTTTAGTTCTGATGAACTAAAGCAGATCGCGTTCACACCAAAATGAGTTCCTGGGGGTGGATTAGGCAAATGAACCGCTGACGTCACTTCTTCTTCTTCTGCTTTGGGTTTACTGGCAGGCCGCAAACAACTTCACGGCGAGTACAGTAGGTGGCGGTATGCACCTTATAGTTGCAATCCGCCAAAAAACCGAGAGAAAAAGAAGAAGAAAAACCTCCCGCGCCCACTTGCTGTAAATGAGGCGTCTGTTTACCTTCCGACCTCAGACATGAGCTTCGTCTGAGTTATTTAAGTAAACACAAATACAGATCGTCGACCAGTCAAATGCAATAGCAATGCTGATTCGGAAGCGAAGACGGTTAAGAAGGATTGACAAAAGGATTGGACGACGACATGCACGCGCTACACTACGTGTGAAATGAATAAACTGTGCCAGGTGTGTCGTATGCACACTAAATAGGCTCAGCAGCTAACACACCTTTATTATATATCCTCCTGAGAGCAACTGCATCCGTCTGCCATGAACCCTACAGAAACCTACATGTTGGCCCATAGTGGCCTCCATTTGTGTCGTGTAAAATGGGGGAAATCAAAAGTTAGCAAATCCCCATGTCATGTTCATAAAAACATTTAGTTTTAGGTATAAATAATAAAATAATTATTACACTGCTCTGAAACTCACTACACTAACTCCTAAGATGTTCCCTTACTATAATTAATAAAAGATATTGAACTCACAACACTGGTAATAACAAACTTAACCATTTCTCTTTCTATTAATAAATAGTGTTTGTGTTGCACGCCATTTTGAAATACAATGAAATTATCTTTTTGAAAGCCACAATAAATAAAGCTTCGCCAGTTTATAACCGATGAAACATGATGGTATCAGAATAATCACTTACATGTGATGTATAGGATGCTACACAGGTCACTGTAAAGATAAAGTGTCAGAGTAGAAATAAGCAAGCTTAGTTACATGAAATGTAATGAAAACTGTAAGATACAGGCTCCGTTTAATCGCCATGTAGGTTCTCTTTTATTGCACACTCAAGACAATATCAATAACAGCATCACGCTGTCCCAGGTGTGTCGTATGCATGTAAATAGAAGTTAACATTTTCAATATCAAATAAAGTGTCAGTAGTATCAAAACATATATATATATATAATAACAATAGATAGGCTCAGCAGCAGACACCTTAGTGCAAAGTGAAGTGTCAGTATTAATAACAGTGGCATATATATAATCACAATAATACAAAATTAACTGTCCCAGGTGTAGGCAATTTGGGGTGAAGTCTCTTGCCCAGGGACACAACGACATGCTGACTGCAGTGGGGTTTGAACCTGTGCTCCCCTGATCCGAACACCAACGCACCAGACCACTGCACCACCCGCCTCCCAACAAGTCATTGTACAGTTTATCAACGACGACAAGTTTTTCTTTATTTTTTTATTGAAGGCCTGTTGGATTTAATCAGCTCGCTTTGCACTTCCAGAAGCCCAGCCTGAAAAGTATTTTGTTGCTCCACCTGGCGCGCCGCCACCTCCACCTGGCGCGCCGCCGAGTCAGCATGGCGCTGCATCACCATGAGCAGCTGGTCGTCCGATTCCTGGGCCTTGTGTGAATGCAGCAGCCGTTCGTCATGCATCTCCTTGGCATGCAGGTCCTCATTCTCCTTGCTGATCATGGCACGGCAGTCCATCGCCATGATGGTGTCAAGGAAGCTGTCATCCCGTGCCCGCTTTCCTAAGGTGAAATAAGCAAGATACAAGATCAGTTTAATCGCCTAGTAGCTTGTCAACAGAGACAACATTGGACATGGTGCAGGCAGGGACAGTGTACAAAATGCAGGTGTAAAGTAGAAGATAAGATAGGATCAAATAATATCAAATAAAAAATAAATATCAAAGTGCCCTTATTTATTGTTTTGTGCTTAATGTATGCTTGAACTTTGTTTTATAGGGATTAGTGGACATCAGATGTGTAACCTTCTTTCAAGGCCAGAGTAGTTACAGTGTAAGTGGATTGACATCTAACATAACACGGCTGAGTACAATTATAACAATCAATAAAAAAAAGGAAAAATAAATAGAATTTCAATTACATTTCTACTTAAATGTGCAAAGATATTAGAACATCAGTCTTTGTGGCATGCAGGTAATCAACTGTTTAAGCTTTTACCATTAACATGTAGAATGAATGTTGCAAATGATGAAATTATAGCAACTACAATGTATTGTTAGAGGTAGCATTATGTCCAGCTAGCATGCTAATTGCTAACGTTATATTATCGTTTTATCCCGGAGGGGAAAACTAGTTTCTAATCCAGAGAGAAACACCTCGCCTGAAACACACGATTAGTGCCATGAGTTAGTGAAGCAAATTACAGAACATTGCACACTTATTCACAAGTCAAAACGTGTTCATAGCGGGCATGGCTGAGAATAGCTAGCTAGCTAGATGTTGTTAGCCAGCTTGGACCTATGATAACAAGGTCTGCTAACTTTGCTGAGCCACGGAAACTGCATTCAGTAGAAGCTTCTGAATGCGGCGCTTCGCGTCCTCCGAGTAAATCGCCAGAAGCGCCGACACATCCTCATCACTCCACCGCTCCGATGATTTATTTAGTGTTGCTATAATAACTGCTTTCACAAAAGTAATCTCTTCGGGTGCGCTGGCCGAAGCGAGCAAATACAATGGCCGCTTACAAAAAAAAATTCAGAGTCAAACGGGCGTGGTTTGCATTCCGCACAGCCAATCAGATGTATGAACTATTTTCTCCCACGACAGTCCCTGCTCTCTAGCAGGGACTGAAAAGCGGGTCAGATGAACTAATTTGAACTACTTTAGTTCCTGGGGCTTTTTGGTGTGAACGCAAATATATCGTAGTTCTGATTAACTATTGTGGGAAAAGTACTCCGGTGTGAACGCGCCTCTTGGACAATTTGTTCCTCTGGGTTAACTTAACAAGCCTCTTTACTGTCACCTTACGATTCATTGTATTGCATGTGTTAAAAATGGGTGGACCAAAGAGACATGGCGAAGACTAAAGTAGGAATTCAACAAACAAGGATATCAGTTATTATACCCATCTGACCCCGACGCAAATAGAAGGGGAAAGACACAGATAAAGTGCAGTGAAGACAGAGGACTTGCCTGAGAAAAGAGGCAGAAGATAGGTTACAAACTGAGGAGAGAGCAGAGTCCAAAGTTTGACATCTGGGTACAAGGTGTGTGTGGACAGGAGGTGAGGGGACGAGTGTGTTTGCAGAAAGAGATCGGGATGAAGCGACACCATGAGAAGTTATCTATCTCTTTGATGATCACTGTCCTCTGTTTGGGGAGCCTGCTGACCACTGGATCATTGTGGACAACAGGTAAGCATGTCAGTATTGTTCCAACAACCTGTTTTAACTGTTTTTTGTTTGTTTTTCCCCAGGTATGATATATGATATGTTTCTCACATGACACCATGTGTATCTCTGCTTCGATAGCATGATTCATCCCACAACAATATGTAGCAAAGATATTAGTGGGGACAATTTGAATGTAACTGTGTAGTAGAGGTGAAAGATAAAGACTTCTGACATGAATAAAAGACAAGAGTGGTAGACAATGCGGATATAGCATTTGATTAAATAGGAGAGAAATTAAAAAGAAAATTGAATTCTACAAACACTGTGAAAGGCGTGGATAGTGCCAAGGTAACAGTAAATTCTTCTCACAAGGTATCTGCCCTCTGGGTCATTGTGGACAACAGGTAAGCGTGTCTTGTTCCAACAACCTGTTGAATAGGTTTATTGTTTACCCAGTGTTACTTTGTTATACCTATTTCTCCTTTTGGACTGAGTTCATGTTTATTATTAGATCAAAGTAACGTTTTTAATTATACATTAATATCATTTATTTAGTTAAAAGCAAAACCGTTTTATAATGAACATCCATTTATTTTTACCGTAAATAAATTACATTTACTACTATATCAAAGAATTTTGACTTTTAAACTTAAAACGCTTCTTTACACTCAGTTCACATATCAATAAAGACAGGAACATTCTCTTCAAAAGACCTTAACATTTATTGAGATGTCTTTAAAATATGCATCACCTATTCTGTTTTATAATAATTAAACAACTCCCAAAAAACTCCCAACATTTAAAAAAATAAAATTAATGGAGTTATTTTCTTTTGCTGACTATGCATCCTCTTGAACTTTACATTAAACAAATAACCCTTGCATTACACTGTATTTGAATACAAGCTTTAGAACAAAAAACATGCTGTAGTCAAAAGTCTTTCATGTATCCAATACTTAAAGCTTGACACTCAGACTGCATACTCTGCGTGTCATTTTCTTTGGTTCAATCGCCATGAACGTTTTTTTCAGTGCATCTAAGGTGTATTTGAGCTCCCTGGGATAGCTCAAGTTTAGAGCAAAGATGAAGCCCAATAACATGGCACATGCATGTGCAACTGATGGCATCTCACCGAAGACTTCCACACCTTCAACGATGAGTCCGATGTGCTGTGGTGGCAGGAGAGGATCGTGCTCCTCCCTGATGCCAAACACCGCCATTGTACACTGCTCAAGCTCTGTGTCAGATGTATCCTTCTGTGAAACCTGATAAACAAGAAAAGAGAACGTTATTCTAATGTAACCAATGCCTGATGTAGTATAAAGAATATCTTCACAAACAATTCTCTCAATCAAATCTCAATAAAAAAACTTAAATTGAAGTTCTAAAATGTAAAAAAGGTCAGTTTTTCACTAACCACAAGCAAAGCATGTATACACATATTTGTAGCCATCTCCAAAATGTTACAACTGCCAATGGGATTATTAGATTAAGATTAACTATCATTTATATAAATATATATATATATATATATATATAGTATATATTTTAATATTCTGAAAGCCGTTGCGACAACCGACTGATTTTGATCAGCGGGTCCCACATATTCAAGTGCTTGAATCAACAACTCCCTTGTTTTTATTCCAAAGGCCACTCACATTAATTTGCATTTCAGTCGCCAAATCCATATAATGCGTTGTCAAACTTACACTTCCTTCTCCTCAATTTGATCTCCCTGTCCATCTGTGTGTGTGTGTGTGTTCCTAAACATTTTCTCCTCAACAGATATATATATATATATATATACTTGCTAACCCATAGCCCTATACAAAGACCTTATGTGAAACCAATATTACATATGCAACAATTTCAACTTTTCACTAGTCAAACAGAAACAACAAAGTTAGCTCCTTGCATGATACATTTATGAAAATGATCTGGTTAAGCAAGCCTTAAAAAAGTAGCTAACACGCGGCTCATATTTGCTTACACAGCCAAATACTAAGACAGGCAGTAAATTAGTTATCTATCTTGACACTAAATGTACACTGAAAAAACGAATTCACCTTTAAAACAACACAATTTTAAATGGAAATGGAAATACTCAAGTTCATCAAAATTGTACTTAAGTAGAAACTTGAGGAAATGTAGTTAGGTACCTAACATTTTGTGGAAACTCAAATTCTGGTTTTAAAAATGGAAATACAAGAGCAACTTTAGGCAAATAAACGTTTCATCATTAGTATATACACATCTCAAAGCCAAAGGCAAAAGTCCAACTGAGAGTGTGACTCATAATTTAAACATGGACAGAGGTCTAAACAAAGCATTATAAAAGTGAAACTCATTGAGAGGGGTCAGAAATCTCTCCACACCCAGAAAGAATAGACACTTTGGCTGCAGATGAATGTGAAACAATAGACGTGCAGCAAAGTCAGGGGAAACTTACTCATCAGGAACTTCCAACTACTGCCCTCTGGATCATTTCCCTATATATTCATGTTGCATTGTTGGAGAAGCCTGCATGGGACTTAAGATTTTCATTGCCATATCTACACTGTAGCTTGTGTACATATGCCAATAAAGGTACAAAGGACAATATGTTCCTCTGGGTTAACTTAATTTATTGCAGATTATAGATAAGGCAAGGCAAGGCAAGGCAAGGCAAGGCATGGCAAGGCAAGGCAAGGCAAGTTTATTTATATAGCACCTTTCAACACAAGGCAATTCAAGGTGCTTTACAAAAATGAAAGACATTCAGACAAAGGCATTTAAAAACAGTCATTAAAAAGAAAAGATAATAAAGGAAACATTAAAGGGCCCATGTCATGGCCATTTCCACTGATCATAATTCCATTGTTGAGGTATACTAAAATAGATTTATACTGTGCAATTTTCCAAACTCACATTGGTTTCGCAAACAGCATCTCTGTAAAGTATGTGTATTCAGCAGTATTCACTCTCTCCACTAAACGACTCGTTGGAGCTCTTGCCCCCCCCCCTCCCTGTGAGCCTAGTGTGCTCCGATTGGTCAGCTCGGCCACTCTGTTCTGATTAGTCAACCACCAGAGAGGCTCCGCCCATGTCTAACAGTGCTTTTTTCGGCTCGCTCTCAGCGGAACATCAGTCTTATAATGGCGTCGGTTCAGCCGTATATTTTATACGCTAACTAACCGAACTGTACCTACAACTGTTGTTATAGAAGTGTGTGATGGCCCCAGGGCCTTTGTGCAGGTGTGTTGCAGGTCTTACGATGGGGTGGAGCTGAAGAGGGTAATCAGCGCGATCACGGACACCTGGCCGGAGCCGAGGTGCTATTAAGCTCAGCTGCCAGGAGTCACACGGCGGCCCCTGTCTCTCTCCAAAGCGGCTGCAGAAGGACGAACTCGGCGATCCTCTCCCCTCGACCACCTATCTCTGCATTTACCACAATAAATGTGCCGTGGTTTTGTAAACTCGTGTATGTCTCCTTGTCTTTCCGTTGTGGCCTACGAGCCGGTCATAACAAAGAGTAAGTTATATAAACTACTACTGTTTGATGAGAAATCAAATCATGGTTTGCTATATATGAATGATATGTTATAGGAGCAAATAATTCAGGGAAGAAAGGATAGGCCTACTAAGTATTTCCATTAAACTTTATTTTTAGAAATGTACAAAATGAACATAAATATACATATATACACGGTATATCATCAATTCCTCCCCGTTGTCGGCATCTTGCCTATAGCAGCCGGGGCTTTTTAGGACGATGCATCAGTGTGGTAGTCCCGTCCCCGTCATGTATTGTCCGCCAGGATCTGGCTGGACGAAATCAAATACAAATCACAAAATATTAGAGAAACTTAGTTGTTTTAGATTCGTTAGTAGTAGTTGTGGTAGGAGTCTATCTAATGAACACAGTAAGCTTGCCAGCTAATATGCTAACCTAGCTTTGTTTACTTTGGTAGCTAACACGATATGAACGCTAGCTCGGAGGAACGGCAACTATAATGTAGAGTAATAAAACTACTATGAACAAAAGCTAGTGGTTCATATTAGGCTAGCAATAACGTGTTTATAATTGCAATCTTATACGGGTAGTCTGCTACGTTCGGTCATTCATTGTAACTGGCATGAATACATTGTTTTTGCGCTAGCATGTATAGCTAGCCTCGTTAGCTATACATGCAGTATGTACCTGTACTGTCACAATGTACGGTAAATCACCCGGAGTATTCTGTATGAGTATTCCGTGTGTGACTGCAGACATTCTCCTGCCATGACAAACATGTAAGGCCATCTGCTGACATTGTAGTTGATATATTTAAACGCTAGCAACGTCGTTAGTCCAGTAAGCTGGGCTTGTTTAGTGTAATAAAACCACTATGAACAAAAGCTAGTGATTCATATTAGGCTAGCAAGAATGTGTTTACAATAGCAATCTTATACGGGTAGTCTGCTACATTCATTGTAGCTGGCATAAAAAAAAATAATTCCCGAGCAAACCCATGTCTAGCTCCATTGGTTAGCTCGGTAGCATACACGCTACGCCAGCTATAATGTAATTACGTTTCGCGACTGACCGTACGGCAAATCACCCGGAGTATACTGTCTATGAGTATTTCGTGTGTGAATGCAGACATTCTCCTGCTATGAGATACATGTACTGTATGCAAGGCCATCTGCTGATATTAGAGTTGATATATGGAAACGCTAGCAACTTAGTTAGCACAGTTAGCACTCTGTCAATGGCTTAGCAGTCCGACACAGTTTATACATTTAAACAGTCTTGTTTGATAAATACACAAATAACAATGCAAACTTACAGGTTGTGTACCCAAATCTTCCCCTGCTCCAAACGGTCCAAACAAACTAGGAATAGCATCGTCCTTCAGTTTCAAATGCTGTGCATATCCGGCCTCAAACTGGGCAATGTTTTGGAAGCTTTCGTCTGTGAAATGCCGCGCACACAGTAACGTTTTTCGAACCTCTGAAGGAACAGTGTTAAAAAGAAATTTCAACCACTGACTTCGTCGTGGTTCTTCCGTCGGTAGGACAAACAGCTCAGATATCTCCTCACATTTCAGGAAACAGGTCCTTGGCATTGGCATGACTGGATCGATTGTGAACTGAACCAGAGCTTCCAACAGTAAATGTTAGGCTGGCAGAGGGTGCGGCCAGCGCCGCTGGGTGTGACCATAGCTCTTCCGGATTGGTCCATTTTGTTCCGGGTACCGCATGACATCATGCCGTACCCGGAACTAAATGGAAGACTCAAATGGGCAGTGACGTATCTCCAACGAGGCGTTTTGGGGAGGTATTTTCTGTGTTAGAGTTTTACTCGCTACAGGGTGTACTTTAAGGGTTTTGACTCTGCACACCGTTTACATGCATAAAAACCTTCATAACACATAAGGGGACGGGTAATAACCAGAAAAGCATGACATGGGAGCTTTAAAAGAAAAAATACATGAATAAAAAGTACATGAATAAAAAGTACATGAATAAAAAGTACATGAATAAAAAATCAGAAATTAAAATCAGAAATGTATTTAGGGCCTAAACCATTCAGTGCTTTATAAACCAGCAGCAGTATTTTGAAATCTATTCTTTGACACACAGGAAGCCAGTGTGAAATCAGGAACACATTGTGGGTCAAAGACAGTTATAACTGGGAAATTAGGAACTCATTGTAGGACAGGGAACAAACACAGGAACTTGTTCAAGACACTGTGCCTGACACACAGATGCTCTTAAGGAGCTTGCTCACGACACTGTGTCTCACCCCCAGACATTCTTAAGGTTAGTCATAAGTTGAACAAAGGACATGAATTAAAATACATCATCATGGAACTACTGCATAGTATTCTACCATATTAGGTAACATATAAAGTTTGTTTGCACATCATATAAAGCTTGCACTACATATAGAGTTTGCCATTACATATAAAGTTTAAGTATGCACTTGTATAAAGTTTTCCACTACACTTCAGAACAGGACTGATGTGATCCACTTTATTAGAAGATAGGCTACAAACAGAGGAGAGAGCAGAGTCCAAAGTTTGACATCTAGATACAAGGTGTGTGTGGACAGGAGGTGAGGGGACGAGTGTGTTTGCAGAAAGAGATCGGGATGAAGCGACACCATGAGAAGTTATCTATCTCTTTGATGATCACTCTCTTCTGTTTGGGGAGCCTGCTGACCACTGCCTTCTGGACCATTTCGGACAACAGGTAAGCGTGTCAGTACTTGTACAAAAATCTAGCATGATTCATCCCACAAAACTAAGGAGCAAAGATACTAGCAGGGAAATCTGTTGCATTTTGACAATGTTGGCAATCAGTTCAATTTAAATTACATGTATGCCTGATTATAAGCTAAAGAAGCTGTAAAAATGCCGTTAAGACATAAACATTGATTATAGCTCATCACTGAATTAAAAATTATACTGTGGACCAACTTAAACATTTATTGCTAATTCGTTAGAGCTAATTGTTTTTAGTTCATCCCAAATCTTTTTTTATGATTTGGTGGAAAAGATATTGATTCTATCGGACAGAAATGTAATACGATTATTCATTCTGAAAACAACACACCATGTGTTACTTTGTTATAACTTCATTTTTCCTTTTGGTCTAACCTCATTATTATTATTAGATCAAAGTAAGGTTTTTTATTTGAGTAAAAAGTAACAATATTTTATTTTTAATTATACATTAATATATTTTCTTTAGTTAAAAGCAAAAGCGTTTTATAATCAATACAATACCGTTTTTTTGTGCCTTAAACTAATTACATGTACTACTATATCAAAGAAGAATTTTGACTTTCAAACTTAAAACACTTCATTACACTCAGTTCACATACTATCATTAAAGACAGGAATATTCTCCTGAAAAGACCTTAACAAATTATTATTATTTAAACATTAACAAAACTCTCCTACAACCTTAACCACATAAACATACATGTGCACATGACCTTGTACAATTTGCTTGCTTATCTCTCCATTAAAAATTGAAATACGTAATGCAATAGCCCTCAACTGTCTGACGTTGTTTAAACCAGGCAGCCTTTTAATAAAAGACCAGAATGTGTGCATGTCAACTTGTGTCATTGCTAAACATTAAACATTATGCAACCTAAAACAAATCTCAATATGTAAAACTGGTTCTGCAGCTCTCATTTACAAATCGAGTAAATAGTTTCAACATTTTCATAACGAGAACCAGGATATAACCGGTCATTAAATTCAGCGGTCTGTCAGATGTTGCACAATAGTTATACCAGATACAGTAAAGAACCTTGCTGACAAGGAAAAAGCTTATAAATCCAGGCCATCACGTCTTTACCTCTTCCACTCCTGATTCCTTTTTTACAACATTTCAGTGAAGAAATTGTCCATTTTGTCCTTTATCACTGCACTATTGATTCAATCACAGCAAAATCAGCATCCCCAAATTAACACTGTCAGATTTGATTTCAACACTTTGACAGTGTCTATATGGGTCCACACCACATAGAGTTAATTTAACTCTTTTGAGTTGGTTTCTTAACACTATTCAGAGTAATTATTAACTCTATTTGGAGTTCAAATGTAACTCTTCGTAACACTAACCAGTGTTAGTTTTTCTCAACGCTTGCATGGTGTTAAATATTAACTCTATCACATAATAGTTTATTAACTACGAAAGTGTTACTCATATCTAAGATAAGATAAGATAAAATGGACCTTTGTTAATCCCTGTGGGGAAATTCAGATGTACAAAGTAGCAACAGGATAAGCGTGAAAAAACAGGACAGCAAAGATTCACACAGATTAATCAAATCAAAAATGAAATCAAGAAAAAAATAAAAAATAAAAAATAAAAAATAAATAATAATGATAATAATAATAAAAGACCTATCTGTGACCTCATCCAACGACACACCCCCACCCGTCGCCTCAGGTCTGCTGAAGCTAACCTACTGCAGCCCATCAGGACAAAGCTCCGGACCTGGGGTGACAGGGCCTTCGCTGCAGCCCCCCCCACACTCTGGAACTCCCTCCCCAGCCACGTCAGATCCGCCAACACTCTCACATCATTCAAACAATCCCTCAAAACTCACCTTTTCACTCTTGCCTTCAACTCCTAATCAACTAACCCCTTGCCCTTTTTCCACTATAGCTTAGCACTTCTTACTTTTGTTGTTATTCTGTTTTACTTGCTTGTAAGCGCTTTGAGCACCAGGAAAAGCGCTTTATAAATGTAATGTATTATTATTATTATTATTATTATATGTTAACACTTTAAGGTGTAAATAAAGCTCTAATAAAGTATAACAATAACTAAAAAATAAAGTAGGCTAAAGTTGTTTGAAACAAGATTTCTTTTTCAAACATTCGCACCACAAAAGCATTTTAAAATACATTTCAAAATACACAGCAATATGGAACAATGTATGCTCTCTCATTTTCCGTACAGTATTGCCTATCAAAGGGTCTAACAGGTGAGCTGGTCAATACAAATAACAACATGTTCATTACTTTGGTCCTCTATACAGTAGGCATGAAAGTGATCATCATAGTACAGCGTGTGAACAGTGCAACCAATTATGAAAGCACGCTGCTCGTGAATGATGATTTTGCGTATTTTCATGAACACAGGTAGGTAATGGAATGTTCCAGTGCATATGTATAGATCTATTTGGTATTCAGTGCCATAATTGTTGACCCATCTTGTTGTTGAAACCTCTGAAAATGCATCTAAATGCTACATCTGACACTGATTCTGCACCTTCCAAGCTATTTATTGTTTTAATTTTTAAAGGACCAATCTCAAACCTTTTTAAATAATAGTTTTCATAATAAAAAGCCATTTGCCGCAGGTGTTGCTTAACAAGAGATTTTGTAAGGTCTTTGAATTTTTTTACAGACCTTTTAAAAAAATTATGTTTTGCTTCGAATCGCATACACCACATATGGATAAGAGGGCCAATTTGTGTAATACATATAGGAAACAACACTTTGAACATGTTGTGGTGGTCACAGATCAAATGTTTTAGGTAACTTATCATTCCATCAGTCAGGATAGGGGAGAAAACAATATTAACTATTTGCAACAAAAGGAGCAAAAAGTTCCGATACTTATTTTCTCTTTCAACCACATCGCCAAAGATAAGTGGGGTATTGCGGAGAACACACAATGACTGAATGGCGTTTAAACCTAAGTGCTTGCTGTTGTCATCAAGTTTTAAAGCACTTGGTTTGTTTTTACCTTCCAAGTAACCATAGTTAAAAATCTGTACCCTGTCTGACAGTGCATTCAAAGAGATGCAACCATTCATTTCATTAGGTACTGAAAGAAAAACTTTAGCTCATACTATACAACACCCTCTAACAAATCATGCATTATATCAACTGCAAAATGGTCAGTGCTATGAAAATACTGCAATGAATTGAGCACACAAGATTGGTCTGAGCGTTGCATGGTATGGGTTTGTGGTCCACAACGATGACCAACCTCTGGATTTTCTTCCTTTGCTCACCAATGCAGAGGAGGAAGGGCTGTCTTGCTTCAACTTTCTCCAGGAATGTGGTGAGGCTGGCTCCCTGCTGTAGTTTGAATGACAAATGCATATACATTTACTGTACATATATATATATATATATATATATATATATATATATATATATATAAAAAGTTACTACTTAGCATAACTTACTTATAAGGAGTAAGATTTATTCTTGCAGTCTTATATCAAACTGCAACTGCAACACTTCTTACATACAACCATAGCACACAAAAAAAAATGTTTAGCACAAAAATCTAATGGTAAATACCTTAAGAAATCTTACAAGATGGTTTGCCGCCTGTGCTGAGCTTATCTTGGCAGTTTTTTTATGGCCTCTGGGCGTTGGGGGCAGGAGATGCAATAGCAACAGGAGAGCTGAAATGTCACCACCCAGCCTTGAAAATAAACAGAGGAGAAAGTATTAGAAAACTAGAAAATGCATTTCCTGCAGAAAATGCATGCAAATGCTGTAAACTGTGAACATTTGTGGCTGAATTTAGCTGAAAATGCAGAAAAAGCTGAATATGTTATTAGCTGAATGGTAGCTGCTTTTAGCTACAAAAATGCAGAAAAAGCTTAATATTTAAAAGAAAAGGTTTAAAAAAAACATGTATAGCCTTGATGTCCTGAAATAGCTGAATAATGTAATAGTGTCAGCTTTTCATAAATAGAAACTTCAATGTTCACATCTTTCTAAATGATTCTACTTTTCAATGACCTACAAATAATCCTAATAATAATCCAATAAACTTCCAACTGTTCATATTTGTTGGTCAATTAACAAACCTGTTACAAATGTGTGGTTCAACAAATTTGAGCCTTTGCCACATTTATTTGATCACCATGGAAACCTTTGATCTCTGGACACGTCGTTAGCTCAAATATAAACACCTGTGTCATGGAACGCGATGATGTCATAACTCCAACTGACATGCTCAGAGCAGCAGACTTCAGATAATGGTTAATGGTCCTGCCCTCAACAGCTCTACGTCAATTATGGGGTGTCATATGCCGTTTCCATGGAATCCCTCGCCATAAAACACGATGTCGCTGTAACTCCAATGGACACGGTCCGATCGTCCCCCAAACTTCGCTTGTATATCACCGGTCCATGCCTCAACAGCTTTACGCCAAATCTGAGATCTCACCATAGGCTGTCGCCATGGAAACGCATCCCTCGCCATAAAACACGATGTCGCTGTAGCTCCAATGGACACGGTCCGGTCGTCTCACAATCTTCACCTGTATATCACCTCTCCATGCCTCAACATCTCTACGTCAAATCTGACATCTCACCATATGCCCTTTCCATGGAAACGCATCCCTCGCCATAAAACACGATGTTGTTGTAACGCCTATGAAAAGGGTCAAAACAGCACCACACTTCAGATAATGGTTAACGGTCCAGCCCTCAACAGCTCTACATCAATTATGGGGTTTCATCATATGCCGTTTCCATGGAAACGCATCCCTCGCCATAAAAGACGATTTCGCTATAATTCCGATGAAAATGTTCAAAAAGTGATCAAACTTCCCATGTGTGCTAATAGTCCAGCCGTGAAGACATCTACGGGACAGTTTTGAGATTTCTTCAATTGCCGTTGGCATGGCAACACAATGCTCGCCATGAAACACGGTTTTCTCATAACTTCAGTGAAAATGCTCCAAATGGCCCAAAACTTCACAGGTTTGGTAACGATGCAGCCATCAACGCATCTAAGCGTATTATGGGATGTCATCAAATGTGGTTGGCATGGCGACAAATCATTCAACATCAAGTTAGTTCAAAAGTTTGCAGTTCAAATATTCTGCTGCTTTTCCAAGCCTTTTTACTTTATTTTCTTCTCTCATCTCACATTCAAGCCCCCAGTGTTCATGTATCATTTCAATCTAAATTCTTCACTTTCTTCTTACACATTACATTTCAGCATAGCAGTTTAGCATCAGCTTTTCAGCATAAAGCATTCCCACTAGCAATTTCTTCAGGAATTGCATTCTCTAGTTAGCTGACATTGTCCGTGTCAACAGAAGTGACAGTCCGCACACACACAAGACCGCAATGGCAGAAGCAAAAAAGCCCAACATATATAATTTTAACTCTGAGTGGGAGGATGATTATTTTTTTGTTTATTCCAATTCAAAGTCCATCTGTCTCATCTGCAATGCGAGCGTGGCTTTAAGAAGGGTCATTTAGAGCGGCATTTCAAAACGGTGCACAAACGCTTCGAGACGGAATTCCCTCCTAATTCTGCCCTACGCTCTTCTGTTCGTTGCGTGCATATGTATCAGAGTTAAACATGTGAAAACATAATTATAAGTTTGTGAATGTTTAATTCATAATAAGTTGTGCATTTTAAGAGATGAGATTGTTTCATTTAATATTTTAAGTTTTGTTTCCCGTGGGAACACCGTCCTGTGGCTTTTTTTTACTTCCGGTATGTATTTTCCACCCTCCGCGGACTGGCCATCTGTAGAATCTGGAGAATCACAGAACAGACGGTCGTCAAGGGCCGGCTCGATTCGCTGACGGCCGTCACCGCCCTTCATTTTATATGTTTTTCATCATTGAAGTTGCACCGACAGAGGTCCGCCGTTTCCCCGCAGCGAGGCTCCCCCCCAGTTGACAGTTCGACATGATGGCTTACCTCACTTGTGTCTCTCTACTTGCTAACTAATTTGTCTAAAATGAACTGCCATTATCAATGACTTCAACGGGCTCTGCCACTTATTCAACATGTTCAGCTTGGCTTATCAGACCTCTTTAGATAGTTGATCATCTTGGCAGTGATATACATCTAGTATGTTCAAAGGCTTATCTGCCACATGCTTTAAAGCTGAAGTACTTCCAAATGAGGGTATACAAAGAACTGTGAAAACAGAAAGATTTCCTTATCAAAAAGGTTTGTAGGTGCTATATATTTTTTTGAGAGTTTGGTAAATATGTATTTGTAAACATTGGCACATTTTGAGATCTGATCCCCCTCTTAAAAATAATTTAAAAAAAGTCTTCCTAAAGATGTGTTCAAAGGCCCCTTAACCCAAGACAAAAGCAGCTGACATCTGCAGTTCAGTGAGGCAAGACTCCCAGTGGCATCTCTTAGATACATTGGCATCAAGCAAGGTAGTGCTCTTATTTTAGCGTCCTTTTATTGCAAAAATAACTCTCACACTCAGAGGTTTCTGAAATATTTTACACTGGACATACTGATTTTTAAATATATAAAATGGTTAAAAACACTGCATGTCTATTTTCCTGAGTAAGATTTTTTTCCTCAGTGTGAGTTGCACTTTTATAATGTTCAACGTTTTGTAAATTAATCCAAAATGTATTTATTTTTTCTTACTTAATGCAATATTTTTTTTTAATTAGAAGTGGTTTCTTATACATGCGGTGCTGAACATGATGATTTTTGTTTTCCATTACAGTATTTGTGGACTTTTGTTTAATTGTTGTTTAATTGTTGTCTAAGGACAGAGGGTGTCGTTTTTTCTCATACTGATATTCTGCACAAACTGTACTGTTGTATTTGCTGTAAAGTGTCTCTACTGTAGGGTATTTTTATTATATGTACAGCACTTTGGCTCGACCAAAAATCGTTTAAAAATGTGCTATATAAATAAAACTTGATTTGATTTGATTTGATTTAGATAAACCACACCTGCCATCATAGAGCTCATTTGCCTTTTGGTGTGCACTATGTATAAATGAATGTGCTATGCTGTTTCTCTCTTGTTTGCTGCACAGCCATCTTGTACCAAGTAGACCACCTTCACCCAAGAAAATCCCCCCTTGGCCCTCTGACCTTTGCAAAGGATGCAGGTGAGAGCAAACACCTTCCATGCTTCTCCTTGAAGGGACCTTTCTGTTAATGCCTTCATCAGATCTAGTTATCACGAGGGGTCACACACCTGACTGTGTTTGTGTGTGTGTGTGTGTGTGTGTGTGTGTGTGTGTGTGTGTGACAGGGCGCTCATTGAAAAAGTAAGAGAACGCTACTCAAAAACTTGGAAGAAGCAAGAAGATAATTACAGAAACCTCAGGTAATTGTATTTGATTACATTTTGTTTAAAAGGTTTTGGCCAGAATTGCATTAATAGTCCATGCAGGCAAAGATTTGCTGTTTCTCAGGGGAAGAGATACAGTCAGCCAACTTGTGGAACCACGCAAAGTTATGTGATGAGGCCCTCTGTTTCGCGAGCGCCGCAGACGGGCGGCCGGGGTGCTAGTGGAGCGCCGGCTAAACTGTGGCGCGCTTAATTGCGCCGGATTTGCGAATAAGATGAGGCCCCCTCCGCGAGGTGAGGCCCCCTCCGCGAGGTGAGGCCCCCTCCGCGAGGTGAGGCCCCCTCCGCGAGGTGAGGCCCCACGCTGTCTGCGTGATCTGCGTGTAGGGAAGGGCGGGCCTGCAGTCAGCAATTGTATAAACGCTAAACATTGTCACAGTTTGGGACTATTCAGTGAGTAGGTCTTAAAAGTAGGTAAAAGAAGCAATTTCATTCAACAATTTGCAACTGAATCCATTGGCTTTCTTATGTAATTGAAAAAGTGGCCAAAAATCGTAAGAAATGTAGCACGAGTTAGAGAGTTTGGTAAAACAGAGAGACTGGGATGATTATGGAATAAAAATCCTTATAAGAAAGAAAATACGTTTTATATACTGTACAAACTGTGTTAGCTTTCTGTTCAACAAAACTCCTGACTTGGATGTTTTTAACAAAGTCCTTGTGTTACCCCAGCTCTCAACTGAGAAGTCAGTGCCAGGGATTTGACAGGGCCATCATTACCCAGGCCAACACTCCAGTGGGATCAAATATTGTGTACGCTGTGGAAAACAAGAAGACCCTCAAGGTGACTCCAGAGATTTTCAGCACCTTCATAAAGGTATGTCGTTTTCATTCATTGATAGTATCACAGCATCTTCTGCTTGTTGTCTTTATTGTTCCTTAAAGGGCTCAGAGATTATAAATGATGTTTAGTTACATGGTGACTGGTTGATACAAACGACCACCGATGACCACCCTTTCAAAAACACACACACACACACATGCACGCACACACTCACGCACACACACAGAATTATGATTTTCTATAATAAAACTGAGATTTTAAGTGAGGACCTCTTAATCTGACGAATGCTAAAAAAAAAACTACAATCCTATTTCAATATACAGCATGACCTGCTTTTAATGATATAATTGCAAATTTGTAAATGTGAAATAATTCTAGTTTTTAGAAAATTGGTACTGACTCGGCTTTTGATTTTCATTCATTCTCAAATTTGTAACTGGCTTCACACCAGAAAAAAGAGCATCCAGTACCCTTTCGAGGACAACACCAGTCTACAAAGTTTGCATTCATTTAGATATCAACTGTCTGATCCATGGAGACAACAACTTTGTCAGGACTAACCGGAATAGTTCAGAAGAAAACAGTCACAGATTCAGAGTAAGTTTCAGGTTTCAGGTTCCAGTATACAGCCCACTGCTCCTGATACTGGGATGGTTTCAATACAGAGGCTATATTTCCCTGTGTGAGATCAGCTGCGACGCCAAATCTGGCCAAGGGGCGTAGAGTTGGGGGCCCAATGGCCCCTTGCACACTTCCAACCCCCCTACTACCTGCGCCCTAGCTCAAACCGCAGCTTCAAACTCTCTGATTTTGATCTCAGATACACTATAGTCAGTCATTTTTGAGAATGGTGCGCTGTTTCAGTACGTTTAAAATCGTAAAAGAATGTAGGAATTCAATAACGCAACTCAAACACCTCAATTGTACATTAAATAAATACTCACACAACACATGTTGATACTGTTGTAGGGGATTTGCAAACACGATCCAGACAAAGATCCCCATGGCTCTTGCTCATTCACAAACATGATATAATCATATGCATGTTATTGTTCTGTAACAAAAAAATGATTTTAAACATTGGTTTTATTTCCAGGAGAATCCATTTCCAAAGAAAAAATGGGACACGTGTGCTGTTGTTGGGAACTCAGGGATTCTGACAAACAGCAGCTGTGGAGAGATGATCGATTCGGCTCAGTTTGTTATCAGGTGAGAAAGCTTCAGAGGACTGAAAGGCTGATTGCGACATAAATCCACAGAATAATTGTAAATAATCATTTCTGACTCGTCTGTTATGCCTAGATGCAACCTACCTTCTTTGGGAAAAGGCTATGAGAAACATGTGGGCACCAAGACTGACCTTGTGACAGCCAACCCAAGCATTATGCTGAAGGAGTGAGTAAATCAATGAGTCTCACTGCACCAATAGAGTGTTCCGTTGGTGTTGTTGCTTGACATCTTTTTATTTTCAGGTTTGGAGATCTAATGGGGCCACGCCGTCCATTTGTGGAGAGTCTACATAGCTACGGCAAATCCATGATGGTTCTTTCCCCCTTCACCTATGCACACACCACTCCGGTGTGCCTGAGGGCAGTATACAGCATTAGGGACTTTGAAAGTCCCATTCAGCCCATGTTCTTCAACCCTGATTACTTCCAGAGTCTGGCCCTCTTCTGGCGCTCCAGAGGCCTAACCAGAGGCCTACTCAGCACCGGCTTAGTGATGGTTAACATAGCGCTGGAACACTGTGCCAACGTGCATCTGTACGGTTTCTGGCCCTTCAGTAATCATCCATTTGAACTCAATGCCGTGAAAAACCACTATTACGATGATAAAAAAGGTAAATGGACTGTCCACTCCATGCCTGCTGAGTTTGACCTGTTGTTGCAGCTGCACAGTCAAGGTGTGCTCAGGCTTCACCTGGGGAACTGTCGACCGGGTAGAAATGAGTTCTCAGGTCCAGAGACAGATGAGACTGGGCATCTGAAGAATCGAGACATTTCCTGGTGGACTGAGGGTTGATCTCAGAATTTGTCTCTAAACTATGCCTTTTCAATCCAATCCACTCACTCTCCCCCCATATTAGTTCCTAGACCCTCTGAGCAGAGGGCTATACCAGAAGGTGCATAGGATATATTGTCACTTACACCAATTAATACATTTGATAAATAATTAGGATCTCAACTTTGATAAATAGTCATTAGTATTGTCATTTTGGCCATAATAATAGTCATAATCATCTTTTACTTTTTCCAGCAAAATTGCAAGGAAATGGTTATTCAAAATATAACTTTCAGTCATGGAAAGGTTTCGATATTTGAAAAGATGTGTGTTTACTGACACATTGTGAGATGTAAAGGAATTTCAGTTAGATACAAATACATAAATATGTAATATTCACTCTGAAATGTTGTGATGGAATAGTATAAAGTTGCATGAAATGGAAATACTCAAGTTCATCAAAATTGTACTTAAAGGTGGGGTAGGTAATTCATTTCAGAAACACTTTTTGTTATATTCCATGGAATGCTCTTAACATCCCGATAGCAATGAATATATTAAATGCTTTGACAATAAATACATACAAAAATGTCATCTGTGGAAGCCGTGGCGCTGTAAAAAGCACGACCAATCATCTGAGCCGGCCCGGCTAAAATAACTGGATGGCCTACCTGCCTGTCAGCTTTCCATCTTGTGCACAAATTGATCTAAATCTTCAAAGTAACTAAAAAAGTGTAAAGAGGCGTGTTCACACCAAGTACTTTTCCCACAGTAGTTCATGAGAACTTTAGTTCATGAGAGCTCTTTTAGTTCTGATGAACTAAAGCAGATCGCGTTCACACCAAAATGAGTTCCTGGGGGTGGATTAGGCAAATGAACCGCTGACGTCACTTCTTCTTCTTCTGCTTTGGGTTTACTGGCAGGCCGCAAACAACTTCACGGCGAGTACAGTAGGTGGCGGTATGCACCTTATAGTTGCAATCCGCCAAAAAAACCGAAAGAAAAAGAAGAAGAAAAACCTCCCGCGCCCACTTGCTGTAAATGAGGCGTCTGTTTACCTTCCGACCTCAGACATGAGCTTCGTCTGAGTTATTTAAGTAAACACAAATACAGATCGTCGACCAGTCAAATGCAATAGCAATGCTGATTCGGAAGCGAAGACGGTTAAGAAGGATTGACAAAAGGATTGGACGACGACATGCACGCGCTACACTACGTGTGAAATGAATAAACTGTGCCAGGTGTGTCGTATGCACACTAAATAGGCTCAGCAGCTAACACACCTTTATTATATATCCTCCTGAGAGCAACTGCATCCGTCTGCCATGAACCCTACAGAAACCTACATGTTGGCCCATAGTGGCCTCCATTTGTGTCGTGTAAAATGGGGGAAATCAAAAGTTAGCAAATCCCCATGTCATGTTCATAAAAACATTTAGTTTTAGGTATAAATAATAAAATAATTATTACACTGCTCTGAAACTCACTACACTAACTCCTAAGATGTTCCCTTACTATAATTAATAAAAAATATTGAACTCACAACACTGGTAATAACAAACTTAACCATTTCTCTTTCTATTAACAAATAGTGTTTGTGTTGCACGCCATTTTGAAATACAATGAAATTATCTTTTTGAAAGCCACAATAAATAAAGCTTCGCCAGTTTATAACCGATGAAACATGATGGTATCAGAATAATCACTTACATGTGATGTATAGGATGCTACACAGGTCACTGTAAAGATAAAGTGTCAGAGTAGAAATAAGCAAGCTTAGTTACATGAAATGTAATGAAAACTGTAAGATACAGGCTCCGTTTAATCGCCATGTAGGTTCTCTTTTATTGCACACTCAAGACAATATCAATAACAGCATCACGCTGTCCCAGGTGTGTCGTATGCATGTAAATAGAAGTTAACATTTTCAATATCAAATAAAGTGTCAGTAGTATCAAAACATATATATATATATAATAACAATAGATAGGCTCAGCAGCAGACACCTTAGTGCAAAGTGAAGTGTCAGTATTAATAACAGTGGCATATATATAATCACAATAATACAAAATTAACTGTCCCAGGTGTAGGCAATTTGGGGTGAAGTGTCTTGCCCAGGGACACAACGACATGCTGACTGCAGTGGGGTTTGAACCTGTGCTCCCCTGATCCGAACACCAACGCACCAGACCACTGCACCACCCGCCTCCCAACAAGTCATTGTACAGTTTATCAACGACGACAAGTTTTTCTTTATTTTTTTATTGAAGGCCTGTTGGATTTAATCAGCTCGCTTTGCACTGCCAGAAGCCCAGCCTGAAAAGTATTTTGTTGCTCCACCTGGCGCGCCGCCACCTCCACCTGGCGCGCCGCCGAGTCAGCATGGCGCTGCATCACCATGAGCAGCTGGTCGTCCGATTCCTGGGCCTTGTGTGAATGCAGCAGCCGTTCGTCATGCATCTCCTTGGCATGCAGGTCCTCATTCTCCTTGCTGATCATGGCACGGCAGTCCATCGCCATGATGGTGTCAAGGAAGCTGTCATCCCGTGCCCGCTTTCCTAAGGTGAAATAAGCAAGATACAAGATCAGTTTAATCGCCTAGTAGCTTGTCAACAGAGACAACATTGGACATGGTGCAGGCAGGGACAGTGTACAAAATGCAGGTGTAAAGTAGAAGATAAGATAGGATCAAATAATATCAAATAAAAAATAAATATCAAAGTGCCCTTATTTATTGTTTTGTGCTTAATGTATGCTTGAACTTTGTTTTATAGGGATTAGTGGACATCAGATGTGTAACCTTCTTTCAAGGCCAGAGTAGTTACAGTGTAAGTGGATTGACATCTAACATAACACGGCTGAGTACAATTATAACAATCAATAAAAAAAAGGAAAAATAAATAGAATTTCAATTACATTTCTACTTAAATGTGCAAAGATATTAGAACATCAGTCTTTGTGGCATGCAGGTAATCAACTGTTTAAGCTTTTACCATTAACATGTAGAATGAATGTTGCAAATGATGAAATTATAGCAACTACAATGTATTGTTAGAGGTAGCATTATGTCCAGCTAGCATGCTAATTGCTAACGTTATATTATCGTTTTATCCCGGAGGGGAAAACTAGTTTCTAATCCAGAGAGAAACACCTCGCCTGAAACACACGATTAGTGCCATGAGTTAGTGAAGCAAATTACAGAACATTGCACACTTATTCACAAGTCAAAACGTGTTCATAGCGGGCATGGCTGAGAATAGCTAGCTAGCTAGATGTTGTTAGCCAGCTTGGACCTATGATAACAAGGTCTGCTAACTTTGCTGAGCCACGGAAACTGCATTCAGTAGAAGCTTCTGAATGCGGCGCTTCGCGTCCTCCGAGTAAATCGCCAGAAGCGCCGACACATCCTCATCACTCCACCGCTCCGATGATTTATTTAGTGTTGCTATAATAACTGCTTTCACAAAAGTAATCTCTTCGGGTGCGCTGGCCGAAGCGAGCAAATACAATGGCCGCTTACAAAAAAAAATTCAGAGTCAAACGGGCGTGGTTTGCATTCCGCACAGCCAATCAGATGTATGAACTATTTTCTCCCACGACAGTCCCTGCTCTCTAGCAGGGACTGAAAAGCGGGTCAGATGAACTAATTTGAACTACTTTAGTTCCTGGGGCTTTTTGGTGTGAACGCAAATATATCGTAGTTCTGATTAACTATTGTGGGAAAAGTACTCCGGTGTGAACCCGCCTCTTGGACAATTTGTTCCTCTGGGTTAACTTAACAAGCCTCTTTACTGTCACCTTACGATTCATTGTATTGCATGTGTTAAAAATGGGTGGACCAAAGAGACATGGCGAAGACTAAAGTAGGAATTCAACAAACAAGGATATCAGTTATTATACCCATCTGACCCCGACGCAAATAGAAGGGGAAAGACACAGATAAAGTGCAGTGAAGACAGAGGACTTGCCTGAGAAAAGAGGCAGAAGATAGGTTACAAACTGAGGAGAGAGCAGAGTCCAAAGTTTGACATCTGGATACAAGGTGTGTGTGGACAGGAGGTGAGGGGACGAGTGTGTTTGAAGAAAGAGATCGGGATGAAGCGACACCATGAGAAGTTATCTATCTCTTTGATGATCACTGTCCTCTGTTTGGGGAGCCTGCTGACCACTGGATCATTGTGGACAACAGGTAAGCGTGTCAGTATTGTTCCAACAACCTGTTTTAACTGTTTTTTGTTTGTTTTTCCCCAGGTATGATATATGATATGTTTCTCACATGACACCATGTGTATCTCTGCTTCGATAGCATGATTCATCCCACAACAATATGTAGCAAAGATATTAGTGGGGACAATTTGAATGTAACTGTGTAGTAGAGGTGAAAGATAAAGACTTCTGACATGAATAAAAGACAAGAGTGGTAGACAATGCGGATATAGCATTTGATTAAATAGGAGAGAAATTAAAAAGAAAATTGAATTCTACAAACACTGTGAAAGGCGTGGATAGTGCCAAGGTAACAGTAAATTCTTCTCACAAGGTATCTGCCCTCTGGGTCATTGTGGACAACAGGTAAGCGTGTCTTGTTCCAACAACCTGTTGAATAGGTTTATTGTTTACCCAGTGTTACTTTGTTATACCTATTTCTCCTTTTGGACTGAGTTCATGTTTATTATTAGATCAAAGTAACGTTTTTAATTATACATTAATATCATTTATTTAGTTAAAAGCAAAACCGTTTTATAATGAACATCCATTTATTTTTACCGTAAATAAATTACATTTACTACTATATCAAAGAATTTTGACTTTTAAACTTAAAACGCTTCTTTACACTCAGTTCACATATCAATAAAGACAGGAACATTCTCTTCAAAAGACCTTAACATTTATTGAGATGTCTTTAAAATATGCATCACCTATTCTGTTTTATAATAATTAAACAACTCCCAAAAAACTCCCAACATTTAAAAAAATAAAATTAATGGAGTTATTTTCTTTTGCTGACTATGCATCCTCTTGAACTTTACATTAAACAAATAACCCTTGCATTACACTGTATTTGAATACAAGCTTTAGAACAAAAAACATGCTGTAGTCAAAAGTCTTTCATGTATCCAATACTTAAAGCTTGACACTCAGACTGCATACTCTGCGTGTCATTTTCTTTGGTTCAATCGCCATGAACGTTTTTTTCAGTGCATCTAAGGTGTATTTGAGCTCCCTGGGATAGCTCAAGTTTAGAGCAAAGATGAAGCCCAATAACATGGCACATGCATGTGCAACTGATGGCATCTCACCGAAGACTTCCACACCTTCAACGATGAGTCCGATGTGCTGTGGTGGCAGGAGAGGATCGTGCTCCTCCCTGATGCCAAACACCGCCATTGTACACTGCTCAAGCTCTGTGTCAGATGTATCCTTCTGTGAAACCTGATAAACAAGAAAAGAGAACGTTATTCTAATGTAACCAATGCCTGATGTAGTATAAAGAATATCTTCACAAACAATTCTCTCAATCAAATCTCAATAAAAAAACTTAAATTGAAGTTCTAAAATGTAAAAAAGGTCAGTTTTTCACTAACCACAAGCAAAGCATGTATACACATATTTGTAGCCATCTCCAAAATGTTACAACTGCCAATGGGATTATTAGATTAAGATTAACTATCATTTATATATATATATATATATATATATATATATATATATATATATATATATATATATATAGTATATATTTTAATATTCTGAAAGCCGTTGCGACAACCGACTGATTTTGATCAGCGGGTCCCACATATTCAAGTGCTTGAATCAACAACTCCCTTGTTTTTATTCCAAAGGCCACTCACATTAATTTGCATTTCAGTCGCCAAATCCATATAATGCGTTGTCAAACTTACACTTCCTTCTCCTCAATTTGATCTCCCTGTCCATCTGTGTGTGTGTGTGTGTTCCTAAACATTTTCTCCTCAACAGATATATATATATATATATACTTGCTAACCCATAGCCCTATACAAAGACCTTATGTGAAACCAATATTACATATGCAACAATTTCAACTTTTCACTAGTCAAACAGAAACAACAAAGTTAGCTCCTTGCATGATACATTTATGAAAATGATCTGGTTAAGCAAGCCTTAAAAAAGTAGCTAACACGCGGCTCATATTTGCTTACACATAGCCAAATACTAAGACAGGCAGTAAATTAGTTATCTATCTTGACACTAAATGTACACTGAAAAAAACGAATTCACCTTTAAAACAACACAATTTTAAATGGAAATGGAAATACTCAAGTTCATCAAAATTGTACTTAAGTAGAAACTTGAGGAAATGCAGTTAGGTACCTAACATTTTGTGGAAACTCAAATTTTGGTTTTAAAAATGGAAATACAAGAGCAACTTTAGGCAAATAAACGTTTCATCATTAGTATATACACATCTCAAAGCCAAAGGCAAAAGTCCAACTGAGAGTGTGACTCATAATTTAAACATGGACAGAGGTCTAAACAAAGCATTATAAAAGTGAAACTCATTGAGAGGGGTCAGAAATCTCTCCACACCCAGAAAGAATAGACACTTTGGCTGCAGATGAATGTGAAACAATAGACGTGCAGCAAAGTCAGGGGAAACTTACTCATCAGGAACTTCCAACTACTGCCCTCTGGATCATTTCCCTATATATTCATGTTGCATTGTTGGAGAAGCCTGCATGGGACTTAAGATTTTCATTGCCATATCTACACTGTAGCTTGTGTACATATGCCAATAAAGGTACAAAGGACAATATGTTCCTCTGGGTTAACTTAATTTATTGCAGATTATAGATAAGGCAAGGCAAGGCAAGGCAAGGCAAGGCATGGCAAGGCAAGGCAAGGCAAGTTTATTTATATAGCACCTTTCAACACAAGGCAATTCAAGGTGCTTTACAAAAATGAAAGACATTCAGACAAAGGCATTTAAAAACAGTCATTAAAAAGAAAAGATAATAAAGGAAACATTAAAGGGCCCATGTCATGGCCATTTCCACTGATCATAATTCCATTGTTGAGGTATACTAAAATAGATTTATACTGTGCAATTTTCCAAACTCACATTGGTTTCGCAAACAGCATCTCTGTAAAGTATGTGTATTCAGCAGTATTCACTCTCTCCACTAAACGACTCGTTGGAGCTCTTGCCCCCCCCCCTCCCTGTGAGCCTAGTGTGCTCCGATTGGTCAGCTCGGCCACTCTGTTCTGATTAGTCAACCACCAGAGAGGCTCCGCCCATGTCTAACAGTGCTTTTTTCGGCTCGCTCTCAGCGGAACATCAGTCTTATAATGGCGTCGGTTCAGCCGTATATTTTATACGCTAACTAACCGAACTGTACCTACAACTGTTGTTATAGAAGAGTGTGATGGCCCCAGGGCCTTTGTGCAGGTGTGTTGCAGGTCTTACGATGGGGTGGAGCTGAAGAGGGTAATCAGCGCGATCACGGACACCTGGCCGGAGCCGAGGTGCTATTAAGCTCAGCTGCCAGGAGTCACACGGCGGCCCCTGTCTCTCTCCAAAGCGGCTGCAGAAGGACGAACTCAGCGATCCTCTCCCCTCGACCACCTATCTCTGCATTTACCACAATAAATGTGCCGTGGTTTTGTAAACTCGTGTATGTCTCCTTGTCTTTCCGTTGTGGCCTACGAGCCGGTCATAACAAAGAGTAAGTTATATAAACTACTACTGTTTGATGAGAAATCAAATCATGGTTTGCTATATATGAATGATATGTTATAGGAGCAAATAATTCAGGGAAGAAAGGATAGGCCTACTAAGTATTTCCATTAAACTTTATTTTTAGAAATGTACAAAATGAACATAAATATACATATATACACGGTATATCATCAATTCCTCCCCGTTGTCGGCATCTTGCCTATAGCAGCCGGGGCTTTTTAGGACGATGCATCAGTGTGGTAGTCCCGTCCCCGTCATGTATTGTCCGCCAGGATCTGGCTGGACGAAATCAAATACAAATCACAAAATATTAGAGAAACTTAGTTGTTTTAGATTCGTTAGTAGTAGTTGTGGTAGGAGTCTATCTAATGAACACAGTAAGCTTGCCAGCTAATATGCTAACCTAGCTTTGTTTACTTTGGTAGCTAACACGATATGAACGCTAGCTCGGAGGAACGGCAACTATAATGTAGAGTAATAAAACTACTATGAACAAAAGCTAGTGGTTCATATTAGGCTAGCAATAACGTGTTTATAATTGCAATCTTATACGGGTAGTCTGCTACGTTCGGTCATTCATTGTAACTGGCATGAATACATTGTTTTTGCGCTAGCATGTATAGCTAGCCTCGTTAGCTATACATGCAGTATGTACCTGTACTGTCACAATGTACGGTAAATCACCCGGAGTATTCTGTATGAGTATTCCGTGTGTGACTGCAGACATTCTCCTGCCATGACAAACATGTAAGGCCATCTGCTGACATTGTAGTTGATATATTTAAACGCTAGCAACGTCGTTAGTCCAGTAAGCTGGGCTTGTTTAGTGTAATAAAACCACTATGAACAAAAGCTAGTGATTCATATTAGGCTAGCAAGAATGTGTTTACAATAGCAATCTTATACGGGTAGTCTGCTACATTCATTGTAGCTGGCATAAAAAAAAATAATTCCCGAGCAAACCCATGTCTAGCTCCATTGGTTAGCTCGGTAGCATACACGCTACGCCAGCTATAATGTAATTACGTTTCGCGACTGACCGTACGGCAAATCACCCGGAGTATACTGTCTATGAGTATTTCGTGTGTGAATGCAGACATTCTCCTGCTATGAGATACATGTACTGTATGCAAGGCCATCTGCTGATATTAGAGTTGATATATGGAAACGCTAGCAACTTAGTTAGCACAGTTAGCACTGTGTCAATGGCTTAGCAGTCCGACACAGTTTATACATTTAAACAGTCTTGTTTGATAAATACACAAATAACAATGCAAACTTACAGGTTGTGTACCCAAATCTTCCCCTGCTCCAAACGGTCCAAACAAACTAGGAATAGCATCGTCCTTCAGTTTCAAATGCTGTGCATATCCGGCCTCAAACTGGGCAATGTTTTGGAAGCTTTCGTCTGTGAAATGCCGCGCACACAGTAACGTTTTTCGAACCTCTGAAGGAACAGTGTTAAAAAGAAATTTCAACCACTGACTTCGTCGCGGTTCTTCCGTCGGTAGGACAAACAGCTCAGATATCTCCTCACATTTCAGGAAACAGGTCCTTGGCATTGGCATGACTGGATCGATTGTGAACTGAACCAGAGCTTCCAACAGTAAATGTTAGGCTGGCAGAGGGTGCGGCCAGCGCCGCTGGGTGTGACCATAGCTCTTCCGGATTGGTCCATTTTGTTCCGGGTACCGCATGACATCATGCCGTACCCGGAACTAAATGGAAGACTCAAATGGGCAGTGACGTATCTCCAACGAGGCGTTTTGGGGAGGTATTTTCTGTGTTAGAGTTTTACTCGCTACAGGGTGTACTTTAAGGGTTTTGACTCTGCACACCGTTTACATGCATAAAAACCTTCATAACACATAAGGGGACGGGTAATAACCAGAAAAGCATGACATGGGAGCTTTAAAAGAAAAAATACATGAATAAAAAGTACATGAATAAAAAATCAGAAATTAAAATCAGAAATGTATTTAGGGCCTAAACCATTCAGTGCTTTATAAACCAGCAGCAGTATTTTGAAATCTATTCTTTGACACACAGGAAGCCAGTGTGAAATCAGGAACACATTGTGGGTCAAAGACAGTTATAACTGGGAAATTAGGAACTCATTGTAGGACAGGGAACAAACACAGGAACTTGTTCAAGACACTGTGCCTGACACACAGATGCTCTTAAGGAGCTTGCTCACGACACTGTGTCTCACCCCCAGACATTCTTAAGGTTAGTCATAAGTTGAACAAAGGACATGAATTAAAATACATCATCATGGAACTACTGCATAGTATTCTACCATATTAGGTAACATATAAAGTTTGTTTGCACATCATATAAAGCTTGCACTACATATAGAGTTTGCCATTACATATAAAGTTTAAGTATGCACTTGTATAAAGTTTTCCACTACACTTCAGAACAGGACTGATGTGATCCACTTTATTAGAAGATAGGCTACAAACAGAGGAGAGAGCAGAGTCCAAAGTTTGACATCTAGATACAAGGTGTGTGTGGACAGGAGGTGAGGGGACGAGTGTGTTTGCAGAAAGAGATCGGGATGAAGCGACACCATGATAAGTTATCTATCTCTTTGATGATCACTCTCTTCTGTTTGGGGAGCCTGCTGACCACTGCCTTCTGGACCATTTCGGACAACAGGTAAGCGTGTCAGTACTTGTACAAAAATCTAGCATGATTCATCCCACAAAACTAAGGAGCAAAGATACTAGCAGGGAAATCTGTTGCATTTTGACAATGTTGGCAATCAGTTCAATTTAAATTACATGTATGCCTGATTATAAGCTAAAGAAGCTGTAAAAATGCCGTTAAGACATAAACATTGATTATAGCTCATCACTGAATTAAAAATTATACTGTGGACCAACTTAAACATTTATTGCTAATTCGTTAGAGCTAATTGTTTTTAGTTCATCCCAAATCTTTTTTTATGATTTGGTGGAAAAGATATTGATTCTATCGGACAGAAATGTAATACGATTATTCATTCTGAAAACAACACACCATGTGTTACTTTGTTATAACTTCATTTTTCCTTTTGGTCTAACCTCATTATTATTATTAGATCAAAGTAAGGTTTTTTATTTGAGTAAAAAGTAACAATATTTTATTTTTAATTATACATTAATATATTTTCTTTAGTTAAAAGCAAAAGCGTTTTATAATCAATACAATACCGTTTTTTTGTGCCTTAAACTAATTACATGTACTACTATATCAAAGAAGAATTTTGACTTTCAAACTTAAAACACTTCATTACACTCAGTTCACATACTATCATTAAAGACAGGAATATTCTCCTGAAAAGACCTTAACAAATTATTATTATTTAAACATTAACAAAACTCTCCTACAACCTTAACCACATAAACATACATGTGCACATGACCTTGTACAATTTGCTTGCTTATCTCTCCATTAAAAATTGAAATACGTAATGCAATAGCCCTCAACTGTCTGACGTTGTTTAAACCAGGCAGCCTTTTAATAAAAGACCAGAATGTGTGCATGTCAACTTGTGTCATTGCTAAACATTAAATATTATACAACCTAAAACAAATCTCAATATGTAAAACTGGTTCTGCAGCTCTCATTTACAAATCGAGTAAATAGTTTCAACATTTTCATAACGAGAACCAGGATATAACCGGTCATTAAATTCAGCGGTCTGTCAGATGTTGCACAATAGTTATACCAGATACAGTAAAGAACCTTGCTGACAAGGAAAAAGCTTATAAATCCAGGCCATCACGTCTTTACCTCTTCCACTCCTGATTCCTTTTTTACAACATTTCAGTGAAGAAATTGTCCATTTTGTCCTTTATCACTGCACTATTGATTCAATCACAGCAAAATCAGCATCCCCAAATTAACACTGTCAGATTTGATTTCAACACTTTGACAGTGTCTATATGGGTCCACACCACATAGAGTTAATTTAACTCTTTTGAGTTGGTTTCTTAACACTATTCAGAGTAATTATTAACTCTATTTGGAGTTCAAATGTAACTCTTCGTAACACTAACCAGTGTTAGTTTTTCTCAACGCTTGCATGGTGTTAAATATTAACTCTATCACATAATAGTTTATTAACTACGAAAGTGTTACTCATATCTAAGATAAGATAAGATAAAATGGACCTTTGTTAATCCCTGTGGGGAAATTCAGATGTACAAAGTAGCAACAGGATAAGCGTGAAAAAACAGGACAGCAAAGATTCACACAGATTAATCAAATCAAAAATGAAATCAAGAAAAAAATAAAAAATAAAAAATAAATAATAATGATAATAATAATAAAAGACCTATCTGTGACCTCATCCAACGACACACCCCCACCCGTCGCCTCAGGTCTGCTGAAGCTAACCTACTGCAGCCCATCAGGACAAAGCTCCGGACCTGGGGTGACAGGGCCTTCGCTGCAGCCCCCCCCCACACTCTGGAACTCCCTCCCCAGCCACGTCAGATCCGCCAACACTCTCACATCATTCAAACAATCCCTCAAAACTCACCTTTTCACTCTTGCCTTCAACTCCTAATCAACTAACCCCTTGCCCTTTTTCCACTATAGCTTAGCACTTCTTACTTTTGTTGTTATTCTGTTTTACTTGCTTGTAAGCGCTTTGAGCACCAGGAAAAGCGCTTTATAAATGTAATGTATTATTATTATTATTATTATATGTTAACACTTTAAGGTGTAAATAAAGCTCTAATAAAGTATAACAATAACTAAAAAATAAAGTAGGCTAAAGTTGTTTGAAACAAGATTTCTTTTTCAAACATTCGCACCACAAAAGCATTTTAAAATACATTTCAAAATACACAGCAATATGGAACAATGTATGCTCTCTCATTTTCCGTACAGTATTGCCTATCAAAGGGTCTAACAGGTGAGCTGGTCAATACAAATAACAACATGTTCATTACTTTGGTCCTCTATACAGTAGGCATGAAAGTGATCATCATAGTACAGCGTGTGAACAGTGCAACCAATTATGAAAGCACGCTGCTCGTGAATGATGATTTTGCGTATTTTCATGAACACAGGTAGGTAATGGAATGTTCCAGTGCATATGTATAGATCTATTTGGTATTCAGTGCCATAATTGTTGACCCATCTTGTTGTTGAAACCTCTGAAAATGCATCTAAATGCTACATCTGACACTGATTCTGCACCTTCCAAGCTATTTATTGTTTTAATTTTTAAAGGACCAATCTCAAACCTTTTTAAATAATAGTTTTCATAATAAAAAGCCATTTGCCGCAGGTAAGAGAGATTTTGTAAGGTCTTTGAATTTTTTTACAGACCTTTTAAAAAAATTATGTTTTGCTTCGAATCGCATACACCACATATGGATAAGAGGGCCAATTTGTGTAATACATATAGGAAACAACACTTTGAACATGTTGTGGTGGTCACAGATCAAATGTTTTAGGTAACTTATCATTCCATCAGTCAGGATAGGGGAGAAAACAATATTAACTATTTGCAACAAAAGGAGCAAAAAGTTCCGATACTTATTTTCTCTTTCAACCACATCGCCAAAGATAAGTGGGGTATTGCGGAGAACACACAATGACTGAATGGCGTTTAAACCTAAGTGCTTGCTGTTGTCATCAAGTTTTAAAGCACTTGGTTTGTTTTTACCTTCCAAGTAACCATAGTTAAAAATCTGTACCCTGTCTGACAGTGCATTCAAAGAGATGCAACCATTCATTTCATTAGGTACTGAAAGAAAAACTTTAGCTCATACTATACAACACCCTCTAACAAATCATGCATTATATCAACTGCAAAATGGTCAGTGCTATGAAAATACTGCAATGAATTGAGCACACAAGATTGGTCTGAGCGTTGCATGGTATGGGTTTGTGGTCCACAACGATGACCAACCTCTGGATTTTCTTCCTTTGCTCACCAATGCAGAGGAGGAAGGGCTGTCTTGCTTCAACTTTCTCCAGGAATGTGGTGAGGCTGGCTCCCTGCTGTAGTTTGAATGACAAATGCATATACATTTACTGTACATATATATATATATATATATATATATATATATATATATATATATATATAAAAAGTTACTACTTAGCATAACTTACTTATAAGGAGTAAGATTTATTCTTGCAGTCTTATATCAAACTGCAACTGCAACACTTCTTACATACAACCATAGCACACAAAAAAAAAATGTTTAGCACAAAAATCTAATGGTAAATACCTTAAGAAATCTTACAAGATGGTTTGCCGCCTGTGCTGAGCTTATCTTGGCAGTTTTTTTATGGCCTCTGGGCGTTGGGGGCAGGAGATGCAATAGCAACAGGAGAGCTGAAATGTCACCACCCAGCCTTGAAAATAAACAGAGGAGAAAGTATTAGAAAACTAGAAAATGCATTTCCTGCAGAAAATGCATGCAAATGCTGTAAACTGTGAACATTTGTGGCTGAATTTAGCTGAAAATGCAGAAAAAGCTGAATATGTTATTAGCTGAATGGTAGCTGCTTTTAGCTACAAAAATGCAGAAAAAGCTTAATATTTAAAAGAAAAGGTTTAAAAAAACATGTATAGCCTTGATGTCCTGAAATAGCTGAATAATGTAATAGTGTCAGCTTTTCATAAATAGAAACTTCAATGTTCACATCTTTCTAAATGATTCTACTTTTCAATGACCTACAAATAATCCTAATAATAATCCAATAAACTTCCAACTGTTCATATTTGTTGGTCAATTAACAAACCTGTTACAAATGTGTGGTTCAACAAATTTGAGCCTTTGCCACATTTATTTGATCACCATGGAAACCTTTGATCTCTGGACACGTCGTTAGCTCAAATATAAACACCTGTGTCATGGAACGCGATGATGTCATAACTCCAACTGACATGCTCAGAGCAGCAGACTTCAGATAATGGTTAATGGTCCTGCCCTCAACAGCTCTACGTCAATTATGGGGTGTCATATGCCGTTTCCATGGAATCCCTCGCCATAAAACACGATGTCGCTGTAACTCCAATGGACACGGTCCGATCGTCCCCCAAACTTCGCTTGTATATCACCGGTCCATGCCTCAACAGCTTTACGCCAAATCTGAGATCTCACCATAGGCTGTCGCCATGGAAACGCATCCCTCGCCATAAAACACGATGTCGCTGTAGCTCCAATGGACACGGTCCGGTCGTCTCACAATCTTCACCTGTATATCACCTCTCCATGCCTCAACATCTCTACGTCAAATCTGACATCTCACCATATGCCCTTTCCATGGAAACGCATCCCTCGCCATAAAACACGATGTTGTTGTAACGCCTATGAAAAGGGTCAAAACAGCACCACACTTCAGATAATGGTTAACGGTCCAGCCCTCAACAGCTCTACATCAATTATGGGGTTTCATCATATGCCGTTTCCATGGAAACGCATCCCTCGCCATAAAAGACGATTTCGCTATAATTCCGATGAAAATGTTCAAAAAGTGATCAAACTTCCCATGTGTGCTAATAGTCCAGCCGTGAAGACATCTACGGGACAGTTTTGAGATTTCTTCAATTGCCGTTGGCATGGCAACACAATGCTCGCCATGAAACACGGTTTTCTCATAACTTCAGTGAAAATGCTCCAAATGGCCCAAAACTTCACAGGTTTGGTAACGATGCAGCCATCAACGCATCTAAGCGTATTATGGGATGTCATCAAATGTGGTTGGCATGGCGACAAATCATTCAACATCAAGTTAGTTCAAAAGTTTGCAGTTCAAATATTCTGCTGCTTTTCCAAGCCTTTTTACTTTATTTTCTTCTCTCATCTCACATTCAAGCCCCCAGTGTTCATGTATCATTTCAATCTAAATTCTTCACTTTCTTCTTACACATTACATTTCAGCATAGCAGTTTAGCATCAGCTTTTCAGCATAAAGCATTCCCACTAGCAATTTCTTCAGGAATTGCATTCTCTAGTTAGCTGACATTGTCCGTGTCAACAGAAGTGACAGTCCGCACACACACAAGACCGCAATGGCAGAAGCAAAAAAGCCCAACATATATAATTTTAACTCTGAGTGGGAGGATGATTATTTTTTTGTTTATTCCAATTCAAAGTCCATCTGTCTCATCTGCAATGCGAGCGTGGCTTTAAGAAGGGTCATTTAGAGCGGCATTTCAAAACGGTGCACAAACGCTTCGAGACGGAATTCCCTCCTAATTCTGCCCTACGCTCTTCTGTTCGTTGCGTGCATATGTATCAGAGTTAAACATGTGAAAACATAATTATAAGTTTGTGAATGTTTAATTCATAATAAGTTGTGCATTTTAAGAGATGAGATTGTTTCATTTAATATTTTAAGTTTTGTTTCCCGTGGGAACACCGTCCCGTGGCTTTTTTTTACTTCCGGTATGTATTTTCCACCCTCCGCGGACTGGCCATCTGTAGAATCTGGAGAATCACAGAACAGACGGTCGTCAAGGGCCGGCTCGATTCGCTGACGGCCGTCACCGCCCTTCATTTTATATGTTTTTCATCATTGAAGTTGCACCGACAGAGGTCCGCCGTTTCCCCGCAGCGAGGCTCCCCCCCAGTTGACAGTTCGACATGATGGCTTACCTCACTTGTGTCTCTCTACTTGCTAACTAATTTGTCTAAAATGAACTGCCATTATCAATGACTTCAACGGGCTCTGCCACTTATTCAACATGTTCAGCTTGGCTTATCAGACCTCTTTAGATAGTTGATCATCTTGGCAGTGATATACATCTAGTATGTTCAAAGGCTTATCTGCCACATGCTTTAAAGCTGAAGTACTTCCAAATGAGGGTATACAAAGAACTGTGAAAACAGAAAGATTTCCTTATCAAAAAGGTTTGTAGGTGCTATATATTTTTTTGAGAGTTTGGTAAATATGTATTTGTAAACATTGGCACATTTTGAGATCTGATCCCCCTCTTAAAAATAATTTAAAAAAGTCTTCCTAAAGATGTGTTCAAAGGCCCCTTAACCCAAGACAAAAGCAGCTGACATCTGCAGTTCAGTGAGGCAAGACTCCCAGTGGCATCTCTTAGATACATTGGCATCAAGCAAGGTAGTGCTCTTATTTTAGCGTCCTTTTATTGCAAAAATAACTCTCACACTCAGAGGTTTCTGAAATATTTTACACTGGACATACTGATTTTTAAATATATAAAATGGTTAAAAACACTGCATGTCTATTTTCCTGAGTAAGATTTTTTTCCTCAGTGTGAGTTGCACTTTTATAATGTTCAACGTTTTGTAAATTAATCCAAAATGTATTTATTTTTTCTTACTTAATGCAATATTTTTTTTTAATTAGAAGTGGTTTCTTATACATGCGGTGCTGAACATGATGATTTTTGTTTTCCATTACAGTATTTGTGGACTTTTGTTTAATTGTTGTTTAATTGTTGTCTAAGGACAGAGGGTGTCGTTTTTTCTCATACTGATATTCTGCACAAACTGTACTGTTGTATTTGCTGTAAAGTGTCTCTACTGTAGGGTATTTTTATTATATGTACAGCACTTTGGCTCGACCAAAAATCGTTTAAAAATGTGCTATATAAATAAAACTTGATTTGATTTGATTTGATTTAGATAAACCACACCTGCCATCATAGAGCTCATTTGCCTTTTGGTGTGCACTATGTATAAATGAATGTGCTATGCTGTTTCTCTCTTGTTTGCTGCACAGCCATCTTGTACCAAGTAGACCACCTTCACCCAAGAAAATCCCCCCTTGGCCCTCTGACCTTTGCAAAGGATGCAGGTGAGAGCAAACACCTTCCATGCTTCTCCTTGAAGGGACCTTTCTGTTAATGCCTTCATCAGATCTAGTTATCACGAGGGGTCACACACCTGACTGTGTTTGTGTGTGTGTGTGTGTGTGTGTGTGTGTGTGTGTGTGTGTGTGTGTGTGTGTGTGTGTGTGTGTGTGTGTGACAGGGCGCTCATTGAAAAAGTAAGAGAACGCTACTCAAAAACTTGGAAGAAGCAAGAAGATAATTACAGAAACCTCAGGTAATTGTATTTGATTACATTTTGTTTAAAAGGTTTTGGCCAGAATTGCATTAATAGTCCATGCAGGCAAAGATTTGCTGTTTCTCAGGGGAAGAGATACAGTCAGCCAACTTGTGGAACCACGCAAAGTTATGTGATGAGGCCCTCTGTTTCGCGAGCGCCGCAGACGGGCGGCCGGGGTGCTAGTGGAGCGCCGGCTAAACTGTGGCACGCTTAATTGCGCCGGATTTGCGAATAAGATGAGGCCCCCTCCGCGAGGTGAGGCCCCCTCCGCGAGGTGAGGCCCCCTCCGCGAGGTGAGGCCCCCTCCGCGAGGTGAGGCCCCACGCTGTCTGCGTGATCTGCGTGTAGGGAAGGGCGGGCCTGCAGTCAGCAATTGTATAAACGCTAAACATTGTCACAGTTTGGGACTATTCAGTGAGTAGGTCTTAAAAGTAGGTAAAAGAAGCGATTTCATTCAACAATTTGCAACTGAATCCATTGGCTTTCTTATGTAATTGAAAAAGTGGCCAAAAATCGTAAGAAATGTAGCACGAGTTAGAGAGTTTGGTAAAACAGAGAGACTGGGATGATTATGGAATAAAAATCCTTATAAGAAAGAAAATACGTTTTATATACTGTACAAACTGTGTTAGCTTTCTGTTCAACAAAACTCCTGACTTGGATGTTTTTAACAAAGTCCTTGTGTTACCCCAGCTCTCAACTGAGAAGTCAGTGCCAGGGATTTGACAGGGCCATCATTACCCAGGCCAACACTCCAGTGGGATCAAATATTGTGTACGCTGTGGAAAACAAGAAGACCCTCAAGGTGACTCCAGAGATTTTCAGCACCTTCATAAAGGTATGTCGTTTTCATTCATTGATAGTATCACAGCATCTTCTGCTTGTTGTCTTTATTGTTCCTTAAAGGGCTCAGAGATTATAAATGATGTTTAGTTACATGGTGACTGGTTGATACAAACGACCACCGATGACCACCCTTTCAAAAACACACACACACACACATGCACGCACACACTCACGCACACACACAGAATTATGATTTTCTATAATAAAACTGAGATTTTAAGTGAGGACCTCTTAATCTGACGAATGCTAAAAAAAAAACTACAATCCTATTTCAATATACAGCATGACCTGCTTTTAATGATATAATTAAGCAATAGCTCACGACAGGCCGTGGTATATGGCCATTATATCACAGTTAAGGGGCGTGGTTCGGCCCGACGCGAAGCGCTGCTTTCTTGTTCCAGTTTGAAAAGCAAACTGCAGGCAGTTTGCTTTTCAGCCCAACTGTATACAGTTTTTCTCAGACGCGGAGGGATACTGACTTGTTGTGAAAAGTAACTTACAATTCTACCCGTGGTATACGCTCAGTATATCACGGCTAAGAACCAATCAGATTGCTTGATTTGGCTTGTCCGTTGCAATAATTGCAAATTTGTAAATGTGAAATAATTCTAGTTTTTAGAAAATTGGTACTGACTCGGCTTTTGATTTTCATTCATTCTCAAATTTGTAACTGGCTTCACACCAGAAAAAAGAGCATCCAGTACCCTTTCGAGGACAACACCAGTCTACAAAGTTTGCATTCATTTAGATATCAACTGTCTGATCCATGGAGACAACAACTTTGTCAGGACTAACCGGAATAGTTCAGAAGAAAACAGTCACAGATTCAGAGTAAGTTTCAGGTTTCAGGTTCCAGTATACAGCCCACTGCTCCTGATACTGGGATGGTTTCAATACAGAGGCTATATTTCCCTGTGTGAGATCAGCTGCGACGCCAAATCTGGCCAAGGGGCGTAGAGTTGGGGGCCCAATGGCCCCTTGCACACTTCCAACCCCCCTACTACCTGCGCCCTAGCTCAAACCGCAGCTTCAAACTCTCTGATTTTGATCTCAGATACACTATAGTCAGTCATTTTTGAGAATGGTGCGCTGTTTCAGTACGTTTAAAATCGTAAAAGAATGTAGGAATTCAATAACGCAACTCAAACACCTCAATTGTACATTAAATAAATACTCACACAACACATGTTGATACTGTTGTAGGGGATTTGCAAACACGATCCAGACAAAGATCCCCATGGCTCTTGCTCATTCACAAACATGATATAATCATATGCATGTTATTGTTCTGTAACAAAAAAATGATTTTAAACATTGGTTTTATTTCCAGGAGAATCCATTTCCAAAGAAAAAATGGGACACGTGTGCTGTTGTTGGGAACTCAGGGATTCTGACAAACAGCAGCTGTGGAGAGATGATCGATTCGGCTCAGTTTGTTATCAGGTGAGAAAGCTTCAGAGGACTGAAAGGCTGATTGCGACATAAATCCACAGAATAATTGTAAATAATCATTTCTGACTCGTCTGTTATGCCTAGATGCAACCTACCTTCTTTGGGAAAAGGCTATGAGAAACATGTGGGCACCAAGACTGACCTTGTGACAGCCAACCCAAGCATTTTGACGAAGGAGTGAGTAAATAAATGAGTCTCACTGCACCAATAGAGTGTTCCCTTGGTGTTGTTGCTTGACATCTTTTTATTTTCAGGTATGGAGATCTAATGGGGCCACGCCGTCCATTTGTGGAGAGTCTACATAGCTACGGCAAATCCATTATGGTTCTTTCCCCCTTCACCAATGCACGCACCACTCCGGTGTGCCTGAGGGCAGTATACAGCATTAGGGACTTTGAAAGTCCCATTCAGCCCATGTTCTTCAACCCTGATTACTTCCAGAGTCTGGCCCTCTTCTGGAGCTCCAGAGGCCTAACCAGAGGCCGACTCAGCACCGGCTTAGTGATGGTTAACATAGCGCTGGAACACTGTGCCAACGTGCATCTGTACGGTTTCTGGCCCTTCAGTAATCATCCATTTGAACTCAATGCCGTGAAAAACCACTATTACGATGATAAAAAAGGTAAATGGACTGTCCACTCCATGCCTGCTGAGTTTGACCTGTTGTTGCAGCTGCACAGTCAAGGTGTGCTCAGGCTTCACCTGGGGAACTGTCGACCGGGTAGAAATTAGTTCCCAGGTCCAGAGACAGATGAGACTGGGCATCTGAAGAATCGGGACATTTCCTGGTGGACTGAGGGTTGATCTCAGAATTTGTCTCTAAACTATGCCTTTTCAATCCAATCCACTCACTCTCCCCCCATATCAGTTCCTAGACCCTCTGAACAGAGGGCTATACCAGAAGGTGCAATAGGATATATTGTCACTTACACCAATTAATACATTTGATAAATAATTAGGATCTCAACTTTGATAAATAGTCATTAGTATTGTCATTTTGGCCATAATAATAGTCATAATCATCTTTTACTTTTTCCAGCAAAATTGCAAGGAAATGGTTATTCAAAATATAACTTTGAGTCATGGAAAGGTTCCGATATTTGAAAAGATGTGTGTTTACTGACACATTGTGAGATGTAAAGGAATTTCAGTTAGATACAAATACATAAATATGTAATATTCACTCTGAAATGTTGTGATGGAATAGTATAAAGTTGCATGAAATGGAAATACTCAAGTTCATTGTTACGGCTGCTGCCTTTCCGGTTGTCTTCTGTCTTATATGTAAATGAGCTGTGCGGGTGCCCTGACGTCATTGGCTGCCATCTCCTGGTCCGCCTCCCAAAGATTGTGATTGGAGCCCGCCGGCCCGACGCACTCCAAATGCAGCACACAGCTGGCGCACACCTGCTGGAGATGACTACAAAGCCAGTGGACTGTGATCACTCTGGAGGCTCTGTGTGAGCGGATGCCTCTCGATAATTGCTCTAGTTTGCGTGTGTAAATCGGTTTAACAGTGGTTAACTTGTGTGGTCTTCGATTAGATTAGTACTGTGTGAGTATTGTGTGACTGTTGTACTTAACTTCAGCTGTGTTTCATTTCAGCTTCCTTATTTTAGTCTGTACCACTTTGACAGTGAGGGTTTTAGTTACTATTTAGTTTATTATCTATTTCTTTGTATGCAAACAGGCTCCTTTTGTTTGTTCCGTAGTTAAGTCGGCGCCCTTTTGGTCCTTTTGTTTGTTCAGGCTGTGTGCCTTCCATTTTGTTTCACCTTGCTATATAATAAAACGACTTATAATTATTACCAATTCCATTCTGGTGTATGTTAATCTCCTCTACCCTAGGGGGACGTAACATTCATCAAAATTGTATTTAAAGGTGGGGTAGGTAATTCACTTCAGAAACACTTTTTGTTATATTCCATGGAATGCTCTTAACATCCCGATAGCAATGAATACATTACATGCTTTGACAATAAACACATACAAAAATGTCATCTGTGGAAGCCGTGGCGCTGTAAAAAGCACGACCAATCATCTGAGCCGGCCCGGCTAAAATAACTGGATGGCCTACCTGCCTGTCAGCCTTCCATCTGTGCACAAGCTTATCTAAATCTTCAAAGTAACAAAAAAAGTGTAAAGGACAATTTGTTCCTCTGGGTTAACTTAAAGGGGACCTATCATGCAAAATGCACTTTTGTACGTCTTTTATACATGAATATGTGTCCCCGGTGTTCCAGGGAACTCACCAAGTGTCAGAAAACACAACCCTCTCTATTTTCCTCCATACCCAAATCTCTAAAAAAGGGGCTGCAACGGATCTGATAAAAACTGATCCAGATTTGAACACTGTCCTGACGTCAGGACGGTGGCGCTACGGCTATTGGGCCAACTCTCCACCTATCAGGGGAATGTGGGGTTGGGCCACGGCCGGCCATTGCCGCTCGAAAGCGCTGGAGACGCTGTAGTACATATGCCAGGCCTGTAAGTGGCGCTGTAGTCTGCCACAAAAGCAGCGAATAAGACTTCCCGCGCATGGTTACCATGGTTACCATGGTTACCATGGTTACCCTTCTGTTTATTCTCAGCTGTGGCTTTTTTTCTCCCTCCCCGAGGCAAGCGTTTGCTCCTGCTGCTTTAATTCAATGCAATCCATCCCGTCGAGGCAAGCACTGTAATTCTCTCCGGTTAGTCCACCAGCAGATGACAAACACCCACCTCTCCGCCTCTTCCAAGGAACAAGGGGACCGTGCGGCAGAGTTTCAGTTAGGTTTTCTTTCGCCGGTCAAAATGTCCGTTAAAGTTGAAATCTTCCGGACAAAATTAGAAAAGTGCCGGTCAAAGGTCTTCTTTGTTATTTATTGAGCTTTAAAACAAATGAATAACGACTCTATATAATAATAGGCTATAATAAAATACGGAGGACGGAGATCTATTTTTCTCCCCCTCTTCTGACTTGATCAGAGCGGCTCCCCTCTCCTGCAGGGGGGCGTGGTCAGCTGCAGCTCACAGAATCAGCCCCCTGCAAAAACAGGGCTGGAGAACAGCAAATAGAGCGAAATGAGGCATGGCTAAAATGCATGATCTGTTTGGTATTTTGAAAACAGAAACGTATAAATATACCCAACCCAGTCTCACATCTAAACGTGTAATAACTACGTTGGTCCACAACTTGGGACGTAGTATTTCTACAAAAACGCCTCTGAAATTGTAGGATCCCTACGTTTTTTTTCACCATTCATTTCCAATGGCTGGCGTTTATGTCACGTGATCTTCAACTTTCTCTCCGCAGAAATAAAAAAACATGGCCGACCTTCGTTTTATTCTCGGTAGAAAATGCCTATTTTAAGGTTAGTTTGGCCATTAAAATGCGTTTTGATGTCATTTGATGCGAGAAATATGAGTTGTTATTTCAGATTATGTGTGCAGTGGATGTACATGATCTTTAGTTTGCTAGTTATTACGAAGAATACTTCAGGAAATTGTGTAAATACAACGTTTTCATTGTTACATTGTTGATGTATTAACATAAACCAATAGGGGAAGTGTAAAACATATACATATATGACGCAAAAATAAAAATGTGTGAACAAAAACAAAATATTTCGAAAATGTAATACAATATATAGGCCACCAAAAAGAGGAATTATTCTTTCATATCTTGCATAAAGGTTGGGTAATATTTGCTGGTTGTTTTATCTGATTTTGGTTGGGATGTGGAAACTAAAATGAAAAACAAACCATGCTTGGTTGTACAACTTACAAATTATTTATCACTTGTATAGAGACTCTTATGACACTACTTCTATTCTATTGTATTTACTTGCACTATTTTATCTGTTTTATTGTGTTGCACTGTTGGAGGAGCCTGTGACCTAAGATTTTAAACGACGTAACTACACTGTAGCTATGTTCGAATGACAATAAAAGCCTTGAATAGTTTTTTTTATTTTGTATTCATCTATTCAATTGTCATACATGCACATCATACATTTGATATACAACAGACACAGTCCAGGGGCAGACATACAAAGCAACAAGACATTACATACGGTAAATAAAGAAAAATACATTTTGATACTTCAGATTAAATATTTTTTAAATATCTAATTTGTTTTGATTGCCTTCTTACTCCTAATATTTTTAATAGTGCTAATATATTGTTTACATTCTTGATAGAAATTTACAAAATGTGGTTTGGAGTCAGCCCATTTCATTTTATGGATATGCAATGTCCCTAAAAATACAATTAACTGCACAAAAACGACAAAATCTGCATCCATACTATCTTCCCTGGAGTACATAAGAATGTCTTTGACCTGGAGTTGAACCTTTTGTCCCGTCTTTTTCCTAATAAAACATTCTACATCATACCACAATATTATACTATACAATAATTCATAAAATAAATGGCCAATAGTCTCTTCTTGTAGATTAGAACATGTCCAGTAATATTCAATATCAAGTCCAAATCGTTGCTTGAATCTTGAAACAACGTCACCGGAAGTCAGCTGTCACCTTAAAGGGTGGTCATTTAAAGATGGCGGAGTGCATGGCCGCACGTTTGGCCGTTCAGGAGGAGCAGATACGGCTCCTCTCGGGAGAAATATCCTCTCTTCGGGACGGACTGAGTCAGGGTCTGGATGCCGGTGCTGGTGCGGAGGTTTCCCCGGAGCTGGAGAGCCTGAGGACGGAGAATGAGAAGCTCCGGTACCGGCTGCTGCACCTCCGGAGGGCTCTGAAGGAGGAGCTGCAGCTGGGGGGGCAGAAACAAGAGAAGGGGGGAAAAGCTCCGGAGAAACACACCAACAAGGAGCAAAACAACAAGGAGAAGCAGAACAACAACCGGGCTGAGAAAAAGGTAGTAATGACATAATTGTAAATACTGCCATCCTGTAATTTACTATATTTGTAATGTTATTATTTATTTATTGATTTGTTTATTCCACACATAAGATAAGATAGTAATTTATTGATGCCAATTTGGGAAATGTTTGTGTTGCAGCAGCATAAAATGACAAGGCATTGTACAATACAAATTAAAAGACAAGAAATAAACAAGAAAGTAGAACATATATGTTACGACCCGCCCCCTACTCCGTGGTAGTGGCTCGTGGGGAGACCCGCAACATAAAAGAAAACACACAAAAAACAGTACTTAGTAGCGATCATTTATTTAATGTACAGCCGCTACTCACACATGCCATCCGGCAAACGAACGAGGTCTGGAGGATTGGCCAAAAGAAACAAAAAGAAGGAGGGGGCCCGAGCCAGCCACGCCACGGGCCGTAGGACCCAGAGCTTCCCTCCCCTGACCAGAAATCAAACCAAAACCCTATGGGAAACAAAATGAAGCCACGAAAACTTGACTACCAGGTCCTCCACATCAAATGACCAGTGGTAATGGGGTCTATAGCTAAAAAAAACAGCAGAGAGATCATCCAAAGAGCAGAGTCTTCCGGCATTCTCCTCCAGTTTCTCCTTATAACACGGCTGAGTGGCATTGGGAACACCTGGGCAGAGGCGGTGCTAGTGAATTGTCCGACCGGCCCACTTCGGTACCGGGAAAACTCCCGGTATTCCCAATGGCCAGTCCGCCCCTGCCAGCCCGTATGCACGAGCTTTCAGGGAGAGTCTCCTTCTTAATGATGCAGCTGGAGATAGAGGCCCAACAGAACATGTACACTTATACTGGTTGTTTTATTTTTTAAAGCGCATGGTGGAAAGGAGCAGGGAGAAGAACATCTTATTTTACCTCCCCCTTCTTACATCTCTGAATTAACACACATGCCTCTCTGTTTGTGGACAGGTGGCAACGGCGGATAACAAAACATGTACACTTGTACTGTTTTATTTATATTTTAAAAGCGCATGGTGGAAAGGAGCAGGGAGAATAATATCTTATTTTACCTGCCCCTTCTTACAAAAAATAACAGTTGCTTACAAATACTGAAACATAAAACCAGAACACAATCAAAAGTCAACTTCATACTGTCTAAATATGCTTTCTTTATACTTTTTCTTAAACATAACATTTTTCGTACAGCCCTTAAAATCATTTGGCAAAGAATTCCACTCGAATGTGACAACCTACCTGGTAATAAGAATCAGAAACAGGTTTATTACCAGGTTGGTTTACACGTACGAGGAATTTGACTAGGTGTCGTGGTGCATACATAAAAATAAAACAACACTGAAAACACAGATAGCCGTTTCTGATTCTGATTCTGAATTCTCAGTTTAATTGTGTGATATTATTCGTGGTAGTGGTGCTGCAGCTTTATGAGTAGTGGGCCTCTGTTGAGTGAAGCCAGAATGAGAAACTATACCCTCTCATTTCCAGAAATAGCTTCCACACTCAGAGTGACACTGTGTGCATGGTTTAAATACGCCACAGCTATATTAATAATAATGTGACTCAGCAGTAATAGTGATGCAATCTTGCTGCAATTCTATTAAAGGGCCCATGTCATGGCCATTTCCACTGATCATAATTACATTGTTGAGGTATACTAAAATAGATTTATACTGTGCAATTTTCCAAACTCACATTGGTTTCGCATACAGCATCTCTGTCAAGCATGTGTATTCAGCAGTATTCACTTTCTCCACTAAACGACTCGTTGGAGCTCTTGCCCCCCCCCTCCCTGTGAGCCTAGTGTGCTCCGATTGGTCAGCTCGGCCACTCGTTCTGATTAGTCAACCACCAGAGAGGCTGCGCCCATGTCTAACAGTGCTTTTCCTGGCTGCTCTCAGCGTAACATCAGTCTTATCATGGCGTCGGTACAGCCGTATATTTTATATACATATATATTTTTAACTGTTGTTATAGAAGAGTGTGACAGCCCCAGGGCCTTTGTCTTACGATGGGGTGGAGCTGAAGAGGCTAATCAGCACGATCACGGACACCTCCGGACAGTCTCTCTCCAAAGCGGCTGCAGGAAGACTAACTCTGCGATCCTCTCAACCACCTATCTCTGCATTTACCACAATAAATGTGCCGTGGTTTTGTAAACTCGTGTATGTCTCCTTGTCTTTCCGTTGTGGCTCATAACAAAGAGTAAGTTATTTTTACCCGTTATAAACTACTACTGTTTGATGAGAAATCAAATCATGGTTTGCTATATATGAATTCAGGGAAGAAAGGATAGGCCTACTAAGTATTTCCATTAAACTTTATTTTTAGAAATGTACAAAATGAACATAAATATACATATATACACACGGTATATCATCCATTCCTCCTCCTCGCATCTTGCCTGCGCACAGTCGGTGCGGTGCCTTTTAGCACGAGGCCTCAGTAGTAGTAGAAGTCATGGATTGTCCGCCAGGATCTGGCTGGACGAAATCAAATGCAAATCACAAAATATTAGAGAAACTTAGTTGTTTTAGATTCGTTAGTAGTAGTTGTGTAATGAACAGCTTGCCTGCTAATATGCTAACCTAGCTTTGTTTACCTTGGTAGCTAACACGATATGAACGTTAGCTTGGAGGAAAGGCAACTATAATGCAGTGTAATAAAACTACTATGAACAAAAGCTAGTGGTTCATATTAGGCTAGCAATAACGTGTTTATAATTGCAATCGTATACGGGTATTCTGCTACCATACAATGTAACTTGCATGAATACATTGTTTTGCGCTAGCATACAGCTAGCCTCGTTAGCTACATGCAGTATATGTACGGTCACAATGTACGGTAAATCACCCGGAGTATACTGTATGAGTATTCCGTGTGTGTGACTGCAGACATTCTCCTGCCATGACAAACATGTAAGGCCATCTGCTGACATTGTAGTTGATATATTTAAACGCTAGCAACGTAGCATCACAAAAATGTTTTTCCGACCAAAACTAGCTCTAGCTCCGTGTGTTAGATCGGTTGCATACACGCTACGCCAGCTATAATGTAATTACGTTTCGCGACTGACCGCACGGCAAATCACCCGGAGTATACTGTCAATAGGTATTTTGTGTGTGAATGCAGACATTCTCCTGCTATGAGATACATGTATGCAAGGCCATCTGCTGATATTAGAGTTGATATATGGAAACTCTAGCAACTTAGTTAGCACAGTTAGCACTGTGTCAATGGCTTAGCAGTCCAACACAGTTTACACATTTAAACAGTCTTGTTTGATAAATACACAAATAACAATGCAAACTTACAGGTTGTATACCCAGATCTTCCCCTGCTCCAAACGGTCCAAACAAGCTGTGCATATCCGGCCTCAAACTGGGCAATGTTTTGGAAGCTTTCGTCTGTGAAATGCCGGTTCTTCGAACCTCTGGAGGAGGAACACGCCGCTGCTGGTGTGGCCATAGCTCTTCGGGATTGGTCCATTTCGTTCCGGGTACCGCATGACATCAGGCGGTACCCGGAAGAATCAAATGGGCAGTGACGTATCTCCAACGAGGAGTTTTGGGGAGGTATTTTCTGTGTTAGAGTTTTACTCGCTACAGGGTGTACTTTGAGGGTTTTGACTCTGCACACCGTTTACATGCATAAAAACCTTCATAACACACAAGGGGACGGGTAATAACCGGAAAAGCATGACATGGGAGCTTTAAACAACAGAGTGAATAGTGAATATATACTTAGGTGAAAGTAGAAATAAATAGAACAAGTTTATTCACAATTGAATTTGTTGTACTCCTCCTTACCAGCTGGAAACTCCAAGAGATTAAGTGAGTTATAATATTACACATATTATTCTAAAATGGGCTTTTCTGAAGAATAAATACCCTTTAACTTCTTATGAGGACTTGTATTTGTAATGGAGTATTTGTACACGGTGCTATTATTACTTATGCCAACAAAAAAATCCACTTCTGTAAAAATGTGCTAAAAGTTATTGTTCTAATTCTGGATTGTTATTTTAACAATGCTAGGATAATAGTATGTTTTTTATGTTAAAAGTAACCAAGTAGTTACAAATTCATGCAATACTTACAACCATAACGTCCCGCTTTGATTCCTGGTTTGGGACCTTTGTTGCATGTTCTCTCTCCCCTATTTTTACTCTGTCATCTGTTAAAGGGGACCTATCATGCAAAATGCACTTTTGTACGTCTTTTATACATGAATATGTGTCCCCGGTGTTCCAGGGAACTCACCAAGTGTCAGAAAACACAACCCTCTCTATTTTCCTCCATACCCAAATCTCTAAAAAAGGGGCTGCAACGGATCTGATAAAAACTGATCCAGATTTGAACACTGTCCTGACGTCAGGACAGTGGCGCTACGGCTATTGGGCCAACTCCACCAATCAGGAGGAGACCGCCACGGCTATTGCCGTTTGAAAGCGCTGGAGACGCTGTAGTACATATGCCAGGCCTGTAGGTGGTGCTGTTCTCACAGAATCAGCCCTTGCAAAAACAGAGCTAACATTTTTCAAATTGAGCAAAATGAGGCATGGCTAAAATGCATGATCTGTTTGGTATTTTGAAAAAAAAAAAGTATAAATATGCCTTATATGGGTATGGTCCTACACTATATTATTCAAATATAGCATGATAGGTCCACTTTAAGTGAATGTAAAGAAAAGTGCAGTATCAAAGAAGTGACTTTCTGTTGGGAAAATAGTGAATGTCCTCTTCCAATATCAGAGTACACATGATAACAAAGGTACCCCAACTGTAGCTGTGTACATGACAGGATGTATGATTACCTAGAAGAGCATCAGGACTGTTTTAGGCATATGATAGCTATGTGATTAACATGATGATTCAGCCTCTATGGAGATAGACATATGATTATTGCTTACGCAGGCCTTAGCTAATCTGAACTAAACACTGCTTTGAACCGGTATTCGTGCATCTTGTGACTGTAACTCCCTCTTGTCCCTGTCAAGGACACTGTTCTGGGAACTATTTGTCCCATGCAGCTTTGGATGCGATGAGTACTTCCATTCTTGCAAGGATAATAAATACATGTATCCTGATATTGAAGATCAAGCCAGTGACGAGTGATATTTTTCTAACACTTTCCATCTCTGAATTAACACACACGCCTCTCTGTTTGTTGACAGGTGGCAACGGCGGATACCAAATCATGTGACGGGAACAACAAGAAGGAGAAGAAGCCGGACAAGGGTCAAGCAAAGGGAGGTGTTGTTAGAGAGGTGATTAAAACAAGATACACTCCTCTGTTCAAACATCAGTATCAACAGGGACACAAATCATTATATTTCAGCTTATCACAAAGATTGTATTCACCATAGTCCCTGTCTTTATCAAAACATAGGAATTATAATGTGAATATTCTCATAGGATGGGGAAACAAGGTGCAACGCTCTGATCTTTTTCTAAATTAGTTTACCAAAGCGTTCTCTCGATGGTGATTGTTTGTTGATTTTCCGCTGCAGCAGAATTCGTTGCCAGGATTCGTTGCAGAGCGCCTCGGTCTGTACGAGCAGCTGAAGAGAGAGAGTGATGCTCTGCTGGAGGAGAGAGCGAAGAACAGTAAACCAATCAGTGTGGAGCTGCCTGACGGAGGAAAGGTGGAGGGAAGAGCCTGGGTCACCACCCCGTACCAGCTGGCCTGTAACATCAGGTCAGTGCTTAATTTAACAGACAGACATACCCACTCATTGTAGCTTCAATTACTGACTGCCAATATGACCAGTATAATAAGTTAATTCATCTAATTATACAAGCAGACATCTTAGAAGGAAACTTGACTCTCTTTGACGTGATTTTTCTCACCAGCATTTCATTTATCAACCGTTCTTAAGAATACATTTTTTCATGAGCCCACTCATACAATTTATACAAAGATGTTGATGTCATAAATTTTTTCTGATTTGGGATTTATTCTTAAGAACAGACACAAACTCAAGAGCACACTTATTCACTTTTTTGCTGCCAAGTTTTTGCATAATAGTTCGTTATTGTGCTTTCTTCACTTTCTCAGCTTTATTATATACATTTAAATACAATAATCCTTTTTTCCTTTTATAATATTTGTTAATATTATTTTACATTTCTTTATTATCAATTCATTCATTTATTATTTAGTCTAGACCAGCGGTTCCCAACCTGTGGGCTGCGGCCCCCTAGTGGTCCGCGAAGGCATTGCAAGTGGGCCGCCAAATAATTAAAAAAAAAAAATTTCTTTTTGTACAGGCTAAAGACACAAACATGGATAGCTATTAACCACACTTATCACATTTTCTTCTATATCCAGCACTAATGTAACATCCATTACCTTGAGTCAGATGAGCAGTTTTAATCTGACCCAGGTGGCTGATACTAGACTTGCTGCATTCACTGCCTGGGTCAGTTACCAAGAGATGTTGGGACAGATTGCAAATGTGAACATGCAGAATGCTTTTTTTGGAAAATTAATTCAGAGATGTATTTGGATCTACTTCCTGCTGGTTCTTGGTTAAATATCTTAAGGGGCTGGGAGTAAGTCCTACATGTGCAAGTCATGGGGACTCGAGTCAAGTCATGTGACTCGAGTCCCCACCTCTGGGCTGTACACACGAAGCAGTTTTTACTGTATCGACTATGCAAGGTGTGTTGAAGGGGCATTTGATGGCTACAGCGCTGATGAAGGTTGCACCCCAATCATAACCAGCTAATCGTACCATTTAACTTTTGGGTGATGTTTTTAACCCTCCTGTTGTCTTCGGGTCAAATCTGATAGATTTACTACTTTCATCAATCGTAACTTTTTTGTTTTACATTCGATTGCATTAAGGCTTTATGATGTCCTTCACATTAGACATTTGAACATATACAATTGCTGATCACCACTTTCATTGAGTTTTGGATGATTTAGTCAACTTTGTAACACCCATGGTTCCCGCCATGAATAAATGGAATTAGTAACCATCTGGATCAGATAAGACACACACACACACACACACACACACACACACACACACACACACACACACACACACACACACACACACACACACACACACACACACACTCTAGATGTGTTCCCCCCCTCTTATGTGCCCAATCCCCCCATGTGAAACACACACACACACACACACACACACAGAACAATTTGACACTTGTCCCGCTCTTATGTGCCCATCCCCCCACATGGATCACACCTGGCACACGCAATACATGTTCAGTGTCTATTCTTTGTATATTTACTGCAGTTGTTCATGTATACCAGTAGTCTGATACAATATGTACAGTTTGAAAGGGTGTTAAATGAAATTTAATGATGATTAATGGTTTTTCTGTTAATGTAATAGCAGTTAAAACAGGACCGGTCAAATTTGACCGCGAACACCAAAGTAAGGGGGGGAACACGAAGACAATAGGAGGGTTAAAGTATGTATTGAAGTAGAAAACCTGTCTAGCTAAATTTTTGGTGCATATCAAAGTTTTCTGAAGCCCTAGTGGCCATAGCTAGCTATTTGACCATTCTTAGAGAAAGTAATAAGCTACAACGCTGCTAATCAGGAAGTACACGTTTGAGGACATTGGGACTGTATTATCATTCATGTAAAGTGAAGGTGTAAAAGTAAGCCAACGTGGTTTGGAAAGATTTGAGAAGAAACAAATGGTTTACAAGAGTATAAATAGTTCTGACATGTGGTACAAATTATTCTACACAAGTTTTATTTTGTATTATGTGATTCATTTCAAGGGCAAATAGGTCATCTTTAAATCATTTCATAACTATCCTTTACTTGTTACAACTTTAAAGTATGCAGCATTGACACAGATTTTATATGTAATATACAAAATATTTATAAAGCAGATTCTTCAAAAACCACTCCTGAATAGACCCAATACGAGTGGATTGTTTTGTCTCCAACGTGAACATTTAAAATACACCAACACATTCAGATATATGTATATATTTTGTTCTTCTTTTTATTTCAAGCTTTTCTTTAGAGAGCACTCCTCTTCAGCCCAGAGTTTGGTGAGCAGCTACTTGATGGTTGAGGGCTCTTCTTCTCTCTGCTCAGATCCAAAGCTCAGATGTGACGTGGACCTCTCAGCTGTTCCAGTTCTTGCTGAAGAGCTGCGTTGTTCCTTCTCTCAAACTGGATCTCCTGGTGGAAATATTCCTGGTTGCTTCTGTAAGCCACTTTGACCTGCTCAAATTCATGGTGGAGCTCCTTCTTCATGGTCCTTTTCATGTTGTTTCGAACCTCAGTGGCAATCTCGAAGGTGTTCATGCTCTCAGGGTCGCAGGTCCTCTTCAGGCTCTCAAATTCATCCCGTATGTCTTTCTCTTTGGTGATGGACAATTCTTTCAGGTTCGTCTGGCGGGCTAGCTTCTGTTTAGCCTCCTCCAGTTACTTGCGTGTTTTCTGTTCCTGGTTCTGGAACCTCTTTGTGAGGCTTTTCTCACGAGCCAGCTGACGTCTAGTCTCCTCCAGTTCTCTGCTGAGCTCCAGCCTGGGGTTAGACTCCCAGCTGTTAGCATTAGCAGGCTGGCGAATGAACGTAGAGTTTTGCTCTCGACGTCGCTGCCTCCTGCTCACACGCTCCATCTTTAGCTGGAAGATTATCTGTGTGTAGTTCTGCTGAAAATGTGTTCTCTCTCTGAAGGAAAATGTTTCGTGCAGACTCAGAACCTGGGTCCTATTTGCCTGCCAACATTCTATGACATCCCTATGGAAACATGAAATAATTGCAAAGAACGAGTGCTTTGATCAGCTCATGACATCACAGGGCATTCCGTCCTAGTTGGTGCACCGATGACATCATGTGTTCTGAATGCTTTGATCTGCTCATGACATCAGCATGACATCACAGGGCATTCCGTCCTAGTTTGCAAATAGGACCCAGGTTCTGAGTCTGCACAAACCATTTCCCTTCAGAGAGGTAATACATTTTCAGCAGATCTACACACAGCAAATCTTCCAGCTAGAGGAGATGGAGCATGTGAGGCACAGACATCGAGAGCAGCACTCTACGCTCATGCGCCAGCCTGCTAATGCTAACAGCTGGGAGTCTAACCCCAGGCTGGAGCTCAGCAGAGAACTGGAGGAGACTAGACGTGAGCTGGCTCGTGAGAAAAATCTCACAAAGAGGTTCCTGAACGAAGAACAGGAAACACGCAGGAAACTGGAGGAGGCTAAACAGAAGCTAGCCCGTAAGGCGAAATGGAATGAATTGTCCATCATCAAAGAGAAGGACATACAGGATGAATTTGAGAGCCTCAAGAGGACCTGCGACCCTGAGAGCATGAACACCTTCATGATTGCCACTGAGGTTCAAAACAACATCAAAAGGACCATGAAGAAGGAGCTCCACCATGAATTCGAGCAGGTCAAAGTGGCTTACAACATCAACCAAGAATATTTCTACCAGAAGATCCAGTTTGAGAGAAGGAACAACGCAGCTCTTCAGCAAGAACTGGAACAGCTGAGAGGTCCACGTCCTTCCAGCCTGAGCTTTGGATCTGAGCTGAGAGACAGCCTTCAGGAGCAGCGGGAGTCAGAGGACATGGAGCTGCTGTCAGCAGAGTCTCTGATGCAGAGGATGGGCCAGAAGATCCAGTCTGTGAGAAACAGGAAGAACAGCCCTCAACCATCAAGGAGATGCTCACCAAACTCTGGGCTGAAGAGGAGTGCAGACCTCATCTGACACTCTGAAGAAAAACTTGAAACTAGAAAATGCATTTCCTGCTGAAAATGCGTGCGAATGCTGTAAACTATGTACATTTGTTGATGAATTTAGCTGAAAATGCAGACACGATGTTGTCTTAAATCAATGGAAAAGGTTCAAAACGGCACCAGACTTCAGATGACAGTTAATGGTCCGGCCCTCAACAGCTCTACGCCAATTCTGGGATGTCATCATATGCCGTTACCATGGCAACGCATCCTTTGCCATAAAACACAATGTTGTCTTAAATCAATGGAAAAGGTTGCAAACGGCACCAGACTTCAGATGACAGTTAATGGTCCGGCCCTCAACAGCTCTACGTGAAATCTGAGATCTCACCGTATGCCGTTTCCATGGCAACGCATCACTCGCCATAAAACACAATGTTGTCTTAAGTCATTGGAAAAGGTTCCAAACTGCACCAGACTTCAGATGATGGCTAATGGTCCGGCCCTGAACACATCTAAGCGTATTATGGGGTGTCATCAAATGCCGTTGCCATGGTGATAGATCACTCGCCATCAAACACAATGTTTATGATACTGCTGTAACTGCTAAATACATTGTCCCATCGGCCTGAAACTTCCCACGTTGGCCGAGTCCTCGAGACACCTACACACACACCTCGACGTGCGGACAACAGCCTGCGGAGCGTCGAAGACCCGCTCAACGCTGCTTGCAGCTTTAATTATTATTATTATTATTATTATTATTATTATTATATTATTGTTTTATTATTGTATTGTGTTATTTAATACTTATTGCCTGTACAGCACTTTGGTCAACTGAAGGTTGTTTTAAATGTGCTATATAAATAAATAAAGATTGAGATTGAGATATTAAATGTAAGTAGTAGTGAATGAATGTGTATTAATAAGAGAAAATAAAGTAAAAACGCTTTGAAAAGCAGCAGAATATTTTAACTGCAAACTTTTGAACTAAAACCATACGTCACCAATAATGTATAATATATATTTCAAGCACTCCTCCACTCTAGGTGTGACATCACGCACTCTAGCCTTAACGAGCTGCGCAATACACACTAATGTTACAATCTGAAGAAGGCCACTTTACCAAGCTCCAAACTAAGTTAAATATCTCAAAAAGTGTAAAAAATATCAAAAATCTGAAGAATAAGTTGTATAGCTGAATGTCTTGTGATCATTTTAAAGTTGGAATGAAGTCTCTAGCTGAAAGTATGTGGAAGGAGTAGCATTTGGCGCATGGTGTAGCTAAAAGAGGATTTGAAGGTTCCTCCTATTGAGTTACATTGTAAAAAAATGTCATAAACAAGAAAAGTCATATTACACATGGACATGTGAAGGAGCTGAACATTTTAATATTTGAATGGTTTCTGTAGCTGAAAGTATGCTGAAGTAGTTAGCGGTTGAAATAAGAAGCGGAAGAATAAAGATTGGAAGAACAATAGTGGGACAGCATTCGCACTAATAAAAAGAAGAAAAGAAAATATATATATTTATAAAACGGACAAGTAAAATCAAGCAATCTGATTGGTTCTTAGCCGTGATATAATGAGCGTATATCACGGGTAGAATTGTAGTTACTTTTCACAAGTCAGTATCCCTCCGCGTCTGAGAAACAGCTACAACCGTTACAACTGTTACATTACGTCCGTTACGAAACTAACTAACTAACAAAGCTCAAGATGGAAACATTTAAGGTTAACTTCGACCTCCGGGGTGGCCTTACTATGGAGGAGTGGATTGAGCAGTGCCTATCTCCAGAAAGCACCTAAACGACGACATGCAGAGCTACGTGAAGAGCAGGTAGACCAACTGGAGAAGTACCCCCATTCAAAAGCTTTCTGATGCGGGTCTTGAAACAAAGCAGAGAAATGATGACCGTTAGTGGCCACAGGTGCGAAAGCTCTCTCCAGAGCTACTGGAAGCCGAATCTCGGGGACCGGAGAAAGTGGAGCAATATTCTCGCCACGCCAAGCAACAGCCTAGAACAACCTCAACCTATACAAGTAACCTCTTAAGCCATTCTACTGATGCTGGACAGTTTTTCAGTGGGTGCACAATAAACGGCAACATACAACTGACTCTAAATAAATAGCCAAATAATCGATCAACACTCTCTGTCTAATATGTTCGCTAGCTGTTAGTTTTGTTGCATAGCAAGAAGGCAACGGAGGTACTATTTTATTTTGAACATCATTATTTACAAATAAATACTATTTAAATTGGAGCGTGTATTTTCTTTCATATTGCCATACTTGGTAACCGTTTTATAAAAGCAATAGCTCACTTCAGACCGTGATATATGGTCATTATATCACAGCTAAGGGGCGTTATATAAGACCATATACCACGGCCTGTCGTGAGCTGTTGCTTAAATATCTGAATGTTTTGGTGTATTTTAAATTGTCGAGTTGGAGACAAAACAATCCACTTGTACTGGGTCTATACTGAAGTGTTTTTTTAAGAATCTGCTTTTAAATATAATGCTGCATAATTAAAAGTCATAACAAATAATGAAAAAGTATTAAAGTATATATTAAGTATACAAATATGCAGATATATTTGATCCTCTGATCAACGTTCTTTGCTACTATTATAGTGCAATTTAAAAACATTTAAAGAGTTTGGGGTTACTGTTTTATGGAAGAAAAATTGAAGCAAAAATAAAGGATATATTGTTGTCCGCTTCCAGTAGAGGCCCATACATACTCAGGCCATCTCCTTATTCATTTAGTTAGGGTCTGGCAAAAGTCCCAATGTTGTACAATAATTGTGACAAATGCTTTCTATTGCAAAATCAGGAGATAATACTAGGATTCAGGTTCATTATGTGTTATTGAACTTCTGTGCCTCCTCACATGGACAATAGCCAAATGTTAGGGTTTTGCTTTGGGGTAGATGGTGTTGGTTGTACAGTATGTATCCAATATGACCCCGAAGAGGGTTAGGGTTCCCCCGGGAAAACAATATGTAGCTTAAAATGGGCTAATGATAAGTCAACCCAGTCTCACGGCATTTCGTGTTATAGTCACGAAATGAAATCTATTGATTCGTGTTCACCAACATGATTTTCCCCTTTTTTTGTTTTCGTGTCACACAGAACGATTTTAAAAGCAATGTATTTCTATTGGTAGTATGTTTCGTGCCTGCACCACGTCTTTTTGTCCGGTCGGGTCTTGGAAGACCGGAAGCTGTGGGGTTCATAAAAACATAATCTTACTCAATATCAAGCCACGATTATTGTTTTTATTTTAAATCGTATAATGTCTGACTTTTTTTTGCCATCCGTGAGGAAAATAAATGGGGCTCAGAGCCTCAGAATACTGAAATCTGTATTTTTACATATTTCTTTCCTTCTAATTTGTTATTCTTTTCTAAATAACACAGTTATTTACTCAACAATAACACACAATTATCCTTGTTTTTATTTATTTGTAACACCAAACCGACAGAAAAGAGGGTCTTAACATGACCCAGTGGCCTAGTAAATAAAACATAATAATATCAAACATAATATTACTATCAACTTTATTGTGAAATTAAAACAGAACGGTAAAGAAAAATACAGTTTCCGGTGTCCGTGTGAGGCCCAATCTCTCTCGATTTGAAGCTTATGCATTGTACCATGAACCTATACACCTGTAACAGTCAAAGACAGGCAACTGTTGAGGAGTTGGAAAGGTAGTTTTTGAAGATGTTACAAATAACACAAAGCATACAATGCCATAATAACTTTTTTATTATTAGAAGGCATTGCAAGTGGGCCGCCAAATAATTGAATTTCTTTTAATTTTAATTTTTTTATTTCTTTATTTTTTCATTTTGTTGTACTGTACAGGCTAAAGACACAAACATGGACATAACAATAACGTATAGGAGATGACATTCCCATCTCAGACAACGCAACAAAAACAGAAGAAATAAAGATACAATTATAGGACCACTTCAACATTTCACAAACAACAATAGGTTGACAACCAAAAACCACCAAAAACACAACATGGCAAGCATATGTATTGTTCCTTTGATCCCACTCTTCGATAGAGCCAATTATTGCATGTCATGGCGTGTTCAGCCACCCTTTGATTTTTTGGGGCAATCATTTTTTCCAAAAGAAATTGTATTTTTAATCTACTCTTCAAATACCTTAAATTAAGATTACTCCTTGATTGACTTTTAAAAATATGTATTTTAGACAGAAGAATAGTTGTATTTATTAACTGTGTGTCTTCATCTAAAAGCCCAAATAAAATATTAAAGGGTGTAAATGTAAATTCAATATTTGCCGCCAAATAATTAGCAAAACATTATGATTTGTGTGGAAACATTTTCATTATTAAGATTTTTTTTAATTTGAAACTTTTACTTTCTCTTTCTTGATCCTCCTTAGCAACGGTCATTACAGTCCTTGACAGCGGTCTGTTCTACTGGATAAACAACGTGTCACATGTTCTGAATCGACCAATCAGAACTTTATTTAGCCTTATTTAACTTTATTTATTTTTGATTCTTAAGTGGGCCCTGAGTTGAAAAAGGTTGGGAACCGCTGGTCTAGACAATAAGATCCATTATTATATCTACAAAGGTACAACCCATTTTGTTGTTTAAGAACACTTCATGAAACTGACTTCGACTTTTCTCAAGGACACATTTCAGAAAATAAATTCGAAAGATATTGGTGAATGAGGCCTGATCATACTTGTTATTGTAATGATGATGAGAATCACAAATTTGGACCCAGCATCTCTGAGGAAGCTCTCTCTCTCTCTTCCAGCCAGGGCCTGGCCGACAACGCTGTGATTTCTCGTGTGAACGGAGAGCTTTGGGACCTGGACCGCCCGCTGGAGCACGACTGCTCTCTGGAGATCCTGCGCTTCGACAACGAGGACGCTCAGGCTGTGAGTACAAACAATGCATTTAATAAAAGACATGTTAACACTTCGCCAGGGCGTACCAAAGGATGTTTTTTGGGCAGCTATTCTAAAATACCGTATGATAGCCTGCGTCAGAAATAAAACAAAAAACCCACAACCGCTATAACGGACCGTCCACACAGCAGCGTTAAAAAATCTTGGAACGCTTTGAATGGGGTGACGTCACTTTGCCTCACTTTTCGCCGAACTGCATTGTGGGCAGCAGAGCGGAGATTTTCAGGATTTTCAGGATTCAAAGTTGAGCAATGTTCAACTTTTGAGGCTGAGGTGGAAGCGTCAGCCAATCAAATCCCGTGTATGCAAATCTGACAGTTCAAGCGCTAGCCAATCAAACGGCGTGTATGCTGGGAGAGACATACCGCAGGTCATTTCCTCATATTCCAAAACATGGAGGAGAAATTAGCGGTAGCGAATCACCCGGTGCTTTATGACCAGTCCCTATTTACCTACCGGGATACAAACCGGAGGAGCCAGGCATGGAGGGAGGTGGCAGAGACAGTGGTAGGTTTTCGCCTGTTTGGGGAGTTTATATCCAGTTTACTTCGGGCTTTTTTGCTTCGTATGTCGCGGGCGGGAGATTCATGTGATTGGTTGTTGGTGCCTTGCTCGCAAGAAATCCCCAAGCTTCAGATACGCCCACCTCCAAGATTTGTTTAACGCTGCTGTGTGGACGGGCCGTAATATGACATTCACGTTTGAATGCTGCACAGCTTTTATGATTTAAAGAAAAATGTTCCTTTAACCCTTATGTTGTGTTCTCCCGTGACCCGTTTCAAGTTAAAATTATATAATAACTACGCTCTAGTTTTTTTTATCGAAACAAGGCTTCATGATATCCTCCACAACAGCTATATAAACACTACAAAACTGATTTTGACAATTTTTGCCAAGTCTGAAGGTCTCAAAAAAAAAAGTGTATAATTTGCTGTTCGGGTCTGGGGAGACCCGGCAGAATTGTTTTGGGTGACTTGAGGTCAAATTTGGCCCAATCAAGATTCATCTTTGACTTTTGACACCCCTCCCCCTTCATCAACTGTAACAATAATTTTTCGCAACATGCACCTGGTCTTTTCTTTCAATAAGTAATATATACTGTACTTCTTCATGTTGTATTCTAGGTGTATTGGCACTCCAGTGCTCACATCCTGGGGGAGGCGATGGAGAACTTCTATGGAGGCTGTTTGTGTTACGGACCCCCCATTGAGAACGGTTTCTACTACGACATGTTCCTGGATGGACAGAAGTGAGCCAGTATTTTCACTCTGTGTTCAGACATGGATTACACTCCAAAGATAGTACTAATTATTTATACATCCAGTCTTATTAATGTATAGATATTTCACTGTTTTTCAGTGCAATATTAGCAGAGATGGCAAAAGTACACACATCCTTTACTCAAGTAGAAGTACAGATACTCGTGTTTCTGACTAAACTTCTTTTCTCAAGTAAAAGTAAAGAAGTATGGACTTTGAAATGTACTTAAGTAAAAAGTACCCATAACTAGCAGCTGTTTTAAAGAGTACCTGACCTCCCTTTATATTAATAGAACAATAATGTCATTGTTAGCTAATGAATGTTTCCATGCTGAACAACGGCAACATGACAACGTTTTCATTGGTCCCTCTTCTTTAGAGAAGACCAGGAAATGATGGATACACGGATCGTGTTCAAATCAATAGGCACGCAATGACTCTAAATAATAATGATCACGCCACCAAACACACATTCAAACTAAAGGAACCAGCCTGTTTGGAAAATGTAAGAAGTAGAAAGTACAGGTATTTGGGTTCAAAATGTAAGAAGTAAAAGTAAAAAGTTGTCAGAAACATAAGTAGTGGAGTAAAGTACTGATACCAGAATAATGTACTTAAGTACAGTCACGAAGTATTTGTACTCCACTACTTCCCACCTCTGAATATTAGTGATTAGAGAAGCGACATGATGCTTGTAATGAACTCAACGTATTTCCTGTTTCCAGGGGCGTCTCCAGCACTGAGTTTGGGGACCTGGAGAGTTTGTGTAAGGCCGTGGTGAAAGAGAAACAGCCGTTTGAGAGGCTGGAAATCAGCAAGGAGACGCTGCTGAAGATGTTTAAGGTGAGGGAGCTGACAAATATTCTCTAGCCACACACTCACCTGGTTCAAGAAGTTTTGTAAAGTATTAGTATGATTGTTGTTTATATTATTGTTATTTTAAGGAACTTAGCTTGGTTGATCATCTGCTGAGATCCTTTTGCTTGTGTGAATTCAGATTTTCAATTATGGCATATTTGTTCACGTGTCTTTTAAAGTTTTGTAAATATAAGAGTGGCTATTGTCCTGTTTGGATAAAACTCCACACACTTACATAGCCTGGTTTATACTGTCTTGCCTTATTTTATTATTATTATATGCTTGTGTGAAATTTGAAATCTTTAAATCAAGACCAATAACATGTGACCTGTGTGTCTTTCAGTACAACAAATTCAAGTGCCGCATCCTGAATGAGAAGGTCACCACCCCCACAACTACAGTGTATAGGTACGATGCTTCTTATAAAAAGTACAAGTATTACTGGATTTGTTTTTATTCAAGAAGATTTATTAAGGGGGTTCTTTGCAAAACTCACTGTTGTGTATTTGATGAACCCTGGTTAGATGTGGGCCCCTCATTGACCTGTGCAGAGGTCCTCATGTGAGACACACAGGCAAGATTAAAGCCATGAAGATCTACAAGGTAAGTGGAAACACACAGGATCAGTTTCTTATTTTCAAATTTATAACTCTTCTTTAAAGGGGACCTTATGTCTTTTATACATAAAGATGTGTCCCCGGTGTGTCAGGGAACTCACGCAGCGTCAGAAAATGAAACCCTCTCTTTTTTCCTCCGCACCCAAATCTCTAAAAACGGGGCTACAACGGAGCTGATCCAGATTTGCGTCCGATATGACGTCATATCTGAAATGTGGACCCACGGCACTATCAGAAAGTTGCTATCAGAAACAATGCCCGATTGTTTTGGACGTAATATGGTCTTTGTTTACATTAGCATCGCTAACACTCAGAGCTAACCTGTACTGGAGAGCATGTGTGAAAAAGCAGGAAATAAAAAAAGGAACTCACCTTGTGGTAAACCTGAGAGAGAAAAAGCATTTGAGCTCCATACTGTTTCAGAAATAATCCTTGATGTGGTTTGGAACATGATATGGCGTTTCATCACGGCAGCATTTAGCTGAGTATCTCGTAGAATTCTGAGCAGGCACAAGCTCCCCCTCCTCTTTTCTTTCAAGCTAAGGACCCGGATCAGCACTTTAGTAATGCGGCTTTCACACCGGCGCTTTTCACTTTCTAGCTCCTCGCGAGAGCTTTTCTGGTTCAGCTCCCGTTTCCCTTTTCAGCTCCCGCTCTGTTCACACCGCTCACACCGCTCAAGAGCCGGGATGGTACTGCGTCATTGCCTCATCGTTTGCGTCATGACGTAACCGTTTACGTGCCTGCTTCCTAAAACCCAAACCGCGCGGAAATCACAACAACAATGGCCGATTGTATTGAAGCGCTGTTCGCTGTGGTTATCCTCTTACGAGACGAAATGGAAGGCATCGGACGACTTTTCAAGGGACGACTGAATATTGCCATGAAGTTGTGTACAACCAACCCCGCCCATGCCCCTGCCCCCGCCTCCGCCTCGACGGACGTAAGAGAGACGTAAGCGACGCCGCGTCATAGCTCCAAAGCTCTTGCCTCTGGACCGACAACTTTTTGGAGCTGGAAGTGAACCGCATTCCGGAGCTATGACGCGCCGCCGCTGCGGTGTGAACAGGAAAAACCGGCGCTTTTCAGGCTCTAGCTCCCAGCAGGAGCTGGAAAAGCGCCGGTGTGAAAGGGGCATAACAGAGCTGGAACAGAGGGATATGAGGGATTTCTAAAATGCATGATCTGTTTGATATTTTGAGCAAAACACATCAAAGACATGTTTTTTTATATATTTTTATATATCTGAGACCCATAATATATGCCTAAAAATGTCATAATAGGTGACCTTTAATATTTCCTTCCTCTTCCTCAGAACTCCTCCACCTACTGGGAGGGCCGCTCCGACATGGAGACGCTCCAGAGGATCTACGGGATTTCCTTCCCAGACTCAAAGATGCTGAAGGAGTGGGAACGCTTTCAGGAGGAGGCCAAGAACAGAGACCACCGCAAGATCGGAAAAGTGAGTTGAAATCATACGGAGTGAATTACGATTGTATAATATGATGAAGACAGGCTTTAGAGGTTTTTAGTCTCATGAGAGTCTCTGGGTGTTTCTCAATGTCGAGGAGTCTTCCTTGGTAGCACATGTACCTCCGAGTCAGTTGCTTCAGAAGTGAGGCAAGAATCCTTCCTAGCCTCGGAAAACGAAGAATTGTGGCACAGGCTAACAGGTGTGCAGGTGTGCGTCATATGCGAGGCCCCGCCTTAAATGGAGCGCGATTTCCGCCAAAGATTTGGAAATTGGTCCGTGCGCAAAGCATTGTGGGGATTTTAAGACCACGGAGTCTACACATGTGCAGCCTCGAAATTTCCCGCAACGAAGTACGCCGGCCTCGGTAGAATTCCAAGTATCCTGGACATTGGAACAGTCCTTCGGCGGCACTCGATGACATAGTATCCTTGAAATAGTGGCTCTGGAGCAGCCTTCCTCGACATTGAGAAACACCCTCTGTTTTTGTTTTTTTTTAAGTGGTGAAACGAAGCTGGATCACATGAAGGAACTTAAAGCTTAATTTAAAAAACAATCAAATGCAATGCAACATTACTTGGAGGTTAGAAGAAGCAAAATCCTACTTCAGCATCACAGAATGCTCAGTGGCAGTTTTAGACTCTAAAACCATGTTATTGTGCATGAAAACACCAGTTGCTGCTCTCCTCCAGGTGAGGGTGCTGTGAAACCAGAGAGTGAAACGATACAAAGGAAATGTTTCGATTTGTAAATTGTTTAATATGATGGCGTGGACATCTACTTTGAGGTTTTTGTAGGAGTTTATCCTCGTGGGAGTTTCGGTTTGTGGTTTTATTTATGTGGTGAAACACAAAGTGAATAGAATTGGAATAGAATATGGAGGGATGAAACCCCTCTTTTAATGGTCACACATGCAGAGCACACAGCGCACACAGTGACATTTGTTCTCTGCTTTTAACCCATCCTAGTACCAGGAGTCTAGTGCTAGGAGCAGTGGGCAGCTATTGCACAGCGCCCGGGGAGTGAGGGGGGAAGGGGGATGTCCGGTGCCTTGCTCAAGGGCACCACGGCAGGGCCCAGGAGGTAAACTGGGACCTCTCCAAGTAGCAGTCCACACTCCATATTTAGGTCTGGTCGGGGACTTGAACCGGCTCACAGTCCAACAGTCCAACTGACTGAGCCACTGCCAGACCTAGAACCAGGATCACATGAAATATCTTAAAGATTAATTCAAAGATATTTAAACTAGGGCTGTCAGTCGATTCAAATATTTAATCGCGATTAATCGCATGATTGTCCATAGTTAATCGCGATTAATCGCAAATTAATCGCACATTTTTTATCTGTTCTAAATGTACCTTAGAGGGATATTTTTCAAGTTTTTAATACTCTTATCAACATATGAGTGGACAAATATGCTTTATATGTTTGTTTATTATCATTTGAACAATGACAAATATTCTCATGAATATTAAACACAACCTCTGAACATTACAAATATTCGCCTCAATTCAACCTGGAACCTCTCTCATACAATACTGTGTGTGTGTGTGTGTGTGTGTGTGTGTGTGTGTGTGTGTGTGTGTGTGTGTGTGTGTGTGTGTGTGTGTGTGTGTGTGTGTGTGTGTGTGTGTGTGTGTGTGTGTGTGTGTGTGTGTGTGTGTGTGTGTGTGTGTGTGTGTGTGTGTGTGTGTGTGTGTGTGTGTGTGTGTGTGTGTGTGTGTGTGTGTGTGTGTGTGTGTGTGCGCGCGTGCGTGCGTGCGTGCGTACACTGTGATGGATCGTTGGAGCTATGTGCAGCTCAAGGCATAATGCTCGAATGGGAGCTGCCTGGACGCTGCAATCATGTTGCGCGCACTATCCGTGCTGAGTGTGCTGACTTTTCATACAATGTCCCACTGTCTGGCTACCTGCATAAAGTCAAGTGCTCGGCGCAGTTGTCGGCGAAATGTCATTGAAACAGCTCCTTATATCCGTTAGCGCTAGCTAGCACCAGATGCTAACAACAACAACACGTAAGGTGTGCCTCGCTCGCGCGAGTCGCGCCACACATACACACTCCCTCCCGGTCCTCCCGATGGCCGGGCCTGCCGGTGAGCGTGGAAGTGTGGTCTGCCACAAGCGGGCGGCAGGAGCGGGGCTGTCAGCATCATCATGTAGATGGTATTTTACACTCGATGCGCTCTGAAACTACGGCGGCCGAGGACAAAAAATACACATGCGTTAATCGCGTTAAAATAATTAGTGGCGTTAATTTTTTTTTGCGTTAACGCGTTATTAACGCGTTAACTTGACAGCCCTAATTTAAACACAATCTGAAATTACTTGGAGGTTATGAAAGGTTAAATATTCCTCAACAATCTGGCCAATTGATGTAATGTTTGTTATTTGGCACATAATCGCCCGTTGCTGCTCTCTCCCTGAAGGGGGCTTTGAAACCAGAGGCTGAACTGATATTAGGTGAAATTAATTTGTTATTGTTGGCATTATTTTTCTCGTGAATGTATGGGTTTGTGGTTTTATTGAAGTTGTGAAATAAAATTACTGTAAGACAATAAAACAAAACACAAAAGTACTTAAAGTTTAGGAGAGGTACAATCATTACCAAATGATCAAGTTTTGCGCAGTTTTAGACACCTGTTTTTTGGCATTAAATGGCCTGTTGCTGCTCTCTCCCAGCTGAGGGCGCTGTGTTTCTTCATATCTTCACATTTGGCACCCTGTGAGTCACGTGATCGGCCCAGCTGGTTTCCCAGCATGTGAGACGCAGACGGCAGCACCTCCATCAGCACCGATAACACTCAGACCCACGATAAGCCCGAGAGTCTAGATAAATGCTGCTGGAGGCAGTTAGAGGGAGGTGACAAAAGTGACATGTTGTTTTAAAGATGGTGCTCTGTGGCATGATCCCAAGCTGAGCCTTATCTCTCTCACAGAGCTTCATTAAGCATAGCATCTCTAAAAAGTCCTGAACAACAGGTGAAGAAACATGAAAATACACAGAATACAGACAGATTGAAACGGCTACTTCTGCACTATAACACCAAGCATTAAAAGGCATAAGGACAGTAAAACATGTAAGGTACAAATATAAAACAAAAGGAAAATCGCAGCTACTTTAAGAGGCACTATTCTGCTTTCTGGGGTTTTCCCTCTCCTGTAGTGTGTTGTTTTCTGTGCATGTAAATGGTCCGCAAAGGCTGACATCACTATGTAACACTCGCGCTTCTATTGGCTAGCAATCCAACATATTGTACGTGATAGGTTAAGGGGCGGGACATCTCTAAGCGGTTGACCAATCACAACAGAGCCGGCCAGCTAACCAATCAGAGCAGACTGGGCTCTGGTTTCAGACAGAGGGTGAAAAGAGGTAGGGAGGCAGGCAGTATGAGAAAAATAAAGAGCTTTTTGAACATTAAAGCATGGAGACATGTCACAGTAGAGACACTACATACTGATATACACCTGAACATCAGCAGGAGAGGACTCTTTAAAGTAGAGACACTACATACTGATATACACCTGAAGATCAGCAGGAGAGGACTCTTTAAAGTAGAGACACTACATACTGATATACACCTGAAGATCAGCAGGAGAGGACTCTTTAAAGTAGAGACACTACATACTGATATACACCTGAAGATCAGCAGGAGAGGACTCTTTAAAGTAGAGACACTACATACTGATATACACCTGAACATCAGCAGGAGAGGACTCTTTAAAGTAGAGACACTACATACTGATATACACCTGAACATCAGCAGGAGAGGACTCTTTAAAGTAGAGACACTACATACTGATATACACCTGAACATCAGCAGGAGAGGACTCTTTAAAGTAGAGGCACTACATACTGATATACACCTGAACATCAGCAGGAGAGGACTCTTTAAAGTAGAGACACTACATACTGATATACACCTGAACATCAGCAGGAGAGGACTCTTTAAAGTAGAGACACTACATACTGATATACACCTGAACATCAGCAGGAGAGGACTCTTTAAAGTAGAGACACTACTCTATATACTCGGGTGATTTTTAATACCTTCTTGTTATAGCCTGGCAGCAATCAAATTAAAATAAAACCCCTCCCTCTCTATTCTACTTTCTTCAGGCGGTCATTGGCTGACAGTCTGTGATGTGATGACTCCCTGCTGTGCTTCCAGGTGTTTCTCTCTGATTGAACCTGCACATTTAAGTCATTAAAACATATTCTGTGTCTGCTTCACAGGACCAGGAGCTCTTCTTCTTCCACGACCTCAGCCCTGGAAGCTGCTTCTTCCTGCCCAGAGGAGCGTTCATCTACAACACGCTGACCGAGTTCATCCGGGTAAGAGAGGAGGCCGAGTGCACATCACCTGCTCCTCTGTTTACACTTTATCTGCAGAGTTTCAAATAATTAACCCCTACTTCTGGTTTATGCCTTTTTTATTTGTCTGTAAAGTGTTTTTGAGTACAAGGAAAAGTGCTATAAAAATACCTCTTTTTTTTGTTGTAATATTGGAATTAAGAAAAATATCTATAGCAAAACCATATAAATAAATAATAATCTTTACTTGTATGGCACCTTTCATACAACAAGTGCAGTCCAAAGTGCTTCACATAGACCTTTCACAGAAAAATGTATATCACACAGAATACAGTTACCAGTAAAAGACATAAAAACGAATAAGAAATAGAGTAGAGTAGACATATATAAAAAATACATTTAGATTAAAGGTACAACGATGAAATTGTGCATTAAAAGGAGGATAGTGCAAATTCAACACACAATCAGGTGACAGGTTAAATTCCTTCGCAATGCATTTCAAGTCGTGGCTGAACCTGTCTCTGTGGTCCTGCCTGACTCTCATCATACTACTTCCCTGATGGCTCCCACAGGATTGTTGGCATCCTCGTGGAATCATCTTCTTATTATAGACACATGCATTTCCAAACATTTGGTCTACCTATGCTGTAAAATGTATTATCTCTTCGATTTACACACGGCATCTATTGCACGTCTGTCCGTCCTGGGAGAGGGATCCCTCCTCTGTTGCTCTCCCTGAGGTTTCTCCCATGTTCCCCTTTAAACTGTGGGGTTTTTCTCTGGAAGTGTTTCCTTGTACGATGTGAGGGTCTAAGGACAGAGGGTGTCGTATTGTCATTCTGATATTCTGTACAAACTGTGAAGTCCACTGAGACAAATGTAACATTTGTGATATTGGGCGATATAAATAAACATTGATTGATTGATTGATTAAGAAAGTGCAGCAGAGAGCAGGAGTTTGCTTCCTAAAAGGCTAAATTGTACAAATGTGTTTTGACTTTCTTTTAAAGACATTCATCCATTTTTTATCAATTCAATCTAATATCTTACAAAACTACTGAATACTGAATACATGGCTCTGAAAGTAATCCGAATACAGTTACAGTTACGGGTCTTAAAAAAGTAACGTATTCAGATTACTTTTAGAATACTTTTGGAATACTTTATTTTTCCATAACAGATGATGAACAGGAACAGGAGACACGTATTTTACTGTTTTAATGGCTTATCAAGAACTCAAACACAACATCTTGGTGTCATTCTGGACAGCTCCCTCTCATTTACACCCCACATAAAAAACAACCCCCGGACTGCATTCTTTGTCCTGTCTTAAACCTTTCCTTCGAATATTTTATGAATTGTAAGGTGTCCTTGGGTGCTTTGAAAGGCGCCCCTAAATAGAATGAATTATCATTATTATTTATTATTATTATCTGAAATGATGTAATAACCTTTTTAACTTGTTCCAGTCACTTGCCCCATGCATTCGGCAGCAGCAGGCCATTCACTTTGATTTGATCCCGTTATTAAATGTCATCATTTCGACAATAAATAAATGCTACATAAACGTTATCTTGCACATTTTATCGAACCATCTCCGTTTCTAACTTTCAATATATTTAAAAAAAAAGATCTCTCTCTCTCATCTGCGTGCGGGGGCGGGGCCTCACAGACACGCTGCATCTCTCTCTCTCTCTCTCTCTCTCTCTCGCTCACAGACATGCTGCAGCGCCGTGCACACAGGTCTGCCGGTAATGAATATTACATTTTGTGAGGAAACTTTTCCACCAATAATTCCAATAAGTATTCCAAAATGTATTCACTTCAGGTTTACGAAAGTAACTATAATCTGATTATTCGTTTTTCAAATGTACGGCGAGCTGAATACAGTTACTTGATTTTTGTATTCTGATTACGTAACACTGTTACATGTATTCCGTTACAACCCAACCCTGCATATAACTTGCATTTATTTATATATATCATTATAATATTCATAATTTGTTCATATATGTAAACCGTTTAACACGATTGTTTTTATTTTAATATATACCGTGCATTATTTTTCTTCTTATAATAATTAGCCTAGAATGATCATATCATTACTGAAGCCATAATGAGAAGAGCTCAGGAGATGTTGTATAATTATATGTTTACCTTCCTAGAGAAGTAATCGCTCATATGACATTGTTTTTAAATGTATCCGTGACCTCAAGCTTCTTGTTTTTTAGGCGTGGTTAAAAAACATATTCCTGAATGAGTCATGATCCCTGAACAGCTATTTAGAAAATGAGCAAATTGTAATTATCTTAAGAAGTACTGTAGAGATGCTGAAAAACAAAAACACTTTTATATTCCTGAGGCTCAGTGTTTCCAGAGTAGTTGTAAACTTGAGTGGCAGCTCATTGACATGCAGAACACAAACACAGTACTTTTAGAAAACATGTAATCACCAGAGAGAAGAACGTCTGAATTATTGACTCAACTTGTTAACTCAGTCTTTCAGCCAAGAACAGATAACGTGACAAGCTGAACATAATAACATCTTGAGTGTCAGAACCAAAAATGTCAAGATTATATATTTAGATTGTTGTGAGATTTCAGCAGCAGAGCAGCTACAGTAATGAATCATGTGTCTTATTGGACTCATCGAAATATAATTTGAAGGTGTTTTTATTTTTTAGAAAGGACTGTACATTTCCACATGTGGTAATAATGATTATCTGTATAACATTGATATTATCATTTTAATCTCACCCAGTGTAACCTTGAATTCTTGCAACACACTTTACTTTTTCACGAGAAAATCGAAGCTTTCGTCATGAGTTCCCGAGTTTTTAGTGGTCAAAAGTTGCTTAAACTTCAGTGTGACGGTACAGAAAGTAGTGTGTGTGTGTGTGTGTGTGTGTGTGTGTGTGTGTGTGTGTGTGTGTGTGTGTGTGTGTGTGTGTGTGTGTGTGTGTGTGTGTGTGTGTGTGTGTGTGTGTGTGTGTGTGTGTGTGTGTGTGTGTGTGTGTGTGTGTGTGTGTGTGTGTGTGTGTGTGTGTGTGTGTGTGTGTGTGTGTGTGTGTGTGTGTGTGTGTGTGTGTGTGTGTGTGTGTGTGTGTGTGTGTGTGTGTGTGTGTGTGTGTGTGTGTGTGTGTGTGTGTGTGTGTGAAGTATCTGCAGAGATGCGTCGACATCTTGAAGCTTTCACAGCACACACCAACACACACCAACACACACTAACACACACCAACACACACCGGACTGAGCCAAGGAGAGCACATTGCACAGAAACGGTGCAAGATCATTATCACGTCACTTCAGTCTGTTAACGCTGTGTAAAAAAAGCTGAAACTTTTAACACTGAGGGGTTTTACTGATGGGTTGGCTTCTCATGAATGTAATTGGAGAGATATTCAAGTTTCTAAATATAGCGAAATTGTATTTATCCAGGTGCCTCATTTTTTAAAAGCTCCTTCCTGTTTCCTATTCACTTCCACATGCTCACGGCTAAAATATTTCAAGTAATCAGTCTTCTGTTTTTGGCTGCCAAGGAGCTCAACGTGCCATACAACTGTGTTGCTTAAGAAGAACAAATAAAACCCACCGGATCTGATTTCCGTTGAAGTAGCTGAAGATTCCTGCCAGAAATAATGATTCAAGCTCTCAGGAAAAGTACCTGAGTGTGAGTCCAGCTGGCTGCGTGTCACTTGTTTATGTGGTTTTGTTGTTTTCCTAGGAAGAGTACTGGAGAAGAGGCTTCCAGGAAGTAGCCTCCCCCAACATCTTCAACAGTAAACTGTGGGAGACGTCTGGCCACTGGCAGCACTACAGCGACAACATGTTCTCCTTCCCCGTGGAGGACGAGATCTTCGCACTGAAACCCATGAACTGCCCCGGGCACTGGTAAATAAAACCTCTCTCCAAAAATCAAACAGTACATATATTTTATAACCCTCCTTTGGTGTTAGTTTTTCCGCCTCTTGTTGCTCCATGGTCTGTTTTAAAGGTCACCTATTATGCAAAATCCCCTTTTTCATGTCTTTTATACATCAACATGTGTCCCCTCTTCTTCATGTCTCTTCTACATCACCATGTGTCCCCTCTGTGTAAAGAGATTCTGAAAGTTTCAGGAAAAAAGATTCTCTCTCTTTTTGTCCTGATCCATTTTTATAAAAACCTGTCTGAAAATGAGCTGATCAGATTTTGGCCACTTTATGATGTCATAACGATTGTTTGGCTTGTGTAACCATTAGCCAATCAGCAACCAAGGTAACCCCCCCCCCCCACCTTATCACCTGAATCTCCTCCTAGAGCACCATTGTGTTCTTTTTAACCAAATATCTCTCAGAGGGGTGTGGGGAGGGGCTCCTTATTTTCATCTAAAGTAACAGACAGAGAATCAGCACTTTTGAAACAGGGCTGAAACAGAGGGGATTATGGGATGCTGCAATGATCTTTTTGGTATTTGGAGGCAAACACTTCAGAGACATGTTTTGTATATATCTGAGACCTATAATATATTGATGAAAAACAGTATGATAGGGGACCTTTAACTGCTCTTACATTAACACAAAAACCATGAATCGTCACCACATTTTATTTTGCAACCTTTGAAGCTGTAAACAATGTCTCAGATACTGGTTCACATGAATAACTGCAGTGAATAGACACTGTAAAAGTATTCCAAAATTAACATTGTGTTGATTTGTGGGTGTGTGTATCTGATGGATTAACATTATCTAGGGTTTCCCATTCATTTCATATAACTGGGAACACAACAGGTGTTACAAAGTGGACTAAACCACTCACAATTCAATGTAAGTGGTGTGTTATATCTTCAAATGCATACTGTGGAGGATATCATGAGGCCTTGTAGTAATCAAATGTAAAACACAATATTTATGATTGATGAAAGTAGGAAATTGGCCAGATTCGACCCGATAAACGACATGAGGGTTACAGCGCGTCTCTGTTGTTTTGACTCCCTGCTCATCCTTCCCCCCTCGGTGGATCAATACAGTTCCATCTTCTTCTTCATCTTCTTCTTCCTGCAGTCTGATGTTCAGCCACAGGCCCCGCTCCTGGAGGGAACTTCCTCTGAGGTTTGCAGATTTCGGGGTCCTCCACAGGAACGAGCTGTCGGGAACACTGACCGGTTTAACCCGAGTGAGGCGCTTCCAGCAGGACGACGCTCACATCTTCTGCACCATGGAGCAGGTGATCACTCTATCAGCGTTTACAAGGGGTTTGATACAAGCGGGAGGTCTTTGAAATACAAAAGAAATCACATTTAAATAACTTTTCTAAGTGTTTTTACATACAGAAGTCAGTGTTCACTCATTCACACACATTCATTCAGGGGCTAACATGCAAGGTGCCACCCGATAACTGTAATTTGGCCATTGAATAAACATATTTTTAATTTTAACATTAAAAAAACATTTTAGAAACGATCAGCTATTAATGAGTCAATTGTATATATTTCTGAATCCTTCTTCTCCCGACAGATCGAGTCGGAGATGAAGGGCTGTCTGGATTTCCTCCGCTGCGTCTACAACGTGTTCGGATTCTCCTTCCAGCTGCACCTGTCCACGCGCCCAGAGAAATATCTGGGAGACATCGCCGTGTGGAACCAGGCGGAGAAGGTAAACTGCATCGGAAAGTGTGAATTAGGGTGGGAAAATTAATTTAATAGTAGATGAGACAAGTAGATGAGACAAATTCCTTGTATATGTAAACCTGATTCTGTTTCGGTGGCACATGTTATAAAATGCCGGGACATTGCTGCACCTTTTAGTTTTAAGCAAATAATTAAAATTATATAGCACGGTTGATCAAAGAGTTGGTTGCTTGCTTTTCTGATCGTACAGTGGCTCATAGAGGAATTATTTATTCATTTGGCAAAACTAAGAAGAGTTCTTGCCTTTTTTTGTTCAACAAATGTAAGCTCCATTTAATTTTAAGAAATGGTAGAATTGTTTTTTAGTCACTCTCAGGTCTGACAGACATTACTGATTTGCAAGATAATGCTCCCTATAATACAGCAAAACGTTGGAGGCACTTTAAATAAATAATAAAATGGCTTGGTCTGGGGGTCTCTCCTAAAGTCTTAGCTATCATGCTCAGCAATCTTTCTCATTGTATGTTTCTTGTGGGTCATTTCGTGCCAGTCATCCAGCATCTTGCTCATATTTTCCTTCTGCTCCCCCTCCTGTTGTAGGCATCTTGCATGAGTAATTATGTGCATTTTGGATCGGTATTAAGTCTGACCTTTTGTCACGTTTTGTACCATTATTGTTAGGACTTTTTTTATAATAGAATATAAACTCAAAGAATATCTAGTTGTTATTCCAACTGAGTGGGTGCACTATAGCAGGTTACAGGCTCCAGTAGTGGTATCAGATCTGTGAGTGTAGGAGGCGTGTTGTCAATAAAAGGCAAGCTCTTTGTTTCACTTGATTTTAATTGTTTATTTTGCACAGTTGGAAATGACTTAAGGGCTTCACTTAAAAAGTGAAAGGGCAGTGGGTCGTGCAAACTGACCTGCAGTTTGACTTGGCTTGCTTCACAGAGTTTTCCTTTTATTCTCTTGTGTTGTAAGTATATATTAAATGCGTGCCTCATGTGTTTTGACAGCAACTGGAGAACAGCCTGAATGACTTTGGGGAGCCATGGAAACTGAACCCTGGAGACGGAGCTTTTTATGGACCTAAGGTCAGGAAAACGTAACAATTCCTGCTAAATGCAAAAATGAATTGGATCTCGAGGGTCTGTAAAGTGTGATTGTGCATTCCTTGCTGCTGCAGATTGACATTAAGATCAAAGATGCGATTGGACGTTACCATCAGTGTGCGACCATTCAACTGGACTTCCAGCTGCCAATCCGCCTCAACCTGACCTTTGTGGGGTGAGTCAGCTGATGAAAACATGCTGCGTCCGTGTGCTTTACTGCACTCAGCGTTACATGTTAGTCCCTTCATGAATAACAAGGCTCATGAGTCATGTGTTTAAGAGCTAAAGAGTCCTATAGAAATATATAAGAACTCATTGAGCAGGAAATTAGTTTTCTATTCAAATGATTCAACATTAAACCAGCCACTTCATACAGACAAGTACACACGTTAGTTTAATTGGTTGGACAGAGAGCTTACAGAGAAAACAGCTGTTGATTGAGTTATCCAATCACATTGCCCCTCGTTAAAGAATATCAAGGCAATGTAACTATAAACGTTACTATAAACAAGCTCCAAAACAAATAAAAACAATTAGAACTATTTTCAAGTCTTAAAGTGCACCTATCATGCTGTTTTTAGGCAATAGCATAGGTCTAAACAATTGATAAAAAAGGGGGGGGGCTGAGCTCATACGGGACCCGGCAGCTACTGTCTAAACTAAATACTGCCGTGATGAAACGCCATATCATGGATTATCAAGGATTATTTCTGAAACAGTATGGAGCTCAAAGGCTTTCTCTCTTGCCGGTTATACCACAAGGTGGTTCACACACACGCTCTCCAGTACAGGTTAGCTCTGAGTGTTAGCGATGCTAATGTAAACACCGACCATATTACGTCCAAAGCAGACGGGCATTGTTTCTGATAGCAACTTTCTGATAGTGCCGTGGGTCCACATTTCAGATATTACGTCATATAGGACGCAAATCTGGATCAGCGCCGTTGTTCCCCCGTTTTTAGAGATCTGGGTACGGAGGAAAAGAGAGAGGGTTTTGTTTTCTGACGCTGCGTGAGTTCCCTGACACACCGGGGACACATATTTATGTATAGAAGACATCAAAAAGTGCATTTTGCATGATAGGTCCCCTTTAAGATAGTAATGATAAGAAGACACCCACATGGGCCAAAACAACAAGCATTACCAAAAATGAAAAGAAAGAAAAAACTAATGTTTTACACGTACACATACAAATCGGAATAATATTGCCATAACATCATGTTTTAAAGATGAACCAAAAAACTAAATATTTTTTTATTAGCACCTCAAGAAAACCCACTAGTTAACCCAGCATGTACAATTATGCACATACAATCAAATATACAGCAGGTAGTAAGTACAAGTACTATTTGCATGTTTTAAATTGTGTTTTGTGTATATCGCATATGTACCTTTTGCTTAACTTTGCAATTACAAATTTCGAGTAAAAACTCATGTAGGTCTAAACAGCCTGTGTTCAATACTTGTTTCTTGCGAGATATCTCAAGAGATTGTGGAAATAAAGTGATTTTTTGTGACATCTCTCCCTGACTAAATGTCATTCAGGACGGACGGAGACGATAAAGCCCGACCGGTCATCATCCATCGGGCCATCTTAGGCTCGGTGGAGCGGATGATCGCCATCCTCACGGAGAACTACGCAGGGAAATGGTGAGGGGCTTTCCAACTGTTATATACATTTAATAACGTCATTTAATAAGTTTAGTGAGATTTAGATATCATTATTCTAGATCAGGGGTCTCCAACCTTTTTTAGGATGAGAGCTACTTTCAAAAAATAAAACAAGTCGTGAGCTACTTTTACCCCTCTCTTTGTGTATATATTTAGCACATGTTAACATTATTATATGCTGACCTTTAACCTTTGTGTGCTCTTTGGGTCTGTGGGACCCGTTTTCAGTGTTTACTAAAAGAAAATGTATTCAATTTAATTATTTTAACCTGCTTTATTTGGGGGTGGACCTCACATCCTCTAGGGGGGTCCGGGGGCATGCAAGTGAAATGCATCAATCTGGTGCACTTGAGCACAACATGAATTGATGGATACAGCTCTCAACACTCAGATGAAAGGGAGCTGTATACTTTTCAATAATCCAAACATCTTTAGAATATGATCACAACCAATAACAAATCATTTAAACTGGTTTATTCTTATCTTATGTTACCTAGTTAGCATTCTTTCTTTTTATTTATGCTTATTTTACTAATCACTCCCCTTTCAAACAGTTTTTTGTTTTTTTTACTGTCCTATAGTTGTAGTACACATTGGAATGATTTCTTATTTTATTTTTTACAACTAGGCTATATTAAATAGATAAAGGTCCGGATCGGGGACACCTCGGCTCCGGCCAGGTGTCACCGATCCGGCTGATTGGCCTCTTCAGCTCCACCCCCATCGCAGGACCTGCAACACACCTGGGCCGTCACAGTGCTCTCCCTAGCTCTCTCTCTCTCTCTCTCTCTCTCTCTCGCTCTCTCGCTCTCTCGCTCTCTCGCTCTCTCGCTCTCTCGCTCTCTCGCTCTCTCGCTTGCGTTAAAAAATAATAATAAACATATTTGTAAAGTGGGGGGACACAAACGGGATTTCGAAAAGTGGGGGGGACATGTCCCCCCTGTCCCCAGTGGAAATTACGCCATGCGTGTGTGTGCATCAAGTGCAATAAATATATATGCAAGTTGCAACACACTCGAGTAAAACTCTGCCCCTCATGTGCTGTATAGGCTGGCACGACTAGGCTGTTCAATGGGGCTGATGTGTTGTGTAGAATCTGCCAGAAGGAAAATCACGGTCACACTCCTTATGAAGCGGGGAGCTGCCGCTCCACATTGCTTTTCTTCCCGACTGCAACGCTGGTCCCGCAAATCAAGCAAGAACGTGATTGGTCGATATTCATTGTGGGGGTGGGGGGAGGAGGGGTGTTAGATAGATATAGAGTTGTAGTAAGTAGAGAGAGTTCGCTATGATTGAGGTTTCGTTTATGCATACTGTAGGGTAGATTCTTTTAATTACATTTCCTTTTTTGTTTTGTGTATTTTTTACATTTTGGATTTGCTTGGCGAGCTATTTTTAGATAGTCGCCCCTGTGGGTGACTAAGTGCCCGCAGGGGCAACTAAGTGCCCGTGGGCACCGTGTTCTAGATGTTACTCTCAGGTTCTTTGGGTTTTAGGCCTTTCTTTGTAAAGTCTGTCTGATCTTGACAGGCTTGAGGCTCACAGAGGACACATCCCATCATTTATTTCCTTTCTTTGTCTTCATTTAAGATAAGATATGATAAGATAAGATAAGATAAGATAAGATAAGATAATAGTACTTTATTGATCCCAATTTTGGGAAACATTTGAGTTGCAGCTGCATAAAAAGACATGGCATTGTACAATAAAAATTCAAGACAAGAAATAAACAAGAAAGTAGAAAATATACATGTTGAATTTAACAAGGTGTTATATATACATACATATATGACAGATGGAATATTAAATATTCAACAGATTATATGGGGTGGGGTTATCCATGATGGACAACAGCCTGTTCAGTGTCCTCCTCTCCACCACAGCTTCAAAGGGGTCCAGCTTGATGCCGATGACAGACCCAGCTTTCCTGATCAGTTTATTGATTCTGCTGCTGGTGTCACCGGCTCTGATGCTGCCCCCCCCCCCCCCCCCCCCCCCCCCCAGCAGGCCGCAGCAGACTGCAGTCTTTTAAACAGAGTCTACTCACATCCAGTTTAACTGATGCTTATTGGTGTTAAAAATCATAAATGGTGTTAAGATTTTAAAATGAAAATACATACATACATTTATTTTGAATTGTTTTGCTTTTATATTGATTTTTGTCTTAACAGTTACAATACTATTTGACAAACACATAATATAACACATTACAGGAAAGGGAAAACCCCAAAGCATAAAAGGGTCTCTTAAAATAACTATACCTAATGAAAACATTTGCATCATCCTGCCATAGTTTGAGATTTTGAGGCGTACATTTGACCAGAATGATTTCTCTCCTTTCTGGCACATTTTAAACATCCCAGTATCATAAATATTTCACAAAGAAGTCCCCTTTTCTCTGCCAAACATAGGTAAATATATTCATCCTGTATATTGCTGTAAATATTGCTTTACTACAGTCTGTCTCCGTCCTACACAGACTCTGCAGTCTCTGTAGAAGCTTTTAAAAAAACGACTGAAGACCTATCTTTTCACATTGGCTTTTGTTTCTACTCGAGATGTGTGTGAAGTGTTCTGTTATTACGTTTGTTCCTTTCAGGACTCCACGTGGTCTGTGTTTTGTTTTTATGTTGACCTTACATTTCTGCCTCATGTGGTTATTGTATTCATGTTTCTGTGGTCTTAATTGTAACTTTTGTTCTTACTTGTGAAGCACTTTGTGAATTCTATTTCTGTGAAAGGTGCTTTACTAAATACACTTATTATTATTATTACAGGCCTCTGTGGCTCTCTCCCCGTCAGGTGATGGTCGTGCCCGTCAACACGTCCTTTGAGGATTACGCGAAGAAAGTATGTCCTATTCTTCTCCATCTTAACAACATGTAACTACAGTCACAGGAGTGCCTCAGATTTGTGTAATGCTGAACCATAAATGTTGTTCTCAGGTGTGTAAGCAGTTTACAGAAGCTGGCTTCATGGCGGATGCTGACCTCGACTCCAGCTGTCTGCTGAACAAGAAGATCCGCAACGCTCAGCTGGCCCAGTATAACTTCATTCTAGGTGAGAAAATAAATGTGTAGGAGCTCTGAGTGACCTCTGAGACGAGAAGATGTTTATCCTGCGTTTGCTGTCATCTTTAAAAACACAGTTATTTGTGACTCCCACAATAATTTGGTCTGTTTTAAAGACAGTTTTATATCACGTTATTATACATGATAGGAAGAACATGACCGGTCAAAACAAACACTACAACCAGTGGCGTTTTTATATGTACAAAAGTGGTGGGGCACGAACAACTTAGATGTGTATATATAAGCTTCTGGTGCTTTTTAAACACGTAAACAAATAGCTGTAGGCTATCCATGGTTCCGATAGAGAGAGGGGGCGGGGGAGGGGGAGGGGGGGGTCCGGGTATAAGGAAAACACAGACACTCATCACGAGGTCACAATATCAGTCGATCCAGCAGAGCAATAGCCTGTAGGCAAAACACAGAAGATCAACAAAAGATATGACATAAAATGAACTTACCAAAGCTGAAGTAGATGGTCAACTTCATTCACTTTCTTTCCGTTTTACTGATTGTAATCGCTATACGCTGCTCTCTCTCGTCTCCTCTTCACTATAGGGTGAAAACTACACTTTTCGCGGCACACGTACTTACAGCCAATCAGCTCTCTGAATTATGAGATGACGTTTGGTAGGTATGCCAGCACAGTGCCCCTATGGTGATTATTTTTGCCGCACACATTGAATAGAAAAAGACTCTGAGCATGTGCAGTGTAGTTTTTACAGCACCCATTCACTGAGACAGTGAGAGAGAGGGGCATGATCGGGGCTTGACCCACGTCGCTCAAAACGGCTCAATAGGCACACTGTAGACACTCATTAGAAGAACACAGACTAAAACAGCAATGTACAGACGAATCAGATGATTAAACATGATCTTAAAATATATTTTAAGATGTATTTCTTTTGCATTTATTTGCATTTTTTTGGAATTCTTATTTGAATTACTTTCTGCTGACACTAGCCCCACCTGCCCCTAATGACCAGTCGCCACTGACTACAACACATTTTAAATCTTGTGGTGTGGGTGTGTTTATTGGCAAAAGTACAGGTCAGTTTTTTGTGAGTCTTTACATAACTGTGGAGAAGCAAAGGGGGGAGGATTTTATAACATGGAAAGATGAAAGAATATGTTTACAGAAATAATAATAATAAAAAAATAATTTCCTCGCTGGAATTGGTTAATGAAATCCTTTCGTCCAAACATTTTATTCATCCAAAATGGTTGCCCTGCTGTGTGAGGCTTTCCTATAGCAGCCCCCATTATTATATGTATTGTATTTATTTTGGGTATGTAGGGTGTCTTTCTCCCTTTTGTAATGCTGGCTCTGTAGTCTATTTGTAACTGCTAGGAGACACCGTAATGTAGAGGGAGGAAGTATACTGCTGTATGTGCTGCTCTATATACGTATGATTTAGTGGCTGTAAATGTAAGGGATTACACCGTACAACAATTTAGCATTTAGTAACAGCATCAGTGAAGATAAGGCAACTAAAACAAGTGAAATACCAATTATTGGGCATGTTAAAGTCCATATTTTACCCTGCCGACAACGGTTTTTAAAAACCTAACAATGTTTTTTTATATTATATCTGCTTTAAATTTGATTAAAGTTACATAATTGTTGCATCAGAATAACTTCAGACTTCAAAAATCTATCTGCAACTACAACTGGAGATCAATTTGCATTCAAATCACTATTCAATACTCAAAAATGAAATCATTTTTAAAAAGAAAGAAGAAAACAGATAACAGAAAAAATTATAAAATTGCCTAAAAATGTAATAAAAATATGTTCTAAGGTCCTATTTAACTATGCCTGGCTGTCTATAATCTCACCATTTGAACAATTATGAGTCAAAATAAAAATGTTTTTTATATTTTGACGCTAGCTCACCACCTTACGTTCTTGTATTCAGCGGCACTAAAGCAGGGATTGTGTTAGGGTAGCTGTGTGTGTCTGTTGTTTTTGTGTGTGTGTGACTTGGCCCATGTGAAGCTGTTGTGTCTCCATGTGTCTTGGCAGTGGTCGGGGAGAAGGAGAAGATGACTAACGGCGTCAACGTGCGCACACGAGACAGCAAAGTCCACGGAGAGCTGTCGGTGTCTGAGGTGCTGGCCCGCCTGACCCTGCTCAAACAGAGCCGCTGTGCAAACGCCGAGGAGGAGTTCTGATCCACACACACTCATACACACACTCATACACACTGTCATAACTCCACTATAGTTATTAGTGGAGAGGGGCATGGGATGGCACATGTGAAAATGGTGCAGAGAAAGTGTAATAAGACAGGAAATAATTTTCTGTGAGCAAATGTGATGAAAAGGGATTCGAAACTACATTAAATTGCCCATTAATCATGTGTGAAGGGTAGAAAAGGACACGTTTGTGTACGATGTGTTGGTATTCTACTATGTGGAAGTCTATTCCTGAAGGGAAGTTGCTCGATAATTTAACAAAACAATGTGAAGATTGCTATAATGAAGAATCTGTGAATTTGGCATTGATTTTCCACAAAGGTCTGTCTCTGCAGGGAAATAAAATAAAATGACTGAATGTTTGTTTTGTTGTCTTTATTTTCACAACAATATAAATGTTTCCTTTCAGAATAATGACATGTTATGATAAATAGCAGTATTTGGAAAATCTTCTGCTTTAAATGTTGCCTTCAAACTCTTTTCTTTCAGTCTTTTCACACTAAACTAGGGTTTTTGATGATATACTATGTTTTTAAGATATCATACATTTGCGCGGCCACCTTTGATTATGGATGTGGTGAACGATATTAAGCTCAGAGAAAGGAGAACATGGCATGGGAAATGTAGTTTCAGCAATGCAGTTATAGGCTAACATTTTAGCAAAACATTGACTTCAGGCCAGGGGTCAGAGGTGGTAAAGGTACTCCGATCTTGTACTTGAGTAAAAGTTGAAGTACCAGAGTGTAGCAATACTCTGTTACAGTAAAAGTCCTGCATTCAAAAGGTTACTCTAGTAAAAGTAGAAAAGTATTATCATCAAAATATACTTAAAGTAGCGACAGTAAAAGTAGTCATTGTGCAGATTGGTCCATTTCAGAATAATGTATATGATATGTTTTATAATGATTGATCATTAAAGTGTTCTCAAAGCTGGTAAAGGTGCAGCTAGTTTGAATGACTTTGTATACTGCAGGGTAGCTTGTGAATTTACTCCAGGTGGAACTAAAGTCTGATTTAACACTTGATTAGATTTCACATCATTCATCCACATCTGTAAAGTAACTTTAAGGTATTAAATACATGTAGTGGAGTAAAAGTACACCATTTACCTCTGAATTGTAGTGGAGTAGAAGTATGAAGTAACTCAAAATTGTACTTACTATACTTGAGTAAATGTACTTAGTTACTTTACACCACTGTCAGGGGTACATAGGTACATATACAGACTAAAAATAATAATAAAAAAATAATAAAGACATTCAGAAAATAGTTATAAAAACAAAAGGTAACATTTCAGGTTAAATATTTATGAAATGCCTGTCCCAATCTGCTGCATCTTCATCCCTTTCCTGTAGGATCGTACACACTCGTTTTTCCTACATGCCCTGAACGCATCTCTGTTAGCTACAACAATGGCTCCTTTCTGTCAGATCTGGAGACCGGACCGAGGACGCTGCTTTAAAACCTACGGGATCATCTTCGTTTTGTTTACAGACCTGATCTTACAGAGTGTTAACGGTATGTGGAACAGTTACTTAATCAAACCAGCTCTGACTAGATTACATTTATCGTTATCCTACTAACGTTAGCTTCCTCCCAATGAGTTAGCATTAGCTGGTTAGCCTGCGAGATCCCGTTCATTCCTATGAGAGTTCATTCCTGGTTTAATTTGAGATGTTAAATTAATTGTGAAATTATATTACATACACACATTTACCAGTATTTCTATTTTATACATCTGTTGTTTTTGTAGGTGTGATAGGTATTATGAATTGTATTTCATGTTTGTTGATTATTATGTGTGTGTACCTGCCCAGGGACTGCAGATGGAAATCAGCTTTTAGCTATAATCTGGCATATAGCATCTCTTCTCTTGTTGAGACTAATTCATTTGTATGCATGGCCCTTGTTCAATTAAGATATATAATAATAATAGAATAAAAAGTTACTCTGTAGCGCATGAAGCCTAAAACAGCGAATGTAGATTCAGAAGGTACCCGTTTGTGGGCCCATTGAGCATGCGCAGTAGAGTGTTTATTAAGCCCCGCCTCCTTTCCCCCTGCTCTTGGCTCAGTGAAATTAATGGAGAGGAAATAACTGGATTTGGCTTTTAGCGCCTTTTACACATTTTAGACCCTATAATGGCCATAAAACTGTTCGTGCTGGGTAGTTTATTCAGCTAAAAAATAAATACACGCTGATTTACACAACGACGTCAGGGAAGCTGTAGTACCACCGATTGACCACAAGGGACATTCGTAAAATCGGCTTCAACCAACGGAGCAATTTCAGGGGGGTTGAGCTATAGCTAGATCACCTAGGGTTAGCGATGAAAACATTGGATAGAGTGAGTAGCGCGGATTTAACAGACGTGTATCTAATTAAATAGACATTATCGTTATTAACATAGTGTTTAAATCATAATATATGAGAGCTAACAGACAGTTGACTGTCCCCCTGCAAATTTCAAGAAGTGTCCCTAGTCAGTTAACGCTTCGGTGAAGGAACTGTAACTATCTTAGCTTTAATGTTTTATTAAAATATAGTCATGCAGTATAAATTGCTTCAGCGTATACTATACTTCTTATTTATATTTAAACATAGCCTGCTTGTTTTGTAACACGCCAATGCAGCAAAAGTTAGTGGTCATTAGTTACAGTCAGCCCAAAATATGGATAGATAAATACTTGTTGTCACAGCAGCAGTGTTGTCAAGCATCGCACGTGAGCTAAAGATATGTAAAATATAGAATAAGATAGAAATATAATAAACAAATAAATGTCCTTAACACCAAAGGTTTACATATTCACAGTAGAAAAGACATACATCACTAGAGTATCTAAATAATTCACAATATAAAGAAAATACTGAAAACTCACAGAAACATAGTGACATCGGAGTACATGTACACATCATAATTGTGCAAAGTAGCTGTTGTGGGTATTGTTCTGGATTGTAGAACATGAGAAACTTAAGAAGCTATGGAGCAGTGAGTTCATAACCTTGGTTTAATCTGAAGGATAAGTAGAATTGTGGTTGTTTATGTTCTTTATTGTCTGTCTGTGTGCTTCTCAGGGTATCTGAGCTCTCCTCATGTGAGTAAGGAGCCTCCGTACCCCAGAGAGTCCCAGCATACACCTGTCATCACCAGCCCAGTGGTGCCTGCTGCAGCCTCTGGTAAACACTTAGAGATAACATAAATAATGATGAATAGGACCTGTAACTGAGGTTTATTTAACAATACTGGCCCACAGTCCACTTCAAGCCGTTAGCTGTCTGCAGTAGAATGAATGAAAGAGAACGTTTATCTCAATAATATCGTATTTATATCGTATTTAGTCTTCATCCATTGGCTGACGTCGACGGGGGCGGGTCTTCTTCTGTAGCCTCTGATGACGTAGCTGTAGCGTATCCCTTATGGTATTTTAATATACAATTAATCTGCCGTTTGTTGGTCATTAAATGCATAATAATAGGACGAATGCAGCGTCGATGAGTGAGAGTTGGAGACGGTGTGTTTAGTATGTAACTCCACGCGTCATTCTTCTTATATTCACATACACGATATACTATGAGCTACATGCTACTGTGAGACTAAAAACAATAACAATCTGAAACCGTAACTCCAAGGTGTCGCCAACATCCGGTCCGTGGAAAACACTGCTACAGTAAATTCCCTTAAAGTTCCGGCACAATATATTGATTAATTCTCTCAAATGCATATACCTACAAAGAAATACAGCAGTATTGAGAGTAGTAGGTAGTAGGATGATTTAAAAACATACATACAAGACTCTTAGTGCATTTCCCTACATTAGAAGGGTGCTCCAGAATAAAAAAGGATTTCCCCCAAAGATTCTGATATTCTAAACTGCTGGGGCTGCAACTAACAACATCAATATCGTATCATTTGCAGGATATTTTCTCGATAAATCGATGAAATGTTCTGAAGATTGTCAGAAAATAGGGGAACATGTCCATCCCAGTACAGAAGCTATATCAGTAATAATTGTTCAACTTTTAAATACATGAAGAGCGAATTACTTTTTGTTGTTGTTGTGCTGATTTCCAGACAGCTTTAATGGAGTAATCAGTGATTGGCCTTGCTCAGTGTTAGTAACTTACCTCCCACTGCCTTATTTTCTAGATGTGTCTTTAGAGTGTTTTGTTTACAACTGCATTGCCCCACCCAGTCATGATCCCAGACATGAAGTCATAACATTAAAGGTCCCCTATCATACTGTTTTTCATCAATATATTATAGCTCTCAGATATATACAAAACATGTCTCTGAAGTGTTTGGCTCCAAACACCAAACAGATCATTGCAGCATCCCATAATCCCCTCTGTTTCAGCCCTGTTTCAAAAGTGCTGATTCTCTGTCTGTTACTTTAGATGAAGATAAGGAGCCCCTCCCCACGCCCCTCTGAGAGATATTTGGTTACAAAGAACACAATGGTGCTCTAGGAGGAGATTCAGGTGATAAGGTGGGGGGGGGGGTTACCTTGGTTGCTGATTGGCTAATGGTTACACAAGCCAAAACATCGTTATGACATCATAAAGTGGCCAAAATCTGATCAGCTCATTTTCAGACAGGTTTTTATATAAATGGATCAGGACAAAAAGAGAGAGAATCTTTTTTCCTGAAACTTTCAGAGTCTCTTTACACAGAGGGGGGGACACATGTTGATGTAGAAAAGACATGAACAAGTGGATTTCGCATAATAGGTGACCTTTAAATCTGTGTTACATTACTTTGATTATTCTTGCTGACACTCCTTCAACCTTCTGCTTCCTGTTGTGCAGTTTCTCCATCAGATGAGGAGAGCTACACCTCCGTGTGTCCCAGCGGGGGTTTGTGTCAGCGCCTGCCAGCTGACTGCATGCTCTGCAACTTCCAACACAACTGCACCTACGCAAATGCTACTTCCTTCACTTGCAGACCCAGGAAAGGAGTTCACTGTATAGTAAGTAGCACTTCATCTTGTAATATACCTTTGTTGTATAGAGGGAGAGAGAGAGAGGGGAGAGAAGTGTTTACTCAGAAGGTTATTTATTATTACTCAAGTTCATTGATTCAAAGGGAAGTGAAGCATGTTGAGTCTTGATGTGCTCTTAGTAGCTTTGAAAGTGGAAGTTATCTTAATGATGCTTCACAAAAGGCCCGAAGACAAATGGTTCTGTAATTTAGTAGAATATAAACAGTGTATTAGTATAAATAAAACATGACTTTAAAGGTCACCTATTGTGCAAAATCCACTTGTTCATGTCTCTTCTACATCAACATGTGTCCCCTCTTCTTCATGTCTCTTCTACATCAACATGTGTCCCCTCTGTGTAAAAAGATTCTGAAAGTTTCAGGAAAAAAGATTCTCTCTCTTTTTGTCCTGATCCATTTATATAAAAACCTGTCTGAAAATGAGCTGATCAGATTTTGGACACTTTATGATGTCATAACGATTTGTTGGCTTGAGTAACCATTAGCCAATCACCAACCAAGGTAATGAGGTATCAGAGGGGCGTGGGGAGTGGCTCCTTATTTTCATCTAAAGTAACAGACAGAGAATCAGCACTTTGGAAACAGGGCTGAAACAGAGGGGATTATGGGATGCTGCAATGATCTGTTTGGTGTTTGGAGGCAAACACTTCAGAGACATGTTTTGTATATATCTGAGACCTATAATATATTGATGAAAAACGGTATAATATGGGACCTTTAAATCCTTAGTTCAATGAAAATAATCAAACTTGTGAATATCTGTGTTTTGGTACCTGATGTGTTTCTGTATGTTCCTCTCAGGGGGAGTCGGGGCAGCAGCAGACGAGCTTCTCTCTCTCCATCAGCTGTCGGTTCTGCTGGCAGTTGGACCCGTCTCAGTACCGCTGCTTCAACTCCACCAACTGCATGACGGTGTCCTGCCCGCGCCGACGCTACAACGCCACCTGTGAAGTGCTGGACCACGTGCACTGTTTGGGTACGGAGATAAAACGCTCTGCTGTTTCAAGATTCAAGGCTTTTATTGTCATTCGTGCATAGCTACAGTGCCATATATCAACCATATATCGAGCCCGCTCGTCGATTTCCAATGATTTGTGGAACCTACTTGAGCAGGTCTCCCTTGAAAAAGAGATCAATGATCTCAATGGGATACACCTGGATAAATAAAGGTTTGAAATGAAATGATTTAATGTAATTGTTTGCCTGACTGGCCATTGTAATCGGGCTCTTTGAAGATCCACAAATCCACGGTTTTCTTACATTTCTGATCAGATTGGCAAAAACGTCAGAATTTGAATTGACCGCCATTCAAATGACAGCTCTGTTTTCCCCCAAAAGTGGGCGGAGCCGTCATTTTTGCCCGGAAGTGACGCATGTGTTACTCTCATCTATGGAATAAAATATGTGCAGTAATAATAAAAGAAACCGAGCTCATTGATAAAAAGGGAAAAGAAGCATGGTATGTTAAGTCGTGATGTGCTCAATATCTTCAGTAGACTCGACTACTGTAATGGTGTCTTCACAGGTCTCACTAAAAAATCTATTAGAAAGCTGCAGCTGATTCATAACGCTGCTGCTCGAGTCCTCACTAACACTAAGAAAGTGGATCACATCACTCCAGTTCTGAAGTCTTTACACTGGCTTCCTGTGTGTCAAAGAATAGATTTCAAAATATTGTTGCTGGTTTATAAAGCTTTGAATGGTTTAGGCCCAAAATACATGTCTGACCTCCTGCTAAATTATGAACCATCCAGATCTCTCAGGTCTTCAGGGACTGGTCAGCTTTCTGTCCCCAGAGTCAGAACTAAACATGGTAAAGCAGCATTCAGTTATTATGCTCCAAATATCTGGAACAAACTCCCAGAAACCTGCAGGTCCGCTGCAACTCTGACTACTTTTAAATCCAGGCTGAAGACTTTTCTTTTTGCCGCTGCTTTTAATTGCCATTTTCATAATGTCTTCCATTTTTGTAAAGCACTTTGAATTGCCTTGTGTTGAAAGGTGCTATATAAATAAACTTGCCTTGCCTTGCCTTGCCTCATAGCAGCTTTCAGAGTGTAAGCCATCTTAATGTTGCTGGACAAACATCAGACCAGACAAATGGTTGAGTAGTTTGGTTAGGGAATTAGTTAATTTAAGAAATCAGAATCAATCAGAATACTTTAATTGCTCTGTTTGAGTGACCCAGTTCAAATTCCCCAAATGACCCTTTTTCCCTCAAACCAAAATGTTCTTTCTCTTCATATCTTTCCATGTTAATAAAATGTTTCCACGTATGATTATTAGTTTTTTCCTCTAGTATTAAAGTATTGTTTTTATTAGTTGGAGTTTTATGTTTTGCACACCATGTCCACTAAATCTATTTTTCTCTTGCAGGTAGGAGAAGTTTTCAGAAACGTTTGTATTGTAACTGGACCGGGGGATACAAGTGGTCCACATCATTAGCACTCAGGTAAACCAACTGCTACGAGAGCTGCGACAATAAGGGAACTAATTGATTAGTTGATCTATGTTGCATCTACATGTGCATCAACTGTTTTGATAATTGTTTAACTTTGCAATTTATTAATCATGCAAAAATGACAGAAATGTTTTAGCCTCTCAAATATGGAGATGTTCTGCTTTTCTCCGTTTTATTTGATATGAAACTACATTTCTTTAGGATTTCTTCTGACAAAACAAGAAATGTAAAGCTACACATTGGACTTTGAAAACCCATATGGACATTTTTCTCAATTTTCTGACATTTGATAAACTAATTAAGAGAATAATCATTAGTTGCAGCTCTGACTGCCACTCGTATCACAGTTCGACCATCTTAGATGCTGGAAATGTACAACATGTCTTCAAGGTTTTATTGTCATATGCACATAAGCTACGGACAGTGTAGAAATGGCAATCCAAATCTTATGTCCCGAGCTCCTCCAACAATGCAACATAGTCATACAATACAATCAAAAAGAATAAAATACAATAAGTCTATATACACATAAATAGAATATACAAGAACAGAATGTAACCTTTAACCCTCCTGTTGTCTTCGGGTCAAATCTGACCGATGTACTACTTTCATCAATCATAACTTTTTTGTTTTACATTCGATTGCATTAAGGCTTTATGATATCCTTCACAGTAGACATTTGAACATATGAAATTGCTGATCACCACTTTCATTGCATTTTGGATGATTTAGTCAACTTTGTAACACCCATGGTGTTCCCGGTCAAAAATGACCGCCATAAAGAAAAGGAATTAGTAACCATCCGGATCAGATAAAACACACACACACACACACACACACTCACTCTAGATGTGTCCCCCCCCTTATGTGTCCTCCCATGTGAATCACACCTGGCACACACACAGAACAATTTGACCAATTTCCCGCTCTTATGTGCCCCTCCCCCCCACATGGATCACACCCGGCACACGCAATACATGTTCAGTGTCTATTCTTTGTATATTTACTGCAGTTGTTCATGTATACCAGTAGTCTGATACAATATGTACAGTTTGAAAGGGTGTTAAATGAAATGTGGTGATGATTAATGGTTTTTGTGTTAATGTATTAGCAGTTAAAACAGGACCGGTCAAATTTGACAGAGAACACCAAAGTAAGGGGGGGAACACGAAGACAATAGGAGGGTTAAATATTGTGCAGTAAGATCAAATATAAATACTGTTTATTACAGTGATAAATAAATAGTAAAATGACAACAGATGAATGCTTATGGAGGCACTTTACAGATCTCAGGTGTTTAGCAGTCTGTGGGATGAAACTGACGTAGATTGTGTGTTTCCTCCCGTGAAAACTCAACATTTTTCTCATTTGATAAACTACTCAAGAGAATAATCATTATCATCACTAACCCTAACCCTGCCACTCGTATCACAGTTCGACCATTTTAGATGCTGGAAATGTCCTACAAACAAATGTCAACCAGTGTGTGTGCCCTCATAGCATCTCTGACGTAGATTGTGTGTTTCCTCCGTGTCTCTGCAGCATCACGCTCGGTGGATTTGGGGCTGATCGCTTCTATCTGGGTCAGTGGAGAGAGGGGCTGGGGAAGCTGTTCAGTTTCGGTGGCCTCGGCATCTGGACTTTGATCGACGTGCTTCTGATCGGAGTCGGATACGTTGGACCCGCCGACGGGTCTCTTTACATCTGAAGCTCTGGAGAAAACGTTCGGACGCTCGGTGCCCTCTTCACTCTCTGAAGACTGAAGATCTGGTCTCTCTTCACTCTCTGAAGATCTGTGTTCGCTGCGCAACACGTCCTCATCCCATCTGCTAACCGGCAGGAAGTGTTTTCCTCTTCACACCAGCCACGACTCCACCCACACACACACACACACACACATCAGATCCGTCTCCATCACTCTCCTGTCGAACGCTCCTCTGATGAACGAGGAGACGCTCAGTATCTGAAGTCTGTCCGTTGGTGTGACTTCACTGCTGATGTATAGATAGGTTTCCTGTGGAGCGGGGCTTTCACACACACACACACACACACACACACACACACACACACACACACACACACACACACACACACACACACACACACAGAGCAGTGTGTTACTACGCCCTTGTTGCAAAGATAAATGTGTCAATGGGGGGGGTCAAGTGGTAACCATGGCTGCAGAGCTTTTAATGGGGACACCAGAAACAAAAGGTAATTATGTGCCGAGGGAAAGCATGAATACACAGAAGGGAATTTGTTTTTTTCTTTATGGACGACAGACAGTCGTTCAGCGGTTATTTAACATTTCCCTACATTGAGTCAGGACACAACTGTAACAAAGCGTTTGTAATTTATTCGGCTTAAAGGAATAGTGCAGATTTCTTTTGTGGGGTTGTATGAGGTGCTTATTCAGTAGATGGCATTACGCAGGAGTAGACGAACGAAAATGAATACCTAACATAATCACTATCCGTTAAATGTGCGCTATATTTCAGATATTTTCAATCCTCCACCTTACCACAAAACAGCCCTTTACTGACAGGGAACTGAATGGCTACTCGATAACTGAAGTAGCTGATGAGTGCAGCAAATCTACTGGTGCTAATTTTGAGCACTTATTGTGTGACTTTGGTGTTTAAAAGGGTTAGTTAAAATACACAAAGGTCACACACCGATCCGACGCTGCAGTAGACCTGAAATACTTTCTCATTTTGTCTGGTGTCTGATCATTATTTATTTCAGTGAGTCTTTAATAGGTTCGTTTTTTGAGGTTATATGTGTGGATAAGTACCTCACACATAAAACAAATCTGAACTGTCCCTTTAAGGATTATATTAAATGACACCCTGGCTTCAAATGTTGTCAACTTTATAAAATAAGAGTTGAAAACTGGAACTGGTAAAAAGACATGCAGGGGAACAACAACAACTCAATTTCCTGTCATCACTTACTGCTACATGATTTTTTGGAAATGCAAAGATAATGATCTCTATTTCTCTGATTGCACATAATGAAACGAACGTGTTGCACTAGCACACTGCAGCTATAAATGTGGTTTCCCGTGTTGGAGATATTGGAGATATCCTGTGCATCCGGCTGGTATTTCTTTCCTGGCTCATTATCGCTCTTCACATCTTCGAAGCAGCTCTGTATCTTCTGTTTTAATGAGACGGTGTGGCGCTAATGGGCTCCTTCGCACTCCATGTAAATATGTTTTCTGTTCCTCAGTGGCTGGTCATTTTCATCTGTTTCAAACACTGTAAATGACATTTTTTAAGTTCTGTAAATAAAATTGTGAAATATTAAACGTGGTTAATATGATTAAAGGGTGTCTGTCCTCGACTTAAGAAATTATTGTTTATCTAACCGATGTGATTTTGTCAATACATAGATTAACAACACTGGGCTTTCCTGCAAAAGCACATCTTCAAATCTTGGGTTTGCACATTGCTTGTGTTTATCAGAGATGTGCTTTTGAAATAAATGAATCAGCGTGAAAAAAACATTCGTAAAAATCTATAATCTGCTAAATTAATCTTGTTTAACTGAGACCAAAACGACAAATTAGTCTACTAAGAGGTGGCAGATCTGCAGGAACGCAGCTTAATGTTTTCATTCACTCTTTGAGTTATGGGAGTGTTTATTTGAGCCATACTGCACTGATACAATTCATGTTTTGGTGAAATTAAAGTGTATACAAATGCTTAAATAAGGGTCTCAAAGCAGGGACTAAGCACCCTTTTGACTACAGACAAGAGCAGAAATTAAAGAGGACATATGATGCTCATTTCAGGTTCATATTAGTATGTAGTGTCTCTACTTTAAAGAGTCCTCTCCTGCTGATGTTCAGGTGTATATCAGTATGTAGTGTCTCTACTTTAAAGAGTCCTCTCCTGCTGATGTTCAGGTGTATATCAGTATGTAGTGTCTCTACTTTAAAGAGTCCTCTCCTGCTGATGTTCAGGTGTATATCAGTATGTAGTGTCTCTACTTTAAAGAGTCCTCTCCTGCTGATGTTCAGGTGTATATCAGTATGTAGTGTCTCTACTTTAAAGAGTCCTCTCCTGCAGATGTTCAGGTGTATATCAGTATGTAGTGTCTCTACTTTAAAGAGTCCTCTCCTGCTGATGTTCAGGTGTATATCAGTATGTAGTGTCTCTACTTTAAAGAGTCCTCTCCTGCTGATGTTCAGGTGTATATCAGTATGTAGTGTCTCTACTTTAAAGAGTCCTCTCCTGCTGATGTTCAGGTGTATATCAGTATGTAGTGTCTCTATTTTAAAGAGTCCTCTCCTGCTGATGTTCAGGTGTATATCAGTATGTAGTGTCTCTACTTTAAAGAGTCCTCTCCTGCTGATGTTCAGGTGTATATCAGTATGTAGTGTCTCTACTTTAAAGAGTCCTCTCCTGCTGATGTTCAGGTGTATATCAGTATGTAGTGTCTCTACTTTAAAGAGTCCTCTCCTGCTGATGTTCAGGTGTATATCAGTATGTAGTGTCTCTACTTTAAAGAGTCCTCTCCTGCTGATGTTCAGGTGTATATCAGTATGTAGTGTCTCTACTTTAAAGAGTCCTCTCCTGCTGATGTTCAGGTGTATATCAGTATGTAGTGTCTCTACTTTAAAGAGTCCTCTCCTGCTGATGTTCAGGTGTATATCAGTATGTAGTGTCTCTACTTTAAAGAGTCCTCTCCTGCTGATGTTCAGGTGTATATCAGTATGTAGTGTCTCTACTTTAAAGAGTCCTCTCCTGCTGATGTTCAGGTATATATCAGTATGTAGTGTCTCTACTTTAAAGAGTCCTCTCCTGCTGATGTTCAGGTGTATATCAGTATGTAGTGTCTCTACTTTAAAGAGTCCTCTCCTGCTGATGTCCAGGTGTATCTCAGTATGTAGTGTCTCTACTGGGACATGTCTCCATGCTTTAATGTTCAAAAAGCTCTTTATTTCTCTCATACTGCCTGTGCTGCAGCACCTCTTTTCACCCTCTGTATGAAACCAGAGCCCAGTCTGCTCTGATTGGTTAGCTGGCCGGCTCTGTTGTGATTGGTCAACCGCTTAGAGATGTCCCGCCCCTTAGCCTATCACGTACAATGTGTTGGAGTGCTAGCCAATAGAAGTGAACGTGTTCCATAGTGATGTCACTATGTTCCTGAAGTAAACAAAGGAGTTCAATGGAGGGAACACAGGAATTGTAGCCTTTGCAGACCATTTACATGCACTAAAACCTATATAAGACACTACAGGGAAGTGAAAACCCCAAACAGCAGAATAGGGCCTGTTTAAATGTGGATTACTTTCTTGTCCGTTTACAATATGCATCATAAATGTTGCTCAGCCTGCAGAAACGCTGTTCATTTACTTCTGATGCTTAGAATTAGAGGTCAGTATTATATCAATGTAAGGAACGTGTGCATAGCAGATGCTCAGTTTCAAGCAGCCATGAACCTTAGCTTCCTTCTTGAATACCAGCCCCTGATTGGAATTGTCTATTATTAGCGGAGGTCATTATCACAGATGTCTGTGCTTTTCCTCACATTAAACATGGGAGAGGTGCCAGAGGCCTGTGTGTGGGTGTGTGTGTGTGTGTGTGTGTGTGTGTGTGTGTGTGTGTGTGTGTGTGTGTGTGTGTGTGTGTGTGTGTGTGTGTGTGTGTGTGTGTGTGTGTGTGTGTGTGTGTGTGTGTGTGTGTGTGTGGTTGAGGTGAGTGAGTGTAGTGTGTGTGTGTGTGGGTCGTGTGTGTTGTGTGTGTGTGTGTGTGTGGGTAGTTGTGGGTGTGGTTGCGGTGTAGTGAGTGTAGTGTGTGTGTGGGTAGTGTGTGTGTGTGTGTGTGTGAGTGAGTGTGAGTGTGCATGTGAGGGCGGTGTGTGTGTGTGTGTGTATTGTAGGTGTGTGTAGTGTAGTGTGTGCGTGGCGGTGAGTGTGTGTGTGTGATGTGTGGTGGTTAGTGTGTGGGTGTGTGTGTGTGTGTGTGTGTTGGGTGTGTGTGTGTGTGTGTGTGTGTGTGTGTGTGTGTGTACAAAATAAACTGAAACATTTTGTATTGAATTGAAATTAAAATGAAAGATGATAGTTAGAAATCATGTTCAAGAGAGGAGAAATGGGTGAAACACAGAACATAACATATTTCAGATGAATGTATGAGTATTAGTGATTTATCCGTTATTTGTTAACTACATCCTATACATTAGATTTGTATTTTTCTTTCTTTCTTTCTCCCAAATCTTTGTCTATTTTGTAAATTCTTGTTTAATTTGTTCTTGTATTAGTTGTGTGTATTGTATTCTAGTTTTAGTATCCCAATGTGTATGTCTTGTAACCATGTGTGTTACATAATGCTAGTGTAGAAAAAGAACCATATCACAGGAAGGAGAAATACTTCCCTTCTAGCATGTTGTCTTGATTTTTGTGTCGACTTCTCCTATTGGCTGCTTTGCTGAGGCTGTTGTAAATGTAGTCCACCCTTATTCCACTTCCTCAAATCTGTCACCGCCCACTCAAACTCGCTACAGCTCCCGCCCACTGACGGATGCAAGTGTGTGTCATGCTCTCGAGGAGGAGGAGGAAGAGGAGGAGGAGACGTGGAAGGCTCTCCAATATTCTGCAAGTCACCTTTTGGAAACGTGCAATTTAAGTATTGACAGAAAGCTTCTGCAGCTTCCCTCTGATTATTACTACTGTGAGCATGACCTCACTCTGTCTGAGTCACTCTGTGCTGATGTGTGTTTGTATTACTGGGTGTAGCACCTTAAACATGGCAGTGTGTGTACATCCATCTGTGTATATGCACGCAAATATGAGTCTGTTATGATATGCTTCATGCATCTAACACACGGTGGCTGAGAGATACAAACGTGTCACAACGACCCAAAACACTTCCATTAGGAGAAACCTGCTGCACTTTCAAAAAAGATACAAGTATAAAAACACCAGTGTGCCAAAACACATGCATACTGTATGAAGAAACATCTTCACGCAACACTGGCAGAATTTAGAAAACATTCACCAACTTGATGAAACGTGTGCAATGCTTACTAAAAAGCAGCGGCTCTACTCCATGATTGAACTTGTCATCTTATCCCTAAAGGAGATGCCAGCCACCATCCGGAGAAAACCCATTTCAACCGCTCGTATTCGCAATCTCGTGTTTTCCGTCGTGACCCATCCTTCACAGATGAGGAACAAAGATAGACTGATAGATTGAACGTTTCCCTCTGATTGTTACTACTGTGAGCATGACCTCACTCTGTCTGAGTCACTCTGTGCTGATGTGTGTTTGTATTACTGGGTGTAGCACCTTAAACATGGAAGTGTGTGTACATCTATCTGTGTATAATATGCACGCAAATATGAGTCTGTTATGATATGCTTCATGCATCTAACACACGGTGGCCGAGAGATACAAACGTGCCACAACGACCCAAAACACTTCCATTAGGAGAAACCTGCTGCACTTTCAAAAAAGATACAAGTATAAAAACACCAGTGTGCCAAAACACATGCATACTGTATGAAGAAACATCTTCACGCAACACTGGCAGAATTTAGAAAACATTCACCAACTTGATGAAACGTGTGCAATGCTTACTAAAAAGCAGCGGCTCTACTCCATGATTGAACTTGTCATCTTATCCCTAAAGGAGATGCCAGCCACCATCCGGAGAAAACCCATTTCAACCGCTCGTATTCGCAATCTCGTGTTTTCCGTCGTGACCCATCCTTCACAGATGAGGAACAAAGATAGACTGATAGATTGAACGTTTTGCCTTCTGTCTCAGATCTCTTTTTGGTGCGATGAAGCTACTGCTATACTCCGGCCCATCTTACCCTCTATTGTTCTAAAGAAACAAGGCCCCGAGATACTTGGACTCCTTTACTTAGGGTAAGAACTAATTCGGAGTGGACAGTCCATCTGTTTATCTGCTGAGAACCATGGCCTCAGATTTATAGGCCACAAACCGATGACTCCAACATCACCTTCAAAAAGCAGTGATTCAATCCTTAGCCAAACAAACAGCTGCACAATAATACACACATATATTGTATATTTTTACATATATAATACAATACATATCTTATAAACTATAATATAATAACTATGTGTTTTTTTGTTGTTCAAGCAGTGCCTTTATTTATGGCGCGTTTCCACTACAGCGCGCAGCCCGGTTTAAGAGGGCTGTGACGTCAGCGGCCCGTCTTTGGTTGCGTTTCCACTTGGCCTAGTACCGGCCGGCGGGTCCTAATTCACAGTTTTTCTGGCCTCATAAAATCGTGGGTCCAGGGCCTTACTGTCTTCTAAAAATGATCTC